ACTACGCTCGGGGGCTTTAGGCTTTTCCCCCCACCTCTTTCCACAACCCCCATAAGCGTGCGGCTTCGGCTAATGCTCGTCGCATAGAGGTTTAAGCAGAAACAACGGATCCAAATCCTCCGAGGGGATGGTCCATGGATAAAGTCACGCGGAAAGCCTCGAACGTGTGATACTCCCGTATTGGAATCGTGGAGTACTTTTTTATTTTATAGAAAAATTTTTTTTAATATCTCTATGACACATTTTATAGAAATCGAAATAATTACAAATTCTTAATCGGATATGAAAATAGCGTTTGTAAATTGTTTGTATTTTTTAAGGTCAGAGATTATAGGTTAGGTTTTTCTTTATTTTTTAGATTAGATTTCTCCATATGTAAGTTCGAGATTAATTTATATATGGAACTTAGTAATCTTAAACCAAGAGATACAGTTTCGAAGAATTAATTTTTCGCGCTTGGGCTCTTTGGCCGATTTAAAATATCATACTTTATTTTTAGATTAGATTATGTTAGATTTTTTCTGTATTTTTTTAGGTTAGATTAGGCTAAGTTTTTTTTATAACAAAAACATCTCTACGTGATTATCGTAAAAATTAAAGTAAATGATAAATCCTTACATTTTTTAAATTAGATTCGATTATTTATAAAAACTTATAAATAAAAGTATAAATATATTTTTATATCCCTTTTATAATTTACATTTTTTATAGCAGTAGCTATATAAGCGTTTTTCAAAATATTATCTGGAAATTATCTAGATAAATTGCTATATAATTTTATCTTTTATCTAGATATATTTATAACAAAATCATCTTCATCTTACTTAAGATGAATTTACATATTTTCATCTTTTACCTAGATATATTTAAAACGCAATCATCTTTATCTTATTTAAGATAAATTTAAATATTTTTATCTCATCTTTATCTAGCTAATTTTGAAATTATCTAAGCACAACACTGATAACAGTATTTTATTGAGAATTTTCTTTTTTACTCTTACAATTTTTGAGGTCAAGGTAAATTAGATTATTGAAGTTTGGTTATTTGAAGTTGACATTAGGATTTTAAATTAGGTTACTTAGGTCCGTACAATACGTCGCAGTCAGATGTCGAAACGTAAGCGATGGTCCAATGAGAAAATTTCTTTTTCGAAAACAAAATTTCCTCATTCCTTACAATCGCTTACGTTCCGACATCCGACTGCGACATACGACGTATTATAGAACCGGCCTCATTGGACAATCGCTTACGTTCCGACATCCGACTGCGACTTACGACGTATTGTAGAACGGGCATTAAGGGGATGCCGCGGATGTCTGTTTTATCGATCAGATGATTATAAATTTTTCTGCACCGAAATCTTTTTATTGATTTAATAAAATAATAAATGCTTTTCCATAATTAAAACATGTACAGAAACAAAGTGGGAACCTACTGATTTTATGTTAAAAACAAGAAAAAATTTTAAAACTAAAATTTCTTTATCGACTTTGTCGTCAAGTCGAAAAAAATAATTGTTTAATATAAAAGTTCTGCTGTTTGTACGTACAAAATAAGATAGGTTCCGACTAGAAATTGAATAAAGAAGTATTAGTATATTTTTAGATATAAGTTTAAAAGCCTAATAAATAAGAAAACGGTGCAGAAAACTTTTACGCATATGTGTTGTATACGTGCATATGTTTAGACATGTGTGGTGCTAACCTATCATGTGTATATGTGTATACGTGCATAGGTTTACATATGTGTGGTGCTAACCTATCGTAGTTCGGCCGTCTCTCCGGCATCCCCTTAAGGATATGACATTTACGAACCTATGAATTTGAGAATCCGTTCCATAATTCGAAAAATTCTATAAATTTCAAGATTTATCGAGATTCTGAGAAAAGATTTTTCTCCACTGTTTGCAATCTATGAAAAAATTTGGGAATCAGCAGCGCACCGAAAATCTGTGGATCCGACATTTATATTCCGCAAATTCCGAGCGTGAATGTGTAAAGCTTTTCCGCGGCGGTATATATCTTCTTTCTGGACTACCCTATATATCCGGACACGGCGTATGTATAAACGGGGACTTCCCCGGGCTCGGAGTTTCTCGCGTGGCAGAGGATTACGATATTGTACGGTTGAGATACGACAGGCGCACCCTTTGTCTACCGTTGTCTACTATCTTTAGCCTTTCATTTAAGAACCAGGTAATAGCTGTCACTGCAGCTGCACGTGACCTCGTCGTTCGTTTCCGTCCGCCGCGCCGGAGGCAAAGTGGAAAAGATAGAGAAATTCTAGCTTGCGCAGATACTGAAATTCCGTCGGACACCATCGGCTATCAAAAATTTATGCTCTCCGAGATCGGGTTTAAAACAAATGCAAAATTTAGAGTGGAAGTGTCGATAAAATTTCTGGAATGGAATAAAAATTTCCCTCGAGAGAGAGAATAATAGCGTGAAAATATATTATTATATTATATTTATTTATTATTAATTAGGTACAGTCTCTAATAGTATAACATATCCGAAAGATATTCAGAGTATATTCAGAGAATATCCAGAGGATATTCGAACATCTTTAGGATGTTCTTCGAGTGATTTCGGGATATGTGTGTGCTGTTAGGGGTGTTGTGCTTAGATGATTTAAAAATTAGCTAGATAAACATGAGATGAAAATATGTAAATTTATTTTAGATAGGATAAAGATGTTTTGATTTAAATATATTTAAATAAAAGATAAAGTTATAACTTTTAGATAATATTAATTTTAAGACCGCTTATGTAAACACAGTTATAAAAACATGTAAATTATAGAAGGGATATAAAAATATATTATTTTTTTCATTTTTAAATTTCTCTTGCTTACTGCTAAAGTTCTGTTACTTAATAATAATATTTAAATATTTGATGTGTTATGACTCTAAACCAATAATTCTGCGATCTGCATATTATTTTAAATAATTTAATAAAAAAAAACATTTTTTTCATTTATATAAGATACACGGATATAGATAATTCATATTTTATTATCTATATAAAGATAAGATGATGCCAAAGCTTTATCGCTAGGTGATCATCTATATAATTTTATTTAGATAACGGTAAACCTTGGTTAGGTATAGGTAATAAAGTACGATACTCGTAATGGGGGATGCAGCCCCTACATTCGGATATATTTAAAGGAACGCAGGAAAAACGCATAAAAATATGGCGTTTCCGCGCTCGTATTTCTGAACAACGGCACGCGTTACGTCCAAATGACTAATACATCCGCCAAAGGTATATATATTCGAGATGTCAGGTTCTCGTTCGATAAAATGTAAAATTCGCGGCACACGCGGGAGCAAAAATCGCGCTTCCGCGGAATAGAGGAGAAATATACAAGATATACCGAGGTAGCTCTCGACAGTACCTATCCGCCGTCACGTGCGTTATCGCGTAGGCGATATTTGTCGCACGTGACCTAGGAGCCGTAGTCTCGTCGTCTCGCCAATATCTTTTCACGCTACATCAAGGCGCGGGCTCTTTCCGTAACTGCGGAAATCATGCAAACGTATGGAAAATTTATACGCGCTATACTTCTTTTTTCATCTATATGTAAGAAAGAAGCCATGTTAAAAATACAAGAAGGAAAAATATTATTTAACGTATATAACATTTAATATATATACAGAGTGATTTTAAATAAGTGCGAGAAACTTTAAAAAGTGATTCTTTGTCAGAGATTTAAATGGGGTTTTTATATGAACATATATACTCCTCCCTATATCTCACTCTAAGGAAAAATTAGGTTTTTAATTTTTTTTATCAAATTTTAGACCGATTAAAAAAATATAATTTAATGGATATTTTCTACTAGTGAGAACGATTTTTTAAAATATTTTTTAATCCTCCATAACGTTATAAGGGGATGAAACTAACAATCCCTATTCAATTTTTTATTAGAACTTTCTAACAGACCAAAATGTGATTATCTAAAAATATGCGTTGAAAGCTTGTTTCCTTTAGAAATGTTTTTATTTGTTTCGTTTTTTTTTTGTAAAATTTATAGTTTTCAAGAAAAAAATTAAAAACCTCAGGGAAAGATATAAGAGTTTAATTTTCGAGAATCATATATCCTAAAGTTTTTCACACTTATTTAGAAACTCTGTAATACATATATTGTATATTTTTTTACATAAAATGTTGTGTTATTAAAAATTATTTATAATAGCTTTATAGATAATTTTAAAGAAATACGTTTACAAAATTTTTGTATAATTTTTTATATATGAAAATAAGTAAAGTATGAAATAAAAGAGGCAATCTTTAATTTTTATAAATTAAAGTCGCTTAAAAAATTTAATAATTAAAAATATATTCACTGTAAATTACAATTATTGTGATTTTTCATAAAGTACAGATAAATTTTACAGCTTCCCTTTATATTGTGTTAATTTAAATCTACAATAAATATTTTGTACGTATACTTATAATTACTCAGATCCCAATATCTATTTTCAATTCAGGAGGCTTGTGCACAGATATACCCATGATTTAGCGCAAAACACTAGTGTGTTTCTTGATATGCATTTTTGTATAAGTATTTGCTTTCATCGATCTTCGTCCAAGTTTATGCCAACACCTCGCTCAGGAGAAGAGAGAAATCAATTTGAGTGTAGAGGATTGAAAGAGAGAGGGAGAGACACGGGAAACGTTTCCATGGGAAAAGTTTCCTCTCTCCGTAAAAACTTTGTTTTTGCGGCGAGCTTTCCGCGAGCTTTCGGTAGGAAAGTCACTCGAGGCGGGTAACCGCAAGCATCGTAACGCAACGCTTTAAGCTATCATGGCTTCTCGCATCCCCGCTTATTCTCGTTCTCCACTTTTACTCCCTCGCTCTGGATTAAAGTATCGGCGACGCCAAACCGCGTCTGAATAATTCAGGACGAAAGTTTCGGTCGTTCGATCCCGCGAGAGGAGTCCTACGAAAACGATCGAGGACTGATCGAGGCCTGCTTTTTTATGTTGCAGGTTTCGCGCTGATGAGAATCGTCGAGGTATACAAGGAGATCCAGGATCAGGAGATGAACATCGTAAGTATATGTATATATATATATTAATAGTCATATAACAATAGAAAGACATATTTTTTTTAATGAGACATTTTTATTATAAATATAGAATTAATATATTTTAAATATATAAAAAGACTGGCATTTTAGAAAACAATATTTCGAACAAAAGTTGTTTTTTTTTAGGAAGAAAAATGTTGATAAGCTTGAACTTTAACTAAAATAATTTTTTTTTTTAGATTGTTTTAATTAAGTTAATATTTTTAAATGAAATCATGCAAATTTTTTATGTAAATTGATTTCTTGTAATATTTATTGACATAAAAAATTATAAGAGTAGGATGACCAATAAAGAAAGAGAGTTTTCGAGATATTTTATATTTTACTTCGACATATTAACTTATAAACTATCACGTAAAATATTCATTTTATAATACACAAAATAATGAGAAGTATCAATTATTGATACAAATAAGAAATTTGAGTTATGTAAAAAAATAAATAATTTGCAACTAGTAGAAATATTTTCATTAATAGATGTCTATATACATGTATAACAAGAAAAATTTGATTTATATTTTATTTTTATTGTCTTTAACATCTCTTCAGTGGTGAATTAATATTTTAGAGTCTTATAATCATTTTTATTACAACATAATAATTTAAATAATATTTTTATTTATCAGGATTTTCTTTACATTCTTTATACAATTTTATCGCGATCGAATAATATTTCGAGACATTTCGTAATGCAGCTAAGAAGAGGCGCATTGTGCGTCTGTCTCCCTCATTTTTTCCGTCTGTCTTTCATCCTGGCGCCGTCCATTTCCGGGGATTACGTCAGACAGTCGCGTCTGCCAAGATTCGTAAAGATGTCCTTTTCGCCATCGTGCCAAGCCTATGTATTGAAAGCATCTCGCATTTCTTTGTTTATCTGTATAAAGTGGATCGCGAAAAACATATTACAATGAAAAAAGAGAAAAGTAATTTCTTGTGCAAGAAATAAATCGAAAACATAAAATAAAACTTTTATTTTTCGTACGAAGCTTTAATTTCAAGAAAGTTAACTTCATAAATTGGAAAATTAATAATATATTTGCGCTCGCTTAAGTTTCAATAATCTTATGTTATTGAATTTATTTCAACAAGCTCTAGTAAATTATTTTTATTCAAGTTTAAAAGAAATATGTTAATAATTTAAAAAATTGTAAACTTTATATTTTTTCAAAGCATTGTATGAATAAATTTTAGTTTACATTTTCAACTTTTGCATGAGAATTCATCTTTTCTTATTATACATATATTTTAGCCCATCTTATATTCACAAAGAATAAATTGAATTTTTATATTGTGTTTCACATTGCTTGAAATATACATATAGATATCTGGAGAGAAATTAATTAAATAAAAAAATTAGACAAAAAAGTAATTAATAAAATTTATAATAAATGAATAATAGTTTATAACAAATATAATAAATAATTATTAATCAAATAACACGTTTATCGTCACCAAGTATATACATTATTAATTATAAATTTAATATAGATTATTAAAACTATTTCCTATATATATATATATATATATATATATATATATATATATATATATATATATATATAATTTATTATTTTGTAACAACCTGAGAAAATTTTATTTTCTTACAGAAAAATAATGTAAACTTTTCCTCATTCTCTTTTTGTCTTTTTGTCCTCTCATTGTCGATCTTACGACACCCTATAGAACGATATACAGAAGTCCGCGAGAATCCCTTTGATCCTGCGACTCGCCGTCGCTTGGCTCAGGGGCGACATTATACCCCCGCAGGCGTTTCGTTTGAGCATAGAATCTCGTTGCGGCCATAACGACATGTAGTTATTACGACTTCCCAGCCCCCAGCCCCTCCCTCTCGGACATACCGTCGTTGCATTTTGTAATTTCATTCCGAGAGAGGGTCGCGACCTCTCTTCGCAAAAATATTTCTTCACAGCGACCTAACATAATATAACCTTTCTCTAACCTAACCTAACCTAAGCCCAGCTGTACCTTTTAATCCTCATCTAATCCGAAACTAGGAACGCTTCTTTTCTGCCATGGCAATTAAGTAACATTAAGTTTACTGTTGCTTTTTTCCTACGTCAAAGCACAGGCAAGACTTAATTAGTTCTTTTGCACTATATCTTTTTGCGATTTGCAATTTAACAGCGCCCTCATTTTCGAATTAAAAATATCGGTAATCATCGACTGATTTTCGAAGAATAATTACTGATATTTTGAATTTTACATTATAAATCATCTAGATCAAACATGTATTAGAAATTCATGTATACATGATACACATGAAGTTACTTTTTGTTACGTTTAAGAGGATGCCGGATGTCTGTTTTATCGATCAGATGATTATAAATTTTTCTGCACCGAAATCTTTTTATTAGTTTAATAAAATAATTAATGCTTTTCCACAATTAAAACACGTACAGAAACAAAGTGGGAACCTATTGATTTTATGTTAAAAACAAGAAAAAATTTTAAAACTAAAATTTCTTTACCGACTTCTGTCGTCAGGTCGAAAAAATAATTGTTTAATATAAAAGTTTTGCTGTTTGTACGTACAAAATAAGATAGGTTCCGACTAGAAATTGAATGAAGAAGTATTAGTATATTTTTAGATATAAGTTTAAAAGCCTAATAAATAAGAAAACAGTGCAGAAAATTTTCACGCATATGTGTTGTATACGTGCATATGTTTAGACATGTGTGGTGCTAACCTATCATGTGTATATGTGTATACGTGCATATGTTTAGATATGTGTGGTGCTAACCTATCGGAGTTTGGCCGTCTCTCCGGCATGCACACATACGAATTGTAATACAAATATACTTTTATATTAGACTTCTAATCTAGATTTAGAGGATATAACAGTGTATCTTAATTCCAGGAATCTTGTGTTTATATTCGTACAAAATATACATATATGTTTTATATAAAGCACACAATATGATGAGTTGACAGCTCATCTGTCATTCAAGACGTCATATAGAGACAAAAGTAGATGGTCCATGGGATCCTTGATGTATGTATATTGCAAGCGTAATCGTAGAGAAGCATTTTTACTTCTGTCAAGTTAATGCGGCAAAAGACTAGAAAACGAATAAATAATAATTAGTATTACACGAAACAGACAATCGTAGAAGGATCCTCATCTTAATAAGGACACACCCGCATATGTAGATATAGTTAGGAAAGACGCACAATAATATCGTTTATAGTAAATAAGTAACGTTTATTTTGATCCCCTTGGGGTTAAAAGACACTTTTACAAGGAACGTTTGAACCCAAACCTTTTACAATATCTCTTTAATTCCTTTTACCTAGTCATAAGCGACTTTACATCTATAATCCTTCTTTCCCTCTTCTCTCTCTTCTTCTCTTTTTTTTCATCATTTTTCCTCTTTTTAACCACTTTTTCCTTCCACAATCCTTTTCCAAAATCCTCTTAAAAGTTATATGGGTGTTTAAGATCTAACCTAACTTAATCTAACATGAAATTTTTTACCTGTCACCTGTATTAAATATTTATATAATTAATTGCTCTGTTGCATAAAGTAAATAATTAATTTATGTTTTAATAATTAATTTATATTTTGGGATAAACTTTACGCGCGTAAAAGATCATTGACCTTTGAATCTTCGAGGAATTTTCAAAGAAACAAACAAGAGCAAAGTGTACGCGGATTGCGTCATGATCCGCTGAAAAACTCACTTCAGACAAAGATTATCTCGAGCTCGGAAGAAGCAAACGAAAGAAGTGTTACGCGCGGAAAGAGAAGAACGAGTGCCAAGTCCACAGTGGGGTGGAGAAGGCTATATGGAGTGGAATTCACGTAGCTTGCATTACTTTGCAGCTTTTTGGCGGGCGTGGACCTTTTTGAACGATCGATAGTTTCACGAAATTCACGAGGCTTTCCCGATTAACTTTTGTAAATTATTAATCTATTATTGAGCTATTTTTCTAAAATCTTTTTTCTCTTCTTTTCAGAGATTGTAGATATTTTATAATTAAGTTGCAAATGTTATTCAATAATTGTTAATTTGCTTTCTGTATTTTTTATATAAAAATACTAATAAATAAAAAGAATATTATCGTTTGTCAAATGAAAAATTATCTTATTTTATTTTTTTTCAAAATAAATAATTAATATTTTATATTTCTTTTTATGTAACAAATACTAATATTGTAAGAAAAAAAATGAACAATTTTTTTTATTAATTTCTGTATCTCTTATTTTTTAAACTTAAACTTGAAAACAAAATTATCTAATTTTAATTGTTTTTATAATAAATAATCAAAAAATTAATACTTAATAATATCAAACTGCTTATCTTGATTTAATAATACTTTGTATCATTCCTTAAGAAAAAAAAACTTTATTTTTTCTTCAAAATTCTAAGATTAATTTTATTAAAATTTTAGAAAAATACAAATTACAATCTAAAATTTATCATTATTTATTTCTTCGCAACAATTACAGATAAAAACTCGTAAATCAACATTTCTAATACTCTCTGCCTGTATTGATTTTCTGATATGCGGTCGCGCGCGACCAGAAGTCGGTGCTGCGGAAAAACGCGCTGCGGATAATAATAATAATTATTAGTCGATGAAGCGAAGCAAAGCAAACCGAACTGAAGTGAGCGGAAAAAGACGCTCGCGAGCGAATCCAACATGGCGACAACGGCTATTCGCAATCAGATATATAAAGAGTGCTGAATTTCCCAATAAAAATAGGCGACGTTTCTCTAAAAGCTCGCGGATTAAATTCACGATGCGTAGAGATTCGTGTATTCCGCGAGTGGCGGCGAAACCGGGTTGAAGGAGGGAGGAAAAACAGATAAAAAAAAGTTGGATATCTCCCTCCCATCTCCTGTTTCTCTCTTGCCACGTATCGCCGCCATAGCAACCAGAGCGGTTGCAATCCGCCTACCTTTGAGCGACGTACAAAAAGCGAGGCAAAGGGTGCTTGAACTGTAAAACAAACAACTTGTTCGCGAACATGTGGGGAGAGTTGTGAGAGGAGAAACGGCATGATAGGGTAACTCTCGAAGAAACGCCGATGGAGAAAGGATTGCGATAGGTTAGGTGGAATGGGCAATTCGCGAAAAGGTTAATACGCTGATGCATCGAAGTGGCTGGCAAACATGAGATATATTATTATCGCGGTCGGAAAATCATGCCGTCGCAGACGTTTTGGCCGGATGTTTGACCGGATGGAGAGGATAACGATTTGATTGCGGGCGAAGATTTAAGGGATGGTCGAACTCGAATGACTTCGTTCCCAAGTTGAATCGAATTTCGAGAGTCGAGATCTCCGGTGAGAGAGGGACCGAATAAGATTTCTTCATCAACTAGAGATCGAGCTGGCGAACGTCAAAATGTCGAAAGCGGGAGCTTCGAATTTTGGAAATGAAGTTGATGTGTCTGGAAATTTGATTTTATTATTTTCATTTATATATACAAAGAGCGATATTCTACAATAAAATGTAAAAAATTGTAGAAGATGATTCTTTGTTAATAATTAAATAACGTCTTTTATATACTTCTATATTTCTGTATCGTATGTGTTAATAGAAGGATTAAAAATTATTAATAAATGTCTTTTTTTATTAAGGAAATGTCCATAAAATTTCATTCTTTTACTTTTCTAAAACTTAGAGAAAAAAGATAAAAATCTAATTATCATCTCCTCTTTTGGAAAAGTAATTTTCCTCAGGAAAAGATATGAGTATATGTTTATATGAAAGATCTTCCTTAATTTTTATCCAAATTTTTTGTACTTACTTAGAATTGCTTTAGGTATATACAGTTGGATCTGTGTATGTTTTTTCTTTAATTCTTTATCTCGTGAACTGCTATACGAATACGAAGACCAGGCTTTCACATAACCATTATTCGGAATTTCACGCGTCACCTTTTAGCGTTCTTCTTTCTTACCACTCTCTCTCTCTCTCTTTCTCTCTCCGAATACTAATAAAAAAGAATAAAGAGCATTTTTATCATTGTTATGACGTTTTCCGTCGAGATACATTCAACCAGAGACTCTACCTCTTACGAGTATAAATTAACTCTGGCTCGGGAAAGAGAGAGACTCGTAAAACGCCTAGAACTCACGTAGAGCGAACTTGAGACACGGTGCGGAAATAAAGAAACATCGCTCTCTTAATCTTCTCTTTCATCAGCCCAGTAGGAAGCGCTGTTTTTATCGTCTTTGCTTTTAAATGTTGAAAAAAATATTTAAACGTCTTTTTATTACGTTTTCTCTTTTTTTAGTCGTAATCATTTTTTTCATAATTATACTTAAAATTACTTTAGATATTATACCCATATTAATATACGTGCGCTCTTTTAATACAAAATATTTGTGTAACCCCTCCTATAAAAAAATATTAGTCAAAATGATAAAAATGCGATTAATTAGAACATTATCCATATATTGTGTAACAACAATTTTCTCATTATCCTTTACATTTCAGCTAAAAGCGTTCTACGTGGACCTGCTGGTGCCACTGGAGACCAACCTGGAGAAGGACACGAAAGTCGTTCAGGTAAGTAAACCGCCCCGAAACTGATCCCCGGAAGGGACATTACTCGTCCCCGAGTCCCCGAGACCTCTGGTGACAATGAATAATGCAACGCCGGGGGATGGGCTTTCAGAGCGAGCAGAAGAAGTTTCTTCAGCAGCACAAGACCAGATCCGAGACCTACAGCAAGGCGGCCGCGACCATGAAGAAGCAAAGAAAGAAGTCCAGAGCCGCCAATAAAAGCGGCCTCGCCATGGACAAGGAGCTGAAGAACATGCAGATCCTCGAAGAAGAGAAGACCAAGCTCGATGCCTTCTGCGAGCAGAGCCTGAAGAACGTAAGTACAACGAGTGACTATAAGACTATCACTTTTCTATCGGGAATTATTAGAAAAATCTTCGTATTGCTACACACTAAAATAGTTTATTGTATTGTTAATGGTTTACAAGGCGCTTTTGGTAGTACAATATATTTCATCATTTTATAATTTCCTTTTTCCCTTCTCTTCTTCCTTTTCCTCTTTTCCCCATCTTTTGTTTCTTTCCTATATCATCTCCTTCTCTCTTCAACTCTTCCTGCTCTCCCTGTTTTTTCTCTCCTAGACTATTTTTTCTTTCCAATAATTTTTATCAGCAGGCATATGGGATAATAAATAATGTTGGTTCGAATCGGATTCGAACCAGGGACCCCTCGTATATCAGTCGGTGACTGATTATGTGAGGCCACCTGTCGCCCCTTGTTATAAACTATATATTTCTAAATATTTCTAAATATATTAGGGATGATGAAGGCGCCGAGATGATGGATTATACCGATGAGATTCATTAACAGAGCGAGTCCATTAACACACTCCGACGTTCTTTTCACAGGCGATGACTCAGGAGAGACGACGATACGGTTTCGTGTTGGAGCGACAATGCTCCTTGGCAAAGCACTATGCGAGTTTTCATGAGGTTGCACTGGCTGCGCTTCATCCCTCAGTTGATAAATGGCGCGAGGTTGCCGCCACCAGGGAATATTTGCCCCAGTCGGTGGAGGACATGTTCGCTTCCAGACTCAGGGTAAATTCAGGGCGGACGTATAGTTGATCGCGTAAATCTCTTGTAATGATTCACACCTGGATCCGAATTGTTTCGTGCGCGAAGTTCTGTTTTCTCGTATGCGATTTGACGTTTAATTACATTATTTAACATGATTACATTATTTAACATTTAATTAAAATTGAATGAGATAAAATTATGTATAAAATATTCATAGAATATATATAGTCTTAAATTGTTTTCAATTTATCTAGATGAAACAAAATAAAGCTTTTTATCTAACTTCGCTAAATAATGAAGTTATTGCTCTGTCTAAAGATAGAAGCATATATTATCTTTAACCTAGAATAAAGAAATAAGTATATAAAATAAAGTATATACATCTATTAAAGTACTAAATTTATTCTAGGTTATAAAATGGATAGAAATAAAAGAAGAGAAAGAGAAAAAGTATATTTCTCTTTCATATTATTATATATTATTTTTATGCACTACTTTTTTTCCTTTATTCTGTCAGCTAACAATGAAGATAACATATACACTTTCATTTAGATAAAGATTATTTTGTTTAATATAATTATTTATCTTAATTTTTTCTTTTATAAGACTTCCAAATAAGACTTAGAATGACTTAGAATAAAGATAGAAGTAAAAAGTAAATACCTCACCTATAACCTATATAAGTATATCTTCTTTAAAATGTGTATACTTAGAGGTTAGGTTAGATAGTATGAAAGAATACATGTATTTTATATTTCTTTCTTTATTCTAAAATGAAGATAATATATGCTTTTATATATATTTAGATAAAAATATAAGATAAAGCAATTACTTCGTCTTTGACATCATTAAACGTCAAAATGGCGTCATTTTGACGTCTAATGACATACTCTTGCTATTTGGATGTTTAGATTCCTTCTCTTATCCAGATAAGAAGAAACTAATAATATAGCAATCTTTTGAGCAATATTTGGACGATAAATTATACAATATTACTTTACATGTACAAACAGTTAATAAAAGGTAGTATATCGTGCGCGCGATGTTAAGAATTCCAATTTGACATGGCAATTTACATCTTGGCAGCAAACGTCATTCTGGCCGGAGGATGAAGAGAACGGTGGCTCGGAACTGACGACGATGAGCTCGCAATTGCGAAAGACACGAAGCATGGACAGCTCCTGTCTGGAACTGCGATTGGGTCCATTACCCGGAAATCCGCAGTCCGGTGGCCATCTCGGTCCAACGCCGCATCTTCCTGCTGTCCTTTCCAGAGCAAGATCCGAAGCCAATCTGCACGCCTCGACATTATCTCTCGGCCCCGGTACGTTGCTGTTCTGGCTCTTTTTCCTATTCCTTTTTTTGCGACACTAACATTGATTTTTGCCTTGCTATTTCTAACTTTCGTTTTCTTTATATTCGAGAAATTATAAATAAATTGAGCTGAATAAATAAAGAGAATTGGATTAATTTAGTTTGAATTAAATTATACACTTATACCCGGCCAAATAATCTCGTAATTGTACTTTGAATAGTTACATTAGCGCACTATTGTAGCAAAGTTAGTTATGCATTATTATAAAACATAAATTAGATTTTTTTAAATTAAATTACGTCAAGTTGTAATATGTCTTCTTTAATTAAGAAATTAAATATCAAAATGAATATAAAAATAAATATATAAAGATTCTACGTATTAAAAATATAAAACAATTAAAAGGCCAATAAGAACCATGCGTAGAGGTGTATCGTGTACGCAATATAAAATTAAAGAGGATAAAAAATTAAAGCAACGAATGAATCATAAAGTTGAATATAAATTTAATTATCTGACGTTTCGGTCCCACTTCGGGCCATCTTCAGAGATTCCATTGCCATAAAATAAATGAAAACTCGTGTGTTTAAAGACTGCATACTGCGGATCGATCTCTCGTCAAGGGAGCCTCCCATCGGTACCAAACGATAGAAAAACGCATCTCCATGCACTCCATTAAACGAAAGAACAAATACTCCGAGAGCTGTCAACGATGTACACTCTTCAAACGACACATTACGAATGTCGTTACTTTAATTTATTATCCTATTTAATTTTATATTGCGTGCACGACCCCTACGCATGGTTCTTATTGGCCTTTTAATTGTTTTATAAAAATAAATATAATAAAAATAAAAAATAAAAATCATAAAAAAATGAAAACAAAAAATAAATATAATAATATAGAAATTAAAGATTTTTATTTAAACCCAGAATTATCGTTGAACTGCTTGTTTGTTACGTCGCGTGCGACAGCAACAACGAGCCATCGGGTGAACGGAAACGATCGAAAAAAATCGGCGGAATGGAAGCAGTCTCAATGACATTTCCGCTCCCTTTTTACGCGCACGAGCGCTCTGTATCACGCTTCGATCGTATAAATTCCAGTTGTGATCAGATTCGGAGACTACGTCGAAACCTGAAGCTCTCTCGAACGGAGAGAGTCAGGTCTCCGCGCGCAATAAAAAACGAAATATGCTTTCGTTTGTGCAATGCGACCCGGGCCCGTATTTCATCATGGCGTTAGGCTATATACAGTCCATTATATACCCGTTATTACACGTGCTGCCTCCGTGACAAGGCTCCTCTCTGAAAATTTGTTTCTCTTTGACTACGCCAAGTTACATTATCCGTGCGAAGAATGAAAATGAAAATCGAACGAAAAAAAAACGAATAAAAACAAAGAGTTTAAATTTAAATATAAATGAACAAAAAAGTATGGGAAGGTATGTTAAATCGTACCCCCTAAGGTAAATATTACAATTGCAAATAAACTTGTCAAAAAAATACCAAAAATTTTTTTATTTATTTGCAACTATAGTTCTTTATCAACGATACACATTAAATATTAACATAAATTTATCACATTGTTTCATATTGTAAATTTTAAATGTTAAAAACTGGTGGTTTGATACGATTTACAATACTGGTTTGCTAAATTGTATCTATGAATTTTTAAATCGTATCTCTAATAATAAAATTAAAAAGTTGTGACAAAAATAAAGTTTTATTTTCTACAAAACTTCTCAATTTGCAAAACATTTTTACAAAACATATCTACAAGAATGTGTCATATTTATAATCATAAATTTTCTTCAAAAACTTAACAAAAATTTTTTTGTATCACATAAAAATATAAATAAAGTATTATTCTAATATAAATATAAAATTTGATAATATTTTCCTCGATTGTCCATTTAAATATAAAGAAAAAAACTAATGCCTAAATAAAAAAATTAATTTAGTAAATTGTGCGATAGAGGAAAAAAATTCCATTATTTTGTCAAATTTGTGAATACAAAAATAATCTTAAAACATTTTGCCGATTTTTTTCAACGCTTTCATATACATAATTAAATAAGATATAAAAATGCTTTAATAATAAATTTAATTGTTTATTTTTCTCAATGTGATAGTTCAGGTATGGGATACCGCATATTACATGAAAATAACACAAAATTTATGTATACATAAATCGTTTCATTATTTGTTACCACGACAAAATCTTCGATTGCTTTCTCGCTTTCGTAAATAATTCGACATCAAAAATTTTAATAATACATAATACCGTGTTTCACATTTAATATCACATATTCGCGTTAAATTAATTTTACCATAGCTTTCAGAACTGGTCGTGCATTAATAAATAAATCGCTGATTATTTTTGGAAAACTTGTCTCTCCTCCATTTCCAATGTCCCTTAGGGAGGGTTCGACGCTCATTCCACTTTCCAACAATCACTCTGACCATCGCTATCGTCCGCTGACCTAATTGCCCTGGTTTACCCCGAAACTACCCTCGCATTATCCTGGGCTCATCCTCATTCCCCGCCAAACTCACCCCCTATATATGTATCTCTCCACCTCTCGCGGAGACTCTCGGTCAGTTACACAGCGCTTCTGGTTTCCAGAGGTTCCAGAGACCCCACCTCGACCGCGTTCCATGGCGCCTCCCACATCCCGCAGCAGCGGCGGCGGCGGCATCGGAATCGGCACTGGGGGTTGGGGAGACGCTCCTCTCGCCAGAGCTCTCTTCGCCTACCTTAGCTCGGGAGAAAATCAGCTGAGTTTTCTGGAGGGCGACCTCATCGCTCTGATGGGTGAGTTCGATCTTGAGGGGTCCGTTGATCCGATACTCATCTTGGCGCATAACAAAATCCAGAGATCATGAAGAATCAATGAGGATTCTATCTTTCAGTTTTTTTTAAGAAAGGAAAAGAGATATCGAAAAGATTGCCGAATTAGAATATTTTTTTTATTTTAATAATAATTTAATAATTATTATATTTATTAATAATAACAATTATTATATATTAAATAAATAATTATATAGTTTATGTATTAATAGTTATTATATATTAATAAATAATTTACAATAATTATTTATTTATAATCTAATTGTTACTTATTATGTTATAATTAATAGATTTGTTTAATTAAATAATATCGAGTTATATAATATTAATGACCAAATTCCTCTTTAATTTTGTATTAAATGCATATATTATTCTAGAATTATGTTCTGCGATCTTATAATAGCTGATTTGAATTTGTAGCAATTTTTTTTATAAAAATTAATATTGTATATATATATATATATATATATATATATACTTCTATCACATTTTCTTTTATACATATATATGTATATATAAAGCTGCAATTGGAGGAAACTTAACAAAAAGAAATTCAAGTACAATATAAAATATAATATAAAGATAAACTAATTATTCTCTCATTTCCTTTCTAATTTTAAAATTTTTACAATTAAAAAACAGACTTAATTGCAAAAAATAAGTGAATTTTGCGTTGCAAATTTACATATTTTTCATTTTCTTTTATCAGGAGACCGTCAGAAGGGATGGCAATTTGGTGAGAATCTCCGCACTCAAAGCTCGGGGTGGTTTCCCTTGGCGTACACCGAAATTATAATCGACGATACTTTGGGGTGAGTAAATCTTACCCAAAGCTCAAAGTGCGATAATACCGGATTTCGCATTTATTTGCAATTACACGTTATTAACTCTTCTAACTCAAAATATTTCGCGTTATACAACATCTCGCACTTTAATCAGTAAAAATTTTAATCATAAAACTTTTAATATTGTTTTTAATATTATAATTATTGTTGTTAATCATAAAACTTAATTTTATTATTGTCTTGCGTTACCAAATTTCGGACCTTTTAATATTCCAGGTGGCAAGCATATGTCATTTTAACGTCGAATGACGTCATAGCAAAATGACTCATTTGCTACTTGGGATATTTTATGATGAATAAATTAATATTTTTACTAATTATTTATTATTTCTTTTGTTTATATTGCATGCAATCCATTTTTGCGAAGAAATTTTCCGAGTTTTGCATAATATTATTTAAGCGCGCAGAAAGTTTTAAAATCTCTAAAAACTCACCTTTAAAAAAAGGTAAAAAAAGGCGACCAGTTAAGGGCACGCCATTAACAAAAATTATCCATTGCAAACCCATGTAGAATCCTATCCTATTGCAAACCCATGTAGAATCCTATAAAAAATTAATCATTGCAAACCCATGTAGAATCCTAGGCAAAATTAACCATTGCAAACTCATGTAGAATTGTATTAAAAATGATCCATTGCAAACTTATGTAGAATCCTACATTGCAAACCCATGTACAATAGAATTGTATGAAAAATTATCGATTATAAATTCATGTACAATCGTAACAAAAGTAATGAAATAAAAAAAAATTGCGCCAAGTGAAAGTAGAAACTTGTACCAGTGGAAAATTAAAGTTGCAGACATATATAGAGTCGTATAATGAATCAGTAAAAATTTAAATTTGCAAATGTAGAATCGTACCATAAAAAAACTTATCTTTTAAAAAAAAAGATAAACAAGATGCCAAGTCCATGCGCCATGTAAAAAAGAAATAAAAAATTTTAGTTAAAAAAACTGGGAGCGCTGCTAAATAATATTCTAACAATATTAAAATTAAATTGTTACTTTTAAACTCATTACAGTTAAAATATGTTTTGTGTTTAAATTAATTAATGTTACTTTAAGGTGCATTGTAATTTTGAAACTTAGCAGCGCGCCCAGTTTTTTTAACTAAAATTTTTTTATTTCTTTTTACATGGCGCATGGACTTGGCATCTTGTTTATCTTTTTTTTTAAAAGATAAGTTTTTTTATGGTACGATTCTACATTTGCAAATTTAAATTTTTACTGATTCATTATACGACTCTATATATGTCTGCAACTTTAATTTTCCACTGGTACAAGTTTCTACTTTCACTTGGCGCAATTTTTTTTTTATTTCATTACTTTTGTTACGATTGTACATGAATTTATAATCGATAATTTTTCATACAATTCTATTGTACATGGGTTTGCAATGTAGGATTCTACATAAGTTTGCAATGGATCATTTTTAATACAATTCTACATGAGTTTGCAATGGTTAATTTTGCCTAGGATTCTACATGGGTTTGCAATGATTAATTTTTTATAGGATTCTACATGGGTTTGCAATAGGATAGGATTCTACATGGGTTTGCAATGGATAATTTTTGTTAATGGCGTGCCCTTAACTGGTCGCCTTTTTTTACCTTTTTTTAAAGGTGAGTTTTTAGAGATTATATCATTCATTTTTGTATATTTTTATGACCGGAATAGAACAATTATTAAACATGTTTATCTAAACTTCTTTGCTTAAAATGATGTGTACAATCATATCCTAGAATCCTGATCATTCCTCCTAAAGCACCCTATTTATATAAATTTACCCATATGTGTGTGTGTGTGTGTGTGTGTACTAATGTCGAGCATTTTTTATACATTTTCTATTAAATTTAGATAAAAGTTGCAGGATTTCGAAAAAGAAAAAGTTGACACAGACTTTTTCCTAAACGGCGATTTTCAAGGTTATTTAAAGGTCACTTATATTTTCAAAATAGAATTACCTTAATTTTTCTCATATAAATCGATTCCTCGCAATATTTACTATAAAAAGTTGTAAAGGTATAATTTTTACATAATCTTACATAAACTTCGAAATATTACAAATATTTTATTCTATGAAATATTTCAGTTTATGTAAAATTATGTTAACTATCTTTTAAATTATTCACTTTTAGCCATCTTACCCTTACAACCTTTTATAGTGAATATTGCAACAAATTGGTTTATATATATAATATATATATAACATCAGTTATTATTAATTGATGTTTACATTTATTTTTAGACTTACTAGAGCTCTAATGCTCCACATTTTTTGCAAAAACTGTTTATTCTACAGATTTCAAATATGCTTTTAAATGATGATTGAATATTTCCTTTTTTTAATTATTTTTATTATTATTTTTCAATCTCAATCAACTTTTATAACTTTATGCCAGCACGATACAAATACATGTGTCTTTATTTTTTTTATTATTTTCATTATTATTTTTCAATCTCAATCAACTTCTATAACCTTATGCCAGCAGGATACAAATACATGTATGTCTTTATTATTGTATCAACTCTTGTCTTTTCCATGTAACCATGTCTTCATAGTTTGAATTATCCCTTCATCTTCTCAATCTTTCGCAGAGATTTAATTAATTAAATACACTTCACACGAAATAAAGTTTGCTGGAAGATATACAGCAAACGATAACTGTAAAAACATGATTACGTGGAAAGAACAAGAGTTGGTACAGTAAAGGCAAGTAAGTAAGTACATGTAATGTATCGTATTGGCATAACGCTATATCCGCGGAGCAGATAATGTGGCTGTAGAGGTAGTCTGCAGTGCAGCTAATGTGGACGTAGATGTTGATTGAGATAATTGTCTAATATAAAATAGAATTTAAAAATTTAGTTTAAAAAGCTGTTGCATATATAAATAAAGTTTATTTTTTCTAAATTTGGAATATGTTTAATTAATTAATTTTTTAAGTTTATGTTTAATAAATTTTTTAAGTCTGTATTCAATAATTTTATTCATTTGATAAATACATGTATGTCTTTATTTTGATATGTTTAATATAATTAGAAATTCATTATTAATTAGATATGTAAACTATAAATTCATATATAATATTTGAAAATATATGTGAATATTTAAATTTTTATCTTCTCCTTCCTCTCCTTCAATCTCTTTAATATCAATATGTGTATGTGTGTACACGCGCGCACATTTGTACGTATTTATTTAATTATTGGATAGTTGAGAGTACTTAATTGATAAAAAATTATGACAATAATAATCCTTGTTTTTTTTTCTTATTATTTACTCAGATTTTTTTGTCTATCTTATAAGATAAACACTTTAGAGATTGAATATTTCAAGTAAACTAATTGTAAGTAAATTTCACATTAATGCATATAGATGTTTAATCATGAATGTACTGAATAAGTACACAAGACGAACAGTGAGTGAGTGAGTGAGAATGAGAGAGTGTGTGTGTGTGTGTGTGTGTGTGAGAGAAGAGAGAGAGAGAGAGAGAGAGAGAGAGAGAGAGAGAGAGAGAGAGAGAGAGAGAGTTAGCCAACATAACCCCGCACGCTGCCGATATGGCGGAGCGCCACTATCGCCATCTGTTGTAAAACGTGCGAGATGGACAAAATTACCACTACATGCATCTTGCATGTGTTGTGTACGTGTGATATATGTGTGCGCATGTGTTGTATACGTGTGAATACGTGTAGCACGATACTACTATGTATGCGTGGTCGATGATGATAATGATGATGATAATGATGATGATAATGATGATAATGATGACGGGGACGTTTCTTAATAGAAATTTTTTATATTTCGACTTTGCATTTATATATCTCTGCTTACAAATCACGTAGAGCAGAAATAAAGACACTTTTATTATATAATTCGAACTCAATCTATCGATTAAGTCTAGTATAAACTCGATTGCTTCAGCCATTATTGAGGATTCGAAATATTATAAAGACTCAAATGTCCGACTCGCGTTAAGATACACGGTGTCTCCGCTACGCCCTTAACTGGTCGCGAGACACTACCGTGTCTCTTGAAATCTTCTGTCAATGCACAATTTTTCACCTTTTCTTCATTGTATACGTACTGAAGTACCCATTTCTCCCAGGTAATAAAATGACGCCACTAAACGTCAAAATGACGTCAATCGACGTTAAAATGACGTCATTCGACGTCAAAATGATGTTATTTTGACATTTAATGACGTCGGTTTGCTATCTGGGCTGCTGCGCCAATTTCTTTATCCCAAGTAGCAAGTGTACATCATTTTAACATCAATTGACGTTATTAGATGTCAAATGACGTCATTTTGACATTTAATAACGTCAGTTTGCTACTTGGGATAGTAGCTGCTGGCATTGAATATTCTTTTTCGTTATATCTTAAGAAATTTCCGAATACCAAAGCCTTTGTATTTTGTTTTGGATGAAGAAAAGTTCTGACACACTTTGAACATTTAAAGTTGCTTTGGATATCCGTCCATTGACAGAATAATGGTCGAATAAGTTTTAAAACACAAAATTTGATGATACCTATTGTGCGGCATGAAGAAAATAGTTGATACATTTATTCATTAAAGTTCATTTTGGAATTAAATATATCGGTAATTACCGACTGATTTTGAAATAATAATTACTGATATTTTGAATTTTAAATTATATATTATTCAGATCAAACATGTATTAGAAATTCATGTATACATGGCACACATGAAATCACTTTTTGCTACGTTTAATACTATTTAATATTATACCTACAACGTACGCACATATACATACGAATCGTAATACAAACTATACTTTTATATTAGACTTCTAATCTAGATTTAGAAGACAACAGTGCTTTCTTTCGTGTATCTTAATCTCAAGGATCGTGTGTTTATATTCATACAAAATGTCTATTTTTTTTATATAAGCACATAATATAATGAGTTGACAGCTCATCTGTCATTCGAGACGTCATATAGAGACAAAAGTAGTTAAAGAAACCTGTAATTTCGTAATTATTTCTCATTGTTCACGTGAAATCGAATTTCCCTGGGATCATTGATATATGTATTATAATCATAGAGAAGCATTTTTAATTCTGGCTAGATCTGTTTTATTGATAAATATTATTTTTATTTAATTCTTTATTGGCTATACAGTATGAAAAATCTTTTACTAGAATTAAAGTATTTATAATAACAAATTTGGGCTACTACACATATGTATATTTAAAAAACCAAAAAAACTAAATAATTACAATTTTTCTATTGATTTTTTACATTGGGTCAACCTAACTTAAATGATAAGAAAACTATAATTATTTAATATAAATGACAAATAAAAAGGCCTAAAGAAGCCATACGCGAATGTTGCTGCGTACATTATTATTTAACTTTCTTGATTTCTTTTTATAGACATAATATCCCAGATTTGTTATTATGAATACTTTAATATTCTAGTAAAGGATTTTTCATTCCGTATAGCTAATAAAATGTCAAATGAAAATAATATTTATCAATAAAACACACCTAATTAGCATCCCCTTAATTCTCCGGATTTTCGCGTACTTACCTATTGTATTATCGAATTTCCCGAAGATCACCGAGTCACGGAACGAGCAACGGTAGGACCCCGGATTTGCAAGCCATTCCACCTTGCAAACCCCCTCCGTCTCGTCCGCCAGTTACACCAGCCAGTATCGACGAGTCACCTGGGGGTACCACCGGAGGCTCTGGCAGCAACTCCGCCAACAATAACAATGTCAATAGCAATAATAATGGTAGTTGCGTCGGCACGCCGACTAATACTCCGAGTGTTCTGGCAACTCCAACAGCACGCCAATCGAAATCGGTGAGCTAAATCGAATATTACAACAATGAACGTTTATTTTTAAGGATCGATTTATTTGATTTACTTACAAATGTGTTAGTATTTCACTATACAAAACTTTTATTATATAATAAAAAGTTTTTATAATATTTTACACTGTTACAGAATAAAATCACATTATTAATTGAAAAAATAATATTTTAGTTAGTTTATTAGAAAATTGAATATAATGTTTGCAATAAAAGTTGCTGATATAATAGCTTCTCTTGATATTTTTAACAACCGAGACTGTGCAAATCTTAAACTACGCTAATTTACAGTCAAACATTATTTTAAACCAAAGTATTTATTATTATAGATTTTTGGGTGCTGCAAACCAAATTTCACTATGTAAAAAATGGCTTTTTTGCAATAATCAATATTTTTTTTGTAAAAAAGGTTAACTGATCAAATATCATGAATGTACATGTTTCTCCTCTATAAATAAAATGCGTTTTTTATTTTATAATGTTTTACCTAACTTAACTTAACCTAACCTGACGTGCTGGTGAAAATTTTGGCTTGCGGTATCGTTTCCAGCATTTAAAAATCTATAGAAAACGTCTTGTCTGGTTTTAAATAATAATAAAATAAATTTTTTGTAAACTAATTCCATTAATGAACTTTAGAACCTGAAATAAACTTTACTACAAAATGCGTACTCAAGTAGCAAACTGACGTCATTAAACGTCAAAATGGCGTCATTAAATGTCAAATTTTTGACGCCATTTTGACGTTTAATGACGTACGCTTGCTACCTGGGATTTGTGTACATTCCAATCCCAAGATTGATTAGGGCAAGTGTCAAGGAGTAAAAAAATCGTTTCAGATCCGTCCATCAGGTACACTGCCTGCAGTCCTAGCCGGGGGACGAAGAGTGCAACCGCCTGTGCCCCCGGTACCACCTCCGGCAATGACGTCACTCCATAGCAGCAACGATAGCGGCTTTTCCAACGAGCCCCCGGTGCAGCCCGACGTCGATTACAGCGATGATGAAGCGTTGAGGTAAGTCGCTAACAGCTACCATTTGCTTTCTTCACTCTTCGTTTATTCATGTTTCTTTCCAACTTTTAGTTGAACTTCTACGTGTTCTATGTAAAGTGTAAGCTATGTAAATTATATAGAGAAAAGTAAGTTTTTGTTTTTTATATATTTAAGTATAAAAAATTTTTTCTACTGATTTTGTTTGAAAATAATATAATTAAAACAATAATATATTGTAATAATAAAAAAATTATAATTATTATATAGATAAATAAATTATAAATTAAAAAGTGGTCTATGTATTCTATTGGAAAAAGATTCTTTTTGTAATTTTCGTGATCCGTGAATTTTACTTTAATTATTACTAAAAAAGAGAATTTGTATAATTTACATAAGCTACATCAAGGATAAAAACCGAAGCAATAAAATTTTGATTAAATTCGTATAGAATGTAGACGCAGAAATGAGTTTAATGTTTATTTGTAATAATAAAAACAATAATCGATTAAATATGATCCTTTTTAATATAAAGAGGAGACTATTGTAGAGATATATTATATTATTTTAGGACATGATAAAATTATTTTTTCAACAAATGAGATTTCTAATAGTTCAATCGCATCACTTTCTTTTAGTCATCATCTGTTTTTAATTTAAACAATGACATGTTCAGTCATTTAATTTTCGTAGTTTTATATTTTTATTATTTAATATCTTTTCCATAATTTTTTAAAAATTTTATAAAAATTTAAATGTTGTAAAATTTTTCTATGCATGTGTATTCAATGATATAATATGTTTACAAAAATACAGTTTTCTTAATCTTTTTAATTCTAACATTTTTTACGTCTCGAATGAGATTGTTATTATTTATATGTAATTTTTTAGAAAAAAAAAATGAAATAAATGAAATAAATTTTAAAAATTAAAATAAAAAATGCCCTTAAGCATTATTTTATATATATATATATATATATACACACACACAATATATTGTGTGTGTGTGTGTGTGTGTGTGTGTGTGTATAATCTCCTCTATCTCTCAAATTTTTATCTCAACAAGATTATACCGGTTTTAATCCTTAATTTACATTAATTACACGTAGAATATCATTATTTATTTGCAGAAATCCGATAGTGAGAGTGTACAAACTTATCACTTATTACTTACAACAATATATTTTAGACCTTTTCTGGTCTGTGATCTATTTTTGCTTCCCCAACATTACACTTTGATAATTAACGGATAAGTGTACCTTCGCTTTAGCCTATTCAGCTTGAAGCTTTACATCATTATAGCTCTGCCATGCTGCTATCAGCTGTCTCCTTGTAATTAGTACGATTTCAATTCCTTGTCTCTCGCTGTCCGCACTCAATTCGATTGATTTATGAGGTTATTGTGAACAATAAAGGTTTGTCGGTGAATGAATGCTATAGAAATGAGTTTTTCTTTCGGAGGGTTCTGACAATATTAGCAACTATAATTAATTTTAGACAAAGCAAAAATTCTCGAATTGTCATAATCCTTGAATAAAAAAATAATCCTTGAATAAAAGAAGCTTATGTAGAATATATTATTTAACTTTTATTGTTAATGTCAATTGGATTCGACCATCAATCTTTTTATTGATTATACAGATTAAAAAATCTTCTTCCACAATTAAAGTACTAATAATGGCCTAGTTTACATCGATATACTTTAATACGCGTATTAAGTACTACTGACCAATCATTCTATTCTTTAGAAGAATGATTGTGATTCGTCAGTGCGACATTTGATACGTGTATCAAATAATCGATGTAAATTAGGCCAATAACAAACTGAACGCTATAATTTTATATAAAAAAAAAATTTTTTTTAAAAATATAAAAAATGTAATTTGTTAACTTTTTGTTTTTTACCTGAAATTATAGTACTCCCCAGTTTGTTAATATTAATACTTTTAATTGCGGAAAAGGATTTATTTATCTGCATAGTCAATCAAAATATTAGTAGTTGAACTCATTTATGAGTTTGCACAATTACAATATTAATATTAACAAACGGGGAACGAAAAGGATTTTTCAATCTGTATAGTCAATAAAAAGAGTCATGATCAAACCCAACTTCGCGTTTTTATCGATAAAATTGCTTACAATGCTTAGGATCACCTTAAACATCAAAATGACGTATACTTGCTATCTAGATTTTTTTATACAATTTTTCAATAGCAATTTTAGAAAATTTGCAATAGCAAATTGACATTAATGCATAATAATGCATAATAGCACGATTGGTATAGTAAGATTGGCATGCTAAGTCTCTTTTGGCACATTTTAATATAAGTACGATTTTTATTACATTATTTCCTCTTTTTTTTTATTCTGAGCCGCACATCTTCCATGTGAAAAATTAGTTATTTCTATATTTTCTTCGAAATTGTATCTCTCCTTCTTGTAGATACCGCATGCGCTATCGTGGTCGCTGGAAATAAACCGCCGTGGTGGTGGTTCTCTGCATCTTCACCCCAGCCTTTTTACCTTATTCTCTCTCTTCCTTTCTTCCCTCCTTGGTTTTTTTCGTTCTTCTTTATTGACCGCGCCGCGCACACAGACAACGGCGCCGGAAGCCGCGAAGCGGAGGAGATCGTCCATTCCCGAAGGACGAGAAGCAGTCCAAGGAGTGGGAGAACGACTCCTGGAAGACGATCCCGCGGGACGAGAAGTCCTGGCAGCTGTATCGCACGGCGATGGATCTATGGGCGGAATCCAAAGTCAATCATCAGACGGGCGAGGACTCGAAGAAGTACTTTGAGATGGAGAACAACGACTTCGCGCTGGAGAACGGCGACGTAACGAAGAAGAAGAGGAAGAGCAAGAAGATGGCGCAGCAGTCGAACGAGCGACCCAGCCCGAATCAACGGACAAAAATGGTGGACGCGCCTCGTCATGGCGATCAGCGACGTATCATGGACAAGCGGGCGCAAGCGGAGACAGAGGAGGACGACCTCGAGGAAGACGAAGAGGATTTTGGCGTCGAGTGTCATAATAACAACAATCATAATAATAATAATAATAATAATAATAATAATAATAATAACAACAATAATAATAACAATAATAATAACAACAAGTTCTACGCGAACACTCAAGAAACTCAACAGGAGCGAAGAGGAGGAAACAATTTTGAAGCGGACAAGTATGGCAAGTCCTCGAGCTCGTCGTCGGAATCTGATGATGAAAGTACTATCACCATTCCTGAACCGGGCCGTAAGGTCGAGCATATAGCGCAGAAGCTCGAGCAGACCGCGCAAAAATACGCGCGCGAGCACAGCCCGCCCAAGTTTCTCGAACGCCGTGAGAGGACAAGCGCAGCGGAGTATAAAAGTCTAGAGAGGGAAACCCGAGAGTCTTTGTCGCGTGACCGTCGCGAGAGATCCGCCGCGGAGTATAAGAGCCTGGAGCGTAGCCGTGATTGCGGTCAGAAGAACTTGGAGCGTTTGCGCGACGATAAACGTTCGCGAGATGACGAACGCATGCTGCGGGACGATAAGCATTCGCTTGAGCGAAGCTCCCGCGAGGACAAACAAAACTTTGGACGCTTGAAAGACGACAAGCAAAGCTTCGAACGTTTGAGAGAGGAGAAGGCCAATTTTGAACGCGCAAGAGAGGATAAATCGAACCTTGAACGCTCGAGGGAGGACAAGCAGATCTTTGAACGCTCGAGGGAAGACAAGCAAAGCTTCGATCGTTCGCGAGATAGCAAACAGAGCTTCCAACGACATAACCTAACCCGCGAAGAAGCGCAGTCGTACGAACGAACCCGCGCTCGTTCTAGGAACGACCAGGAACGCGCCTATACGGAGCAACGCAAGGAGATGATGGGTTATGAACGAACGTTCGAGAAAAACCGCAACAGGATGGTCGAACGATTGTCCAGTCGACGATTCGAGCGACCGCGACCGCCGTCACAGGAGGCTCCTGAACGGCCAGTTGGACCCTACCGAGAACGTAGATACTCCGATAAGGAAGAGGCGATTTACGGAGAAACCGGCCGATACGTAGTAGGCTCGCTCGAGAAAGATCGCGGTTATGAGTCAAACTTCGAGACGAAATTAGAGAGATCGAAGGCTCTCGAGAGACACGGTTATCACGCGGGTCTTCAGAAGCAAATGTTGCACCGAGAAGTAGCGAGCGAAGTAACGGCGATACCAATAACAACACACTGAAGATGGAACGAAAATCACCGCGACAGGGCCATATTACCGCTATGGGCCATCTTGCACAAACCGGTAGAGCCTTTGAGGAATCAAAGAGCCCGAAGCTCGTAAAGCGAACCAAGTCATTCTGGAAATTTCGTCGGGACTCGGAAGTTCTGGAAGGTATGGCACTCTGGCAGCACCGTTCGCTCGTGGACATTCCCAAGATGATCCGTAAAGAATACAAAATGGCAGGAAACGAGGAGAAGCAGAGCAACTCTGAAGGTGGTAGCCCGAATTCGAGTTTGGGCAACAGCGAAAGCACCATTACGAACGATCATCGGCACGAGGAGCCGAAGCCGGCCGAGAGAAGCCATGTACCAGACAAGACGGATTACTTTGATGATTTTCCGACGCCAGCTGAACGGCCCAAGATCACGGAGAGGTCGGCGTATAGAATTCAACAGCAGCCGGAGGAACGTGCATACTTTGTCGGCAATGTGTCGCGAAAGGCCATCATTGAGAAAGAGCGTAGACGCAGTCTCGAGGCGAAGCAAAATATGGTCGTGGCAGAGCTGAAAGAAAACAACGAGAGTAAGCGGAACGAGATACTGATGCACAATAGGAGAAATTATGACGAGGAGGAGGACGCGACGTTGAACTTCAGCGAGACTGAGGCTTCTGATGAGGAATCCACATACAGCTGCATCGTTGTTAAGGATCAGAGCATACCGGAGAAGACTCTGTTGCCGAGGACTAAGCTGAGAAGAGAGTCTGATCGAGATAGGAATACTTGCGGACCTTGGTACGATCTCTGGGGTATGGATGCGTCCGTTAATAAGAAAAAGAGAAAGCAAAAGCAACAGTAAGAGCAACAAGAATGAGTTGATATGAAATGAGATTATTATGCAGAAGATATTAAAATTATGAACATTGAACTGAAGAAACGAAGATGATAAAGAATTATCTTTCTAATATTTTAAATAATAAGAAACATTGAGAATAAAATAGAACATAGAAGAGACTGCGTACTGTTTTATATATATTGGAGGTCAAACATACAAGACACTGAAATTTTTTTGAGTCAACCTGCTGAAGATGGTCCAAAGAGAGGAAATGTTCAAAAAATATTTAAAGAAGAATTTAAGAACAAAAAAAGTTTATATTGCGTCTAATATCTTCGCCTATGTATCATACATTTAGTTCATAAATTATTGCCGCATGTATATGATTGTTATCGCATGTTAGCCTGAAGTTCCACTTCAAACATCTTAAGTTTATCTTACTTATTTGAATTTTTCGTGGACCACATCTTTTACGAGATTAATTCCGCAAACGATCGACTCCATATCCCATTTTGGTGTACTCGTGTTTGGCGAATCCCTTTCCGCGATACTCTCGTTTTGAACGATTGGCTGTTGATGTTGTAGGGGCTTGCAGCATCGTCGAAGAAAACGCTCGATACATTTTTGCGACGACATCTAAGCTTATCCCGAAATGGAGCGAGCAACCTTACCGGATGATACATCGCCTTTGGTCGTGACTTTTGTATCGTTGCTGCAGGCGATAGTTTTTTTTCTGTCTTTTTTGTTCGTTGCTGGCATAGTGCAAGGCATACGCTAGATTATTCGCAATTGTGTTTTAAAGTCTTGTCATTTTTAATTGTTATTACTCGCTTTGATTGTTTTGTAAACTAGTTTGAAACATTATACGTATTTCTATATGTAAATTTAGGATCTAAATAAAGGCTTCAATTAATCAATGGAAAAAATATATCATTCTACAAAAAATAATAGCGTTTTCGATTGGGAAAAAGTTAGTGCGCACCAGTGCGCACTCAGTTCACACGAACACTGGACAAGTTCCATGGGTTGCACTGAATAGTGCAGGTGAAAAAGAACACGCCGAAATTTTCAGTGCCACTTGAGTTGACTAGATTCCGGGAAGAACGAAAAAGTAACCTCGACATCTTGTGTTCAGTTAAGTAATGATTTTTATTATATGTAATTAAATATAGAAGATGATCAAGAATATCACGTATGACAAATATAAAAATTATTATTATTCAGTATAAAAATGCTATTACATTAAGTACATTAATTATATTTTAAAAAAGGGTATAGGTTCGATGTTTATATAAAAAGATATAACACTTACGGTGTCATTATCCATTTTTTTCACACATTCTACATAATTTACAGTTTTTGGAATTATTCTTCTAGTTCGAAGAGTTGTAATTATTTCTTCTTGCTCGCTTGAACTAGAAGAAGATTCCAAAAATGTCTCCAAAATATTAAAGAGAGCCAAATCCGAATTGCTCATTATGTCGAATTTTCGTTCAAAAGAATGCCCTACTGCTTGCATGCATCTAAATCTAGTGCATTGAACTGGCACCGTCAAAATATCTCGTGCCACTTAGTGCGCACTGAGTGCGCACTATGCGAGTGTTGTGCGTTCAAACGAACACGCAACACTAGCCAAGTGCGCATTGGCACTACCAATCGAACACGCGCCTGACATTCAGTGCAGCCAGTGCACCCCAATCGAAAACGCTATAAGATAAAAGATATTCCAAACTAAAAAAATTGAATATTTATGAGAAGTTGCGAGCTTTTTTTTTGAAGAAAGAGCAGGCATTCCTCAAATTTAATATTTTCAAGAAATTGGTTAGAATTCCAAAGTCTCTGTCGGTCGTGTATGATCATCCTTGTGATCACCCAGTGAGCACGGATTCATTCTGATTAATCCCGATTAATCATAAACTTAACACCTTTCAGGACAAACATATTCGCAACTGTGAAGCTGCGAAAGACGAAGACTAACGACCGTTCGGCGCCAGCGCTGTCATGAGACAAGCCATCCTTTCTCTAGATCACGCGTTTCTCGCGCTAATAGCGATCGATGGTAAAGAGAACGAAGGTGATTCCTCTCTTGTTGAACAAGTTCCTTCGTCGCGCAGCTTTTTCTCTCCTCGAGACTAGAATCAACGACTGCCAAACGATTATCCAACCGCAAATTTTTTTCGAACAAAAACGAAATGACGCTAACCCTTTCCGTATCTATGGGATATGTCTGTGCGATGTATGTACGTATCATACTTTTTTTAATTTCTTTTAAAAGTATTGATGCGTGTCATCTGGAACACGATGTGAAGCGTTATATGAAAACAGTTTGTAGTCTCACGATGTTAAATAAAACATTCTGTAATGTGACAGAAAAGCTTAAAGAATGTCATTGTGTGTCGATATAGGTTTACTAAGAAGTAAACTAAAGGGGCTTGAATGAATGAGTAATTTCAATAATATTAATGTATTTTTATAGTGTTATAACAGCTTTAAGGCTTCTAAATTGTTTTTTCATTTAAAAATATGACATCTAACAATTTTCAGTGTATGCTTTCTCGACTCTGATATCGACAATTTAACATGATCGATGAACCAGGAGCCTTAAGCTGTTAACATTGAATACGTTAATATTGAGATTATTTATTTGTAAGCATCGACCTTAAAAACTGTATGGTAAATTTCCATTAGGTATAACATGTTTTATATATATATATATATATATATATATATATATATATATATATATATATATACGTCCTCCATAGTAAAGTCGCCATACAGTTTTTGTAATTTTGATTTTTGATTCGTAACCTGCGATTTCAAAAATTTCGATATATACATTAATTTCGGCTAAATTTGATATACAGGAGCTTAAATTACACGTTTATACAATTTTCTATAATGAATGAAAAGTGAACCTAAAAAAGTCCAATCATTTGTATAAGGTTCTACATAAAATTATATCTAAGATAATAGATCTTATACTCTAACAGCCTTTTTATACTGACAAAAATCTCTTGACAGCTCGTGAAACGAGTGTTAAAGTTAAAAAGAGATGTTATACACGCATTTATGGTATTAATATATTAATATATTTAACTCTACTTAATTATACTCTACTTAATGTGTATTTAATACACATTTATTGGTACTGAAAGGGTTAATGTCTGAAAATATTGGATAGATCACGATGTTTTGTATCTAACATGCTATTTTGAAGTTTTTAAACGTTTTTCAACATTTTAAGATAGATTTAGTTTAAGATAATATTCTAACGTAATTTATAAGAATAAAACGAAACAGAAGACATTCAATTCGAAGAAGAACGTAAGGCGAATTTTAGAGTAACCATTTTTTTGTAACTTAAAATACGATAGTTAAGTATTCAAGGAAGTCTATAAGATGCAGAGATGTTAATATATTACGAGTAATAAATTATAATTATACATATATATAATTATATAAATAACGATCGTCCGAATTTGATTCCGGCAATTTGGGTTAGATTAGATTATGTTAATAAAATTGTTGTAATAAGAATCATGTATACATGCATACACGTTATATATATATTATATATTATTGTTATTATAAATACACCAATTTTTTAACGTGTATTTGCAGTCTTATATATTGTCATATTTTTTCATATCCCTTCTTCTGAGTCTTATGTCAATCTGAAAAAATTGATTTTATAACAATAAATTGTAATTTTTAAGATGTGTCTATCTCGATTATCAATTTGAGTTGAAATCCTGTTCAAAATGTCTCGAAGATTATGAAAAGTTCTTGAAAAAAATTCTTTATAAAAATCAGAGAAAATTAAAGAATATATTTCTTTTTATATACATAGAACAAACAATTTACAAATGAATTTCTTGAATGTTTTTCGTCAAAAATCATTTTAAATGTTTATATAAACCAAAGTATTTTTCACATGGCATTACTTTATACATGTTATCATACTGTCGTCAAATGTCGTTAGTTTTCGACAATTCTCCAAAACGATAAGATCAAGATTGATTTACACTTTTGACTAAAGTAACAGTTCGACAACAAAGTAAGTCAAGTACAAAATATTTAGATATTTAAATATATAACAAAATTTTTCATGTATAAAAATATATGAAAAACATGCGATTACAGCATTCTTATTTTAGAAAGAAAAGAACTTGCAATGATTATACTTGCAAGAACTTGCAATGATTATACTTTATAAAAAGGAACGAAAAAGATTGTTTAGTTTGCAATGCAAATATTATAAAACGGTTCTTGTGTACTTCTGAGTATATACGATGCTCATCCAGAGTTCTGATGACAAAAAAGTAATTACAAAATTTTTTAAACAATTATTTAATCCAAAAAAATTGTATTCTCGAATATAAATGTGAATTGCTGATCTTATTTTGACTGTTCTACTTTTTATTAAACAGTTCTCATTTTCAATTCAGAAAATGTGCAATACTCTTCCAAAGAGTTCTGATAGTAGAAAAATAATCAAAAAATTTTTCAACAATTACAATATGCAAAACATTTAACTTATACGTTTTTATTGCTCTAAAAAATGTTTTTTTTATTAAATGATTTTTAACAGAATACAATTTTTAATTGATACGACATAATGTGCGTAAATAATCTCAAGTTAAAAAAATCTGAAATTTATTTTTATATTATAATAACCCAAAGAATTTAAATTGTGTTTTTTACATGAGAGTCGTAATTGTCTTTACTTTGTAAAAAATTTAATTAAATACAGAACACAATTTTATTGGATTAAGATTAACATAATACATTGTATAATAAAAGTATATAAATAAACAATATACATATATATATATATATATATATATGTATATTGTTTTATATACTATATATATATAATATAACAATTTCCCGTAAAAGATAATAACGATATTTAAGTAGATTGCGTATTTTTCTTTAAACTGCTATAATTTCTTTATGTTTTCCTTTTCTCATGAGAGTCGGACAGTTTTTCTTTCTATTTACTTGTTCTGTATTTTCTTTATCTATTTTACTTATTCTTAACAAAGAAATATTTTTGCAGACATTTAAAACAAAAATGAAACCGATGTTCTTAAAATTGTCATTATATCTTTTATTATATATACATTTATATTAATTGTCCACACAATTTATATTAATTGTCCACACAAAACATAACTTTACATACATTGAGATAGTTGAGTATAACAAAAATAACGTTAAAACCACTTAAATAATATAATATGCATTAAAATATTTGCTTAATTATAGAGGTACAAACTCTACATTTTGAGTTATTTGTGAATTTAATATGGTCGATAAAATTAAGAATAATAATTAATTGTTTTTAATTTCGTCGATGATTTTAGTCTGCAAATAACTTAAAATGTGAAGTTTATTATATTAATGTATGTGAAATTTTTTTCAGATTTAATGTCATTACACTAAAAATTATCTGCAAGCTTATACAAATGAAATAAGAGTAATTATTAAGATATATTAAAAATAAACTTTTTTAAAATATGCATATACAAAATTTGTTATAAAAATTATTTATTAAAAGATAAAAAGATAAAAATAAGATATTATATATATATATAACATAAATGCAGGGTATTCATCCATAAATGTTCGAGCAAATATCTTATAACTGCAAAGTTACAAAAAAGTTTAATAAGAGAAATTAATACAGTTTTTAGAGTTCTCAATAAGAAAAAAGTAAATAATTTTTTACTCGTAATATTTTCCAATATTTTCCAAAATGGTTATTGTTTTTTTAAATAGACACTTATATATTTTTTTACATATTTATGTAGTACATGTTAATAGAAATTAAAATCATATTTAATGAAAAATTTCTACTACGTATTGTTTACGAGATTTATGTATTAAAGTAGCAAACTGAATTTTAAGCATATTTTTAAATTTGAATTAGAATATCAAAGAGATTGAAAAAACTTCTATAATAATCTGATATATATGCATATTAATGTAAAATAATAAAATATGTCAAATATATATATTTTCCAAACATTTTTTATAAATTGCATTAGTACATTCTGCAATTTTTCATGTTTCTTAATATTTGCTGAAAAATTATTCTTATCTAAAATATGTCGTTGAAATGTAATAGATTGATAGAAAAAACACTAATTCTGAGATTATATACAATTATTTATTATATTTTTATTATATTGTATTTATTATATTTATTATATATAATATATTATAAAAATAAACAAAATAGATAAATTTCATATTAGTTATTTTAAAATTAAAATTATTTTTAACATAAAATCGAACAATATCTCATGTTTGTGTCGTTCTAGTAATATTTAAAAAAATTATATTAATTAATAATAATAGTAATAAATAATTTATAATTTTATATTATAAATTATTTATGTTAATTTTTATATATTATTTTGTTTTGTTACTCTTGTTTATAAAATAAAGTTACAATTAAAAATTCATAAAATTAGGTCATTATAAATAAAAATGAATCAATCGATTCCAAATTATTCATCATTTTCGGAGATAATTTGATCCTTTCATGTATTATTTTGACTTGTCAAGTAAAACTTTTTATTCTTTTGGCGAGAATTTTCCAGTATCTAATTTCAAAATTAAGCCACCTTCATAATTCTTTCTTGGAATATTTTAGAAGGAAATCCCACAATTCGTCAAAAGATTAGTCCTTTTGTGATTTTTCAACGAAGAAATCCTTCTTTGAATATCCACCATCTTTCACAGGTAAGTGTTCCCCCGGTGTTATAATGGCGACCTATTTATTTAAATTAATAGTATCTAATAGCGTTTAATAGCGCTAGTCAAACTCGCTTTCACGAATTTTTGTAAGAAAGCAGTCTAAACTTGAAACTATGCTGCTATTTTCTTGCTATTTCTATTTCCTGTACTTTTTAGACTACTTAAAATATTTTAACATTGTATGAGAGTTATTATGTGTTAGTTATTGGAAAATCGAAGATGCCGGCTAGGCCAAAATTGATGTAATAATCTCATTTTTACTTAAACTTTTTAAAAGGTTTTTTTGTTATTTTTGCTTTATAAAAAATATTAAAATTTTTCTTACATAAGATTATATAAGATTTAATGATTTTGAAAAGATTTTTCTTTAAATCAAACTTGGTGTTAAAAAATTTTTTAAATAATGTTTAAATTAGGTTAAATTTTAAGAAGTATTTTTTATATTTTTAAATGTTATTGCTTTTATATGAGGAGAATTCAAATAAACGCAATTTATTTATGTCGCGTTTGTAATCATAAACATAAGATCAATACACTATTGAAATAGTTGAAAGGGAATATCTATACAACAAGTTCTGTATAAGAGTCGTTTGTTGAATAGCATTCAGTGTTTGTCAAAATGAGCGAGCATTCATGTTTCTGTATTCATGTTTCTATTGCGCAATGTATATAATAATTATTGTATATCTTAAATCAATGAAAACGTTAAATTAACAAATATATTGCGTAAACCTAGCTCAATTTAAGACTCCTGCATTTAAAAATTGTACAAAATATAAGCCGAAAAAAACTATTCTTGTTAATGCAATCAACAACTTTTACTAAAACTCAAAATACGCTGTAATTTGACATATAAAATGTTGAAAAGCTTAACAGAATAAAAAGTGGCAAATTGTAACTTTAATATCTTTAAAATTTAATTTTTTTTATTTAAATAGATTATTTAAATATAATATATTACCAATTTTTTATATTGATTCCCCTTTTATAAAACAAAATTTTTATTTTGTTTTATCACAAAAAAGCCTAGTATAAAATAAATATAAATCAAAATAATTCTAATAAAAATAATTGTGAACTTTTTTGTTTAGATTTAAGAATAATTTCAGTCAGCTTAGAAAATATCCTTACTATATTTAATCAAATTTACAGAATATTGAATTTCTCTATAATATATATATTATAATTAATATATTTCTTGTATCATATTCTTTTGCGATTTTCTAAGCAGAAAATAAAGCTATTATATTTATAAAATTTAGTAATTGTTATTATATAAAAAATATAAATAAACAAATTTTTATTTATTCAAACGTTGGCAAACGCTGACAACACGCGTTTCCCGCGGCATGATATTAAACTGGTTACGATTTCGGATCAATATAATGCGCACGTGTGTGCGCACGTGCATGTATTTGCTTTACTTTGAACTGCCGAATTCCACGGCAGGCTTTTTGGCTTATGGAATGTGCTAAAGCGGAGCATATTTGCCAAGCGGTTAATTATCATTTGCGGCTACCCATCTTCTCTCCCAATCCCTTCATCAGCCGTAAAACGAATACAGTGTCTGGCTAAAAAGGATTAACTGAAAGCAATTTGATGTATTAATGATTCTTTTATATATATGGTCTTCTCGAAATTACTACAATTAAAGCAAGAAACAATAATGGAGATATTTCTCGCGATTGCAGTTTTTTTATTTCAAAATTTATTAAATAATTATATGTAAATAATATTAACAAAGCAACCTTATTCTTCATAGTCTCAGCTAAATAAAAGAAAGTAATCGTTTTGATACCCAGGTAGCAAGTATTATGTCATTTTGACATCGAATGACGTCATTAGACGTCAGTTTGTTGCTTGGGCAAAAACATGAAAAGAAAAAGACGTATAACAACAAATAATCTATTACTGTTTATTTATTTATTTACAAGCACTCTACAAAATTATTTAAATATTACTTAAATTTAATTTAACTACTATTATATTATTTTGTATATCTTCCATTTGAATTAAAATTGAAGAAACTTGATTTTTTCTTCAAAATGAATATTTGGGTACCGCGCCGCACCATTCCTGAAGAAACACCAGAATGTCGTTCAGCGGCGAATCCGGAGACGCTTGTCTGGCCGTGTTGGTCAATTTGGCCCAATCGTCGCGATCCGCCACGCGGTTGCTGGTCCCCTCGAATTTGATAACCGGACCGCGTACCGGATATCCCGTGATTACGCATTGCTGAAGAGGCGCACCGGAATTAGTCGGTGACGTTAACGAGCCCACGTAGACGCCTCTCTGGTCGACCGGCAGACCCTGTTCGATCTTCTGGTCCATAGACACCGCCAGCACCCATTCTCTCGCCTCCTCGCGTTGATCTGTCACGACTCCGAGATTCTCCGGAAGTGGGACTTCTAGCGGAAAATCGGTGACGCGTAGATCGTCCACATCGAGAACATTGCTATCGCCTTCTTCCTCGATACACTCCTCCAGATCGAGAAAATGATTAAGGAAAACAAAAGCCTCACTCAAAAGCCCCGCGGAACGCGTTGCGACGCCAGCTTCGTAATAAGCTTTGTCGGCGTGGAGTATGTCGCTGTGTCGCAGAAGGCTGACAGACACTTTGACGACGATGCCAGAAAGTGCCGGGAACGAACGACAACCGTGCTTCATGGCGCAGAAATGCGCAGCCTCTAAGAGTCGCTCGAATCTGTCGGAGGGCGGAGACGAGCGGCAGAAACCGTGCAAAATGTCACGAAGCTGAGCCAAGTATCTAGAAAAGAGTTAGTTAATCAGCGAAGAGACAAAAATAGCAGCATGTGAGAAAAGAAATAATAAGATGGTATTATGTATTATTTATGAGTCAGTTGAACACAGAACTCCTGATTGGTCCAATCTCTCTCTCTCTCTCTCTCTCATTGATTATGCTAATCCTAATCTCGATATAAATGGTTGTGTACAATTGTACTGTCTTTATATGAGATATGAGATGAACCAAGGATAAAATAAATCAGATGGTATTCAAATGAATATATTATTTATTGATCAATTGAACACAGGACCCCTTGATTGGTCAATTTCTCTCATTGTTTGTGCTAATCCTAACCTAGACCGATCTGAGTGATTGTGTCCAATTACATCGTCTTCAAATGAATCTCTAATAAATCTTCCAATATCAAAACGTCTAAACATAACGAAAATAGGAAGCCTAGAAGATTAGAAGAAGCTTCAGTTGAAGAAAATTAATTATTCGTATTTTAATAGAATTGTTTATGCAGGAAGAAGATACTGTACACAGTTCATCATTAATTTATAAAAAATACAGAACCTGGGGAATGTTCCTAAATCCTCAAAATTTAGAAAGAGCAAAGATATTTAGTCGAATAAATCTGGTAACTATAAACTCCGGGCTAGATATATAGAAACAGTTAACTAAAGAAATAAGGAAATACATAGAGTAAGTGAGTGGAGTATTATTATAGTCCCAATGATCCATTGTAATGCAACCTAGATGTCATCAGGGACTATAATAGCATTACAATTTGACATCATATTAATTAAATTTCGAGTCTAAATTGGGGAAATCCCGCTTGGAAACTTATTACTACTACTAATAGAGGAAAAAAAAGTTATATGTGAAAGGATATTGCCAACAAATTTGTTAACCGCAATATATCGTACCTGTATTCCTGCTGTGGCGCATTTAGGACACTCTCTGCCAATTGTAGATAAAGATTAAAATTCTGCGAGATCGCGGGCGCACCATACTGCGCGTAGAGCTGCAACGCTTGCGGTGCGGCATCGTTCTTCAGCAATTGCGCGGCGCGTCGTGCCACAAACCTATGCAGCACTTCCGGACTCTGCGAGCTTGCGACGTCAAACACCTGGCTCCATTGACCTTTGCGCGCCATCATCTCGAGGGCGGCGTTGCCGTCCATCTCCGCCAGTCGTTCCATTTCACTCTCATTCGCCATCGCATCCCGGTACTTCTCTTCGAGATACGGTTCCAGATCAGGAGCGAGCTCGCGAACGATCCGACGCGCACGATCCCATTCACCAACTGCCACTAGCGAACTCACCGCGTCCTTCAGACGATCCGCTTGAAGAAATACCTGCAATGATACGAAATGTTCAATCATCAAGTTCATTTTTTAAGGTTCTTTACCTTGTTCTTGTTCTTAATCTATATCCAAATATATTAATATGGAATTTGATCTAATATACATAAATAGTCGTGTTAAGTTGAAAGAGCTGTATTATATTTAAAATAATATATTAATATTATAGTAATAACAAAAAAAGAAAACAAATTGAAAGTAAAAATACCTGAGCGGCGAGCGCGTGTTCACCAACAGAGAATAAGCGTGCACCTAGGTCACCCCCGATTTCTGATGCTGTTTCGGGATCCGCTTGATGCAACAAAATATCAGCCGCACGAATGAGATACGATCTGGGTGCTTGTGGATTCAAGATCAGAGTGTCCAGGGCAGCTCGCACTTCTCCTAGATCAAGCCATTTCCGAGCCTCTTCTAACGCATTTGCCCCGTCCAATCCCGCGTTCTTTTGGCCCAATTCTCTGCGAAGAGCCGCCTCCTGACTTGGCAAATATTCTCGACATACTCGCAGCGCTTCAGACCACATCCCGGCTGTCTGAAGTAAAGAAAGTTAAAACTTCTGTTTTCTCATTTACAATCCGTATAAATTTCGAGAAGAGGCCAACCTTATAGTGCTCTATTATCATATCTGGTTTGTGGGCTCTCAAAAGTAGAGCCTCCGCCGTGGCATAATCTTGTCCCTCGGCAGCTTCGGCGGCTCGGGCGATCAAAACCTGTGCCACTGCCTCCTGACTGTGCGATCGCGCAACGTCCTCTGCGGATTCCCAATCGCGGTTATGAATGTACATTTGCACGGCCTCCATGACCTTGCCAGCTTGTACGAACTCCTTTTCAGCTTCATCGAAACGGCCTTCGTCTTCCAGCGCCATAGCGTGGCGATAGTGAACTTCCTTCTTTTGGTCCACAGTGCCATATTTGGCGATCTCTAGAGCCCATTCGAACAAACTAGCCTCGCACGCCAATTGCAGACAGGGTTCCAAATAGTTAAGTCGCATTAGGAGTCTTGCGCCTAATTCCGGAGCCAATGTTCGGGCCCACATCAAGGCAACCTAAGAGAAAAAAGATTTATTCAAGAATAATAAGAAAGCAAAACAACGCTTTTGCACTTTTCTAGTTTAAATCTTACCTGCTGTGCTGCCTTCTCTCCCGAAGCCTTTTTGGCAACTCTCAACGCGTCCTCCCACATATTGGTGGATCTATATGCTGTAACTGCTCCGCGCCAATCACCAGCACCTGGGATAGAATTATGCAAACTAAATTAACTGCAGATAAAATTTGAACTTTTTGTGTTTAGATACAGGTAATGCTAAATCAAACATTGCTTATTGGTTTTTAAACACTTTTTACTTGATTAATAGTTAGCTATAAATTTTATGTGCCCTGTCTGTGTTTCAAACTATTAGTTGTTTTATATTCAATACTGACCTAAAAAGTGTTCTTCAGCTTCTCTCGGTTTGCCGGCTGTTTCTAATTCCTTCGCCAGATGCGCGTGAGTGGTTTGAAGTAGGTCAGGCCGATGCTCGGCGACCAATCTGATCATATCGCCACGATTTCCTGCCTTACGATACATCGCGATCGCCGTGTCGTGATCGCCGATGGCGACGTAGAGCGCCTCGGCGTGGCGAAGTTCGCCGGTCTGTTGCAGGCTCTCGGCATGCTTCGCCAGTACTTGGTTGGCTTCATCGCTCTTCATGTGCTCCTGAGCCACTTGATGAGCGCGCAGCCAATCGCCTGACTGAACGTGAGCTTCCACGGCACGTTGAGCATTTCCGGCACGAACAAAAAGGCTCTCCGCCAAGTTGCGTTCCCCAATTGACGAGAAGTATTCGCCCAATTTTTCACACTGCTGACGGATCTCAGGGTCATCATCGTTCTCGATTACCTGAGAAGAAAAGAATATAATAACCAAAAGTCTGGTCAAAAGTACAAATATCTTAAAAATAAATATCTTAAAAATGCTTAATAAATTATTAAAGTAATGAATAAATACTTTAGTCTTGAAAAACATGTTTTATATGTTTTACATTTTTTTTATCAAGATTTTATTTTATATAAGACATGTATTCAGAATGCAATTACTGTACCTGTATAATCTGCAAAGCCTTTCTCCATTGTCGAGCATTGATAGCAGCTTTTAATGCTAATACCGTTTCACCCGCTTCGATAAAATGATTAATGGCGGCATCGTAATGACCATTCTCTGCTAAATGCTTTCCCCAATCCCTCTCTAGCTCAACTACTAAAGTGGGATCAACTTTGCGTGCTAGATCGAGGGCTCTGGCAAATACGCCAGCCTGAGCATAACAACTGATCGCTTCGGAGCCGGCGCCAGTTTTCTCCAGTAACTCTCCAGCGAGTTCCATGAGATCGGTAGCTTTAAGGCCATTAATGACTTCCTCGACGACTCGCTCATCTTCCAGTAATTCGTTGTCACTAAGGATTAGCCTGGCGGCTCGTCCAGGTCGACGTGCTTCCAGATAAAGCTTCACGGCTCTCCTGGGATTTGTACTCTCTATGATAGACGCTGCACGGGCTGCTTGTCCGCTGTCTAATAGCCAAGCCAAATGACGATCTCGCAATTCTGACAAACCGCTCCAGTCGCGACTCTTGGCCAAAGTTAAAGCTTCCTCCCAGTGCCAATATCGTTGATACATATCTAGCGCTTTGTCCAGTTCGTTCTGCTCTAGATAGATTGCCTCGGCTGTTTTTAAATCGCCGTTCAATATGGCCAACCGGGCCCAACAATCCGGATTGGCCATTGGATCGTTGCCTGTTTCTTCAGCATACTTCTCACCGATCTTGAAACATGATAGAAGAGATAATGACAATATGATAAATTGTATCTGAAAAGAAATCAGAAATATGTAGAAAGAAAAAAGAAGAACCTTGGCGGTTTCCTCCAAAAACTTCGCGCAAGCTACATCGCCCATAGCGGCGTAACATCTGGCGGCTATCATAAGCTTTCTCTCGTTCATCGCGTTTCTAGCCACATTTTCCCACATAGTTTCTACCTGCGGACTGTCGCCCATATTTTCCAGGAACAGAACGACTCTACCAAAGTCATTGTCGTGCAGTGCGGTACCAAATTCGATCAGTCCCTCATCCAGCACATATGGTACCTTGACACCATGTTCTTCTACTATTACGGACGTTCGACCATCTTCGCGAACAACATCCATCACATCGCCCTTGATTGGCGTCAGCGTGGCAGCTTCTGGCGCGTCTACATTATACCAAACGGCCAGCGTTTGGCCTGTCTGAGCGATGACAACATCACTTCCGGGTATCCAAGATGCAAAGGATGCCCCACTTACCAGCAAAACTCTAATGTTTCGCGTGTATAAATAAAAATTGAGATTATAATTAAAGAGAATCTTCAGAAAAATTATTACAAGTTCTGATAAAGAATTTCTCTTAAATATAAACCAAATCTTCAATGAAAATATTAGACCGAAATAATAAGATTTAGCTCTTGTATTACATTCTGTTTTAAGAACATAGATATTGTAATGTTTTAATTCTCTCATAACAAATACTAATAATTCAAGATGTTCCATTTATTTACCTTCCACCTGTGTCATTGCTTAGCCAAAGTCGACCTCGCTTGTCACGCGACAGTAATCGATGACCTGCCTCACTTAGCTCTAACCAGTCGATTCGAGCATCATGAACAATTACGCTAATGGTCCCGCTTGTTATTAGATCGATCACGCGGACGGTTTTCGGATCCAATAGATAAGCTAGCTTTTTATTGTCGATCCCGTTGATCGAAGGTCGTTCGTTCACACGTACACTGACCACGTGCGGGTTTACTGCTTCCGTTCGTACGGAACTGAGTGCCTCGTTCTGACCGTATTCAACGATCGTCAACTCGCCGGAATAGAAAATCAGGCAAACAACTGGATATTCAAAGAAGAACTTTTCACCGCCGCTAGATCGATCTTCCCATGGAATCTCACTGATCAAGCCCAGCTCGATGTCACCGATCAGCAAAGTGCGCGCTGTGCGTGCCACAACATTGTTATCTCTACGTCCTAAAACGCGCACGTCCTCGATCTCCAAACCAGTCTGAGATCTGACAACGATGGAACGTTGCGAAGAATCGTTCAAAGGTCGAATCACTACCTGGCTGGGGCCTACATAGGCCACCTCATGACTGCCTCGGACTACTGTGCGTCTAAAAACAAAGACAAGAAAACTTCTAGAGATACTGAATATCTGAAGTAAAGTTTTGCCAATATAAGTAAAACGTGATTTCATGCAGAACTTAAGGGGATCCTAAACGCTATTGAGTTTCAGTCCTGTTTTATTGACAAAATGTGAGAATAAATTCAACTATAAATCTATTTATTGGCTATACGGATTATTTTTTACCTGAAATTAAAGCACTTCCACATTTGTTAATATTAACCCTCAGTTATCATTCATTTTTGGCCACCCTATTTTACCACTCATGGGTTAGAGTAACCCAGAGTCTTCTTTTGTTTACATTTCTGAATCTAATGAAGCTATTTTGAAGTATTTTTTTTCAATTGATACGCCAGACAGTAAGAAAAAAGAATATATCGGTACAAATGTCACCAGATTTCTACGACTCGAGATATTTGAGAAGAAATGAAAAGTGATCTTCTAAAATTTCGAAAAAATCATTTTTGATATAGGTTAACGTAACCCAGAGATATAACTGAGGGTTAATACTTTAATTAATTTGTACAGGAAAAAGATTTATCAATCTATATAGCCTCATATATCTAGGTGCAGAATTATAAATTGATAAAGAATTTATTGATTTGTTTATTAGAATAGAATTGATTAGAATAAATTAATCAATCTTTTTCCTGTACAAATTAAAGTATTAATATTAACAAATGTAGAAGTGCTTTAATTTTAGATAAAAAACAATCCGCATAGCCAATAAATGAATTATTATAGTTGAATCTGTTAATCTCACATTATGTCGATCAAGGACATTTAGGATCCCCTTAAGGGATTTATTATTTGCAAATAAATATATCCAGCACATCAAAAATTCTAATTAAGTCTGTAGTGAAATATTTACTTATTATAATAACATGTTATTATTCTGCAAAATAGAAAAGTACAAGATTTACATTCTAGTTACGTGTTCTCATATCAAGATAATTTTACGTTAAAATCTTTAACGATAAGGAAGTATCAAGTTTCGCGGAATTTAAAGCTCTGAAGAGTATTGAAACAAATACAATAAAAAATTAAAAAGTCCAATTATCTCAAGCCTCAGTCACCTCAGGATTGTTTCAAACTGTTCAACACCACCGCACAATCCTCCAACCGCTAGCTTCGAACCGTCTCGTCTCCAGGCAAGCGCCGTAATTGTGTAGAAATTAGGAAGAGCACGCACATTAGTCTCCTCCCAGATGCTTCGTCGTGGCGACCAATCGAAGATGCGCACCTTATCCCAGGAACCTACGGCGACGCTCTGACCGCTCGGGCTGCAACAAGCCACTGTGATCTCTTTTTCTTCGGGATCCCGGCTGTAGTCGAAGGTTTTGACCGGCTTGCCATACGAATCGTACACGGTCAACCGTTTGTCGCTACCTGCCGCCAGGATATGCGATTGCGACCAAGCTAGTGCATAAGCGGGCACTCCGTGAACACATACACGTCCCGACGGTTCTGCACCGTCGTTCTCGGTGATGTAATACCGGATGATACTGCCGTCGGCGTGGCTCGATATGAAGCCATTTCCGCGGATGCTGGAAGTCGAGAGAAAAATTATAATTGTCAAACACCCCAGACAGCACACGATATTTATAATAAAGATTCATAATAATCTCGATAATTCAAAACGTAATTGCGATAGGTTTTGATTTACTTGCTAGCTAGAGCTATCGTCATGGCATCAGAGGTATACAAGGTTTGCGCCTTCTGCGACTTGACCAGGGCCGCACGGACTTTTCCATCCGCCAATCCTATGATAATTGGACCATCTCTTGTCTCTGACGGCCAGATCAAACAAGTCACCGCAGAGCTTTGTTTAAATTTATTGCAAATTACTTTTTTGTCGTTCCTAAAATAATTTCTGATATAAATAATTTATTACAATTTTTTATATACTTTTCTTCTCTTTTTTCAAATTGAATGTTGTATAGTTACCAATCATCTCCTATTTTGTATACATAGACGATGCAGTCGGTTTGGCCAACTGCAATCTTGGTGGACTCCGGTGAGAAAGCTATTCCCTTTATCATATAACTTTTTTTGCCAAACTACAAATAATGAAAAAAAGATGTTGCTTTTTATTATAATATTTTTAATATTAACAGGGTTGGGTAAATTAATAATTTTTTAAAACTAAGTTAAGTTAAAGTTAAAGTTCCTTATAAAATTAATTTAGTTACGTTAAAAGTTGCATGAACAAAAATTAACTCAGTTAAAGTTAAGTTAAGATTAAATTAACTGATAACACTTAAATCAAAAGTTAATTTTAAAAAAACATTATTTATATTAAATTAGAATTTTGTTTGTTAATTCTTTTAAAATTTATAATAAAAAATAATAAAGAAATTTTGATAATTTTTATATAAAATATATTTTTTGGTAATTATAATTTATAACAAATAAACACAAAAAATAATAATACTACCAAATTTATATTAATTTAATAAATACCTTAATATCAACAGGTTTAGTAGAAAACCTGTCACGTTTGACTCCGTTCTCATCAAAGAGATAAATAGAACGATCCGAGGACGCTACAGCTAACTTTAAGTTGTTTGGCGACCATGCTATATCAATAACTTTGTTTTCACTTTCCTATAAATATAATACATTTATTTTTAAGCTATAACATAAATAATAATAAGTGTAATAACAATTAGTACTTCATGCATTTCTCACAAAACTATTTTTATTTAATAAAGAGACAAAATATAAATATCATTCTCTATCTAAAAAACTTAATATACTTTCTATCTCTCTGAAGATAATAGCTTTTTTCAATTATGAATTGTGTTCTACTCACCTGCGCAGATATAACAGTACCGAGATACTTAAGCAACATGTTAATTTAATTATAATCTTAACTTTTTAGCATAATAAGAAGATATTCTAATATTATTTACAAGCGTGCATGTTGCTATAGAGTCACTAGTGTAAAGCAAGTGTCAATCTATCAATTGCGGATTGCGCCACGTGTGTACACATTGGTTGCTTAGCAACTGAACTCCCCACTACTCCAACTTTTAATTGAAGGATAATGTATACATGTATTGAAATTAATTAATTCACGCCTACTAAATATACATAGCAAAATTTCTTGTTCAAAAATAAATCGAAAAATCCTAAATGATTTTTTTTCTGCGATGTTTAATAAAAGAGAAATTATTGAATAAAATTCACTAAATCAATGCCATTCGTTCTATATGTATTATAGACATACATATGTATATAAACATACATATGTATATTGACATAGTTATATGCAAAATTAATAGCACCGGTTGAAAAAATGAGGGGATTTTGTATATTTTCTCCACCATCAAAAAGTGATTATTAAAGGATTTCCTAATATTCGTCAGTTCGTTCGAAGATCACAAAAGTCAGCATTTAATTCTAGATACACAGTCAAGACAGTTAAACATGGTAGAGGAAACATACAGATTCTCTTCATTTTTTCAACCGGTGTTATCATTTTGCACATAACTGTATGTTTACAATTGGTAATGTGTGTGTATGTGTGTACATACATACATAAGAATTTAATTAACATTCTGTATATGCGCGGATTTTTTACAAAATCTTTTTCAGATGAACATTTCTTTCAAAATTAAATTTTAGAAAAAATGAAATATTTGATATTCAGAAACCTAAATGTTTAATATTATTAAGCTCGCAAATAACTATAAAATAAATAAAATATGTCTATAAAATAAACTTAATCTAGAAAAAAAATATAAAAATTAAAAGGAAAAATACAAGAATATATAAAAAAAGAAAGAAGTAAAAATATACATATTTTATACCTAATATCCAAAAAAGAAACCTAATAAAGAACGGTCATGTTTGTTTATTTTTTGCAAGATGTTTTTTTATATCTTATATATGTATAGAAATATATTTTTATATCCATTTTAATAGAATATATACATATTAACTACATCCGTTTTTATTTTGAATCGCCAATAAAATCTCCATTTGATGCGCGATATATCTATAAATTGTAGATTAGAAATATTTGAATTTATAAAATTTATTGATATATATATATATATATATATATATATATATATATATGACTTTATTGTAATATATATATAGTTGCGTATAATAGGTTTTTATTTTAGTATAAAATAAAAATAGTGCGATATAAGTTATTTTTATTGTAGAATGTTTATATACATATATATATATATATATATATATATATATATAATATAATAAAATATAATATAATAAAATATATATATATTATATATATATATATATATATATATATAATATATATTTACACACACATATGTACAATAAAATTATCTTTAATAAACAATGTAGAAGACATATATATATATGTCTTCTACATTGTTCATGTTGTAAAAAGAGAAAACAATAATGTATTGCTATGTATGATCTACAAAATAAAATCACAAAATTAATATAAACAAAATAAACTATAATATATTATAGTTTATATTATAGTTTATTTTATATCATTAATAAAAAGAAGAAAACAATAATGTATTGCATATATATATATATATATATATATATATATGCAATACATTATTGTTTTCTTTTTATTAATGATATAAAATAAACTATAATATATTATAGTTTATTTTGTTTATATTAATTTTGTGATTTTATTTTGTAGATCATTATTTATTTTTATTATTATTATTGTATTGAAGAAGACTGTAGTATAGTCAAAATGTTTGCGGTAAATGTTTATATAAGTACAAAATCAATAAAATATTCTAAGATTTTATTGCTCGTTTAGTTGGCCTAAATATCATTTTATTTTGAATAATTTTTAATTTATACGAACTTTCCAATTTTTTATTTAAATTTACGTATTATCGATGCGATAACTATACTCTGTTGCCTAAAAGTATATTCAGTGTATATTTATAATTTTATATTCTATTTAAAAATAAATATATAATAAGTTACACTTTTATAAACATTTTTTTACACATTTTTAACTTTTATAAATGGCTATAATAGTTTGAAAAACACAAAATCTACGCTAACAGCAGAAATGTTTGAAAGAGTGTTGCAACATTCTATGGATATTTTCTGAATATATCTTTTGAACATTTCTGCTATTATTCCTTACCAAATTTTAGATTAAACTATATATACAGAGTGGATCATTTAAGTTGATAATGTGAAATATCTCAAAAATGAAGCGTTGGAGAAAGAAATGTTTTAAATAAAAGTAAATTGACTTTAAGGGGGAAAGCGAATTGCATGATTTATGTTTTATTTGGAGGATATTTTCAAGGTCATTTAAAGGTCAATCTAATTTTTTTAAATGGAAATCTATATTTTTTATTTTTTATTCTTATTCCTCGTAAAAATATAAGTAACTTTTGTAAGAACCATTTTTCAATTTAGCACATACTGTAAGTTTCACAGATATTTGAAAAGTGAAAATTGACAAAAGAAAGTAATACCGTACTGTACAGAACAATTTTATAAGCATCCGCTGTACATTTTATTAATATTAGTCAAAACAAAAACATTAACATAATTCAATTAGATTGCTGGTAGTGGTAATTATTATAAGGAGTTTTATTCTCCACGTCGTCCTTTTACAATATTTAGACACAGCGTATAAGTTTCTTCTAAGGTATGACTTATTTTGTGTACATTGGGCTTATCATTGTTATTAGTTATCAGTATTGCCATTCTGTTCGGACGTACGATCTAACACGTTTCCTGACATTAGCAATAGCTCATTTTTAATTTATTTATTATTAACTTTTGAACGAAATTTGTTTGCGTCTATGTGTTTATTCATTAATAATTTATTCCACTGTTGACCAATCGTGTTATTACTTACTACATAATGTGAGTATTATTTCTTTTTTCTGCGTACTTGATTGTATTTTAAATGAACTTATACTGTTATATTTCTCTATTGTTATTTTAGATCTGCTTGAAAAGGACCTAAAGTTGAGGTCAAAACGTAGCAATTTAATAAAAATTATATGCCAGAGTGTCAAATAGAAGAGTATTGTTCTACTTATTATTTATAATTCTTGGCAATTTCAATAATTCGATTGTTAGTAATTATTGTCATTATTTAGACTCAGCAATGGAATGTTTATCTATAGAGGAAAAAGTCGAAATGGTTCTTATTTATGGAGAATCTAGGAGAAATGTGTAACAGTCTATTCTTCTGTATGCCGAACGGTTTCCTGATAGAAGAACTCCATCACAAATATCATTTTATCGTGTTATAAAGCAGTTTTCAGAAGAAGAAAGTGTTCAGCCAAAAAAAAAGGAACCGTAAAAGAACCGCTACCGGCGAAAATAAGGAAACTGCAGTGTTAGCTGCAGTGAATTACGATCCCCATATAAGTTCCCAAAAATTAGTTACCAATTCAGGAATTTCTAAAAGCAGTATTCACACACAAATTCCAACCATACCATGTGTTGTTGCATCAAGAACTACATGGTGACGATTTTGTGAATAGAATAACATTTTGTAGATGGGCACAAGATATAATGCGGAATAATAATAACTTTTTCTATCCGTATTATTTAGTAAAACGAATGTACTTTCACCAATCATGGTGAAGTAAATCGGCATAACATGCACTATTGGGCTGTTGAAAATTCACATTGGTTATAAGAGAAGTGGAGCATCAGAGATCTTGGTCTGTTAATGTGTGGTGTGGAATTTTGGGAGAAAAAGTAATTGGGCCTTTTTATCGATTGCACATTAACAGGAGAAATGTACACAATCTTTGTAACTGAGGAGTTATCGTTATACTGTTGGGAGATGTACCATTAGAAGAAAGGCAGACCATGTGATACCAGCACGACGGATGCCTTGCTTATTATGCACGTATTGCTAGAGATGCTTTAAATCAGAATTACAATGGTCGTTGGATAGGACGCGGAGGTCCAGTACATTGGCCAGCTCGATCTCATGATCTTACACCCCTAGACTATTTCTTATGGGGTTATCTCAAAGATAAAGTTTACATCGATGAACCAACGACTCCAGAAAACATGCAAGAGTACATACAAAATGCTTGTGCAAATATTGAAAGAGACGCACTTTTACGCACACATCTTTTCTACAAAGAATTGTAAAGTGCATTGAGGTAAAAGGGCATTACTTTGAACATTTATTATAATCTAATTGAATTATGTTAATGTCTTTTTATTTCGACTAATAATAATAAAATGTACAGTGGATGCTTATAAAATTGTACAGTACAGTACGGTATTACTTTTTTTTATCAATTTTTACTTTTCAAATATCTGTGAAACATACAGTGCTAAATTAAAAAATGGTTTCTACAAAAGTTGCTTATATTTTTACGAGGAATAAGAATAAAAATAAAAATATAGGTTTCCATTTAAAAAAATTAGATTGACCTTTAAATGACCTTAAAAATATTCTCCAAATAAAACATAAATCATGCAATTCGCTTTCCCCCTTAAAACATTTCTTTCTCCAACGCTTCATTTTTGAGATATTTCACATTATCAACTTAAATGGTCCACCCTGTATACCTATATATACATCAACCACGATCGTTTTGATAAAAAAAGCGTTCATTATATATATATATATATATGTGTGTGTTTTTAACTCATGATTTCTGAGTATTTATTAAAGCAAATATAAATTTAAAAAATTTGTATCATAATGATTTAATAAATATATTTATAATAATATTTATCATAAATATTTTCTGATATTTATGATAAATATTTATGTGATCTATTGAATCTAAAGACTCCAAAACATTTATAAATTATTTATGATAAATATTTATAAAATATTAAAATAATTATTATTAATATTCTACAAATATTTTATAAATATTCTGTGTTGTCTGCGCGCGGGAGATAACATATATATATATATTTTTAAAAATTTTCGAGATTATACAAAAAATTTTTTTATTTAAGTAAAAATTATACAAACTATGTTCAATTAATATATATTATATTAAATGTTATCTTACAAATCTTATTAGATTACGATTAAGATTATTTAAAATTTTTTCACGTGTCAGATGTCAGATGATCTGTTTATTCGTCGCGCATGCGCGAAAAATCCGGAGCGCAATACTACAATTTGGAAGTCCTGCACGTGAATTTGTGTGTTTATTCGTGTTTATTACTTATGATTGTGTTCGAAAGTGGATTTCCTCATGCACAGCTCCGCTCTGCGAACCTTTAAACGGTACGAATTATTTTAATATTTCTCGAAGCGCGTCATGTCATTTTTCGCGTAAATTTTCAGATTAATCAAGCATAACCTCCCAATTTAAACTTGACATTTAACACCTTGTAAATAATAATGATAATAATAATAATGTAATACAATACAAATAATTATAGTAATGAAATATAATGTAATACGAAAAATTATAATTTTTAAACATTTTCGCAAATATATAATTAATAATATTTTTTATATATAATTAAATTTTTATATGTAATTAATAATATATTTTGTATAAACAATATATAGAAATTTTTATAAATTATATTGCATCATCACATATATAATATTTTCTCTTACCTCTATAGATAATTTTATTAAATTAATATATAGAAATTATGATGTCATAATTTACTCTAATGCAATAATTATATAATAATACCTAAATACATATACATATATTTTTATTACTTTGACAGTCTTTATTTAATCATACATATCCATTTTAGGTTTTATGGACCAAAGTTATTAGATGCTGCATCTGAAGTAAAGATATATTGTAGATATTCGTTATATGTCAGACACAAAGCACACATAGCAATGTTGAATGATCAGAAGTTGGATATTTCTGCGCAAGAGGAAACAGGTTCACTATCCTGGCTGCGTACCGTAGCCCCAGCCTTCCCAGTGAATGGTTCCAAGGTAAAATAAAATTATACACATGACCAAAAAGTGAATCTCTTACTTTAACAAGATTGTTTTCATCGACAGATTACTATAATTCACAAACCGCAAGTGTTTTACACTACTCTGTTGGACAAGTGCAAGCACGCCAAGAAGAGAATCACATTTGCCTCATTGTATTTAGGTATTGGTCCTTTAGAAACTGAGTTGGTAGGTATAATAAGAAAAGCTGATAAGTCTATAGAAAAACTTGTCGAGCTAATCAATTGGAATAAAAGAAATCTGTAATAAAGATTACAGAGAAGATTAAAATTGAGAAGAGCGAGAGAGAGGGAAAAAGATACATATATATAATTAAAATTATTATAATTATTATTAAAATTATATATTATATAAAAAAATTCAGAAAAACTAGGCCAACTAAACAAGCTAAAGTTTGAATGTTAAATGGTTTTAACTTATCATATAGTCTTGGAAAGTATCTATTCTTAAAAGTAAACGTTTTGATTGTACTCAGTCTTTTTCAATACATTAATTTACCTAAATAATATTATATATATTATACATAATTTTTAGCTTTCAAATTTATCAATTTCGCTTTGATCAATTTAGCTTTGATCTTGGAAAACAAAATTTCGTTTCTCGTTCACAGGTAAACGTTATAGAGCAGGCGATAAATACAAGTGATGGCAACGTACAAGTACGGATTCTCCTGGACTACATGAGAGGTTCACGGGGTAAGCAGAACTCTAGAAAGATGCTGGAGCCGTTGCTCAAGGGCAAATACGGCAATCGCTGTAAGGTCTTTCTCTATCACACACCTAAACTACGTGGCGTCATGAAGGCGACAATACCTGACCGCTTTAACGAGCTCATTGGCTTGCAGCACATGAAGTTGTATATAATTGACGACGATTTGATCATTAGTGGGTGGGTTGGCAGTTATATCTCTCAATAATTGGTTAAGAAAGATTTGTTCAAATTTTTCAGTAATAATTTAAGAGAGAATTCACAAGCATACGTCATTTTGACGTTATGACATTATTTTGACGTTTAATGACAAATGTCATTTTGCTACTTGGAAATTGCAAAAAATGGCAAAAAAAATTTTTCTGTATTTAAGGGATACATAAGATTATTTTTATAAAAATGTATATATATATATATTTTTTTTTTTTTTTTTTTTTTCAGAGCGAACCTCAGCAACGATTATTTCACAAATCGGCAGGATCGATACTTCGTCATTGCAGATTGCAAAGAGCTTTGTGATTTTTATAATAGCTTGATCGAAAGAGTGATGGAATTTAGCTTTTTGTTACAACCGGATGGTAATACGAATTTGAATCCTGCCGTGAATTGTCATCCTTATAAAGGATCCAGAAAAACTTTTATTCAGGAGGCCGCGTCCAAGATACAAACGCTATTCCAGAATGAAATAGAAAAACGCGCAGATCTAAATAAAAAGGTAAAAATAAGATATTCTTTTATAAATTTTATGTGCAAAGCAAGAAAAGTATTAAGTTGTATTAATTTGATTAAGTTTATTACTGATTAAGTGAAATAAAGAATAGCATTAGGTTATTCAATTTTTCAATATAATTTTGTAGACGCAGATACGTGGATATTTCCATTGGTACAGATGGGTCAGCTGGACGTCTATCACGACAGTGAGATAACGTTGAAGCTCATACAAACAGCTCCAGTGGGAGCTACACTCAGATTAGCGACAGGCTATTTCAATCTCACCTTCGATTACAGCCGGGCTTTGCTCAGAGATTGTCAAGCAACGTGTCATCTTTTGACAGCGCATCCCACTGCCAATGGTTTTTTCAGTATGTTATCATTAAATTTTTTTATCACATCACTAATATAAATCATTTCAAACTTTGAATTAATTTTGTAAACTACGACTTGTGTAGCACCTTTTTTTACAAGATTATAATTTTTTTTTATCAAAGAATTTATATAAATAATAGTTATAATTATAATATATTATATTATTATAATATATATATATATATATATATATATATATATATATATAATAATTATAACTATTATTTATATGAATTCTTTGATAAAAAAAATTATAATCTTATAATATATATATATATATATATTAATAATCTTAAAAATTGATTTGGACTTGTGTTATAAAAACAATACAATATTTATTTAATTTAAGGCCTCAACGAGCAAAAATATGGAGTTACTATATTACAAAATTGTTAAAATTAAAAGTCGAAATTACAATATCAAAAAACATTAATTGATTTACTCAAAGGATAAAATTTTTAAATTACAAAAATTGTCAAGATATTAGACTATAAAATTACATGTTAATAAATTAGCGCGAAAATTATCTACATATTAATAAATCAGCGCGAGACGTTTCGACACTCACTTGTGTCTTTTCAATCGCTTATTTTCAAATAGTTACTGTTGTAATCTGTTAAAAAATTATTTTGTTAAATCTAAGATATATGAATATTAATCACTGGGAGACAGTAGTAATTTATGGTATCTGCTTTTATTGGAATGTCCATGATTTGAATTTTATTTTAATTTGTGATTATCCATATATATATAAAACTTGTTTGTTACAGTTCTTGGTCTTAATGTTGATGATAAACGGACCTGTTAGTTCTGATTTTGTATAATAATATTTGAATCGTCTTAATAGTGTTATGGTGTAACATCTCGTAATATACTCATCGCTTTCTCGATAATTTTATATATATTATATATATATATATATATATATTCAGAAAGATATTCAATTGAAGAACGATAATAACAATGTAGTATATAAAATTAAATGTGTAAATTGCGATGCATCTGATGGAGGTCAGACCAAATGACAATTTAAAACAAGGGTTAATGAACATCAAAGAAATATGTATTTCTTTTATAAGAAATCAGAACTAACAAGTCTGTTTATCGTTAATATTAAGACCGTAATAAACAAGTTTTATACATATGAATAATCACAAATTAAAATAAAATTCAAATCATAGACATCAAAAGAAAGAATGGACATTCCAATAGAAGCAGGTACCATAGTTTATAATATATATCTTAAATTTAATAAAATAATTTTTTAACAGATTACAACATTAACTATTTGAAAATAAGTGACTGAAGAGACACAAGTGAGTGTCGAAACGTATCGCGCTGATTTATTAATATGTAGATAATTTTCGCGCTAATTTATTAACATGTAATTTTATAGTCCAATATCTCGACAATTTTTGTAATTTAAAAATTTTATCCTTTGAGCAAATCAATTAATGTTTTTTGATATTGTCATTTCGACTTTAATTTTAACAATTTTGTAATATATAGTAACTCTATATTTTTTGCTCGTTGAGGCTTTATATATATATATATATAAATTAAATATTGTATATATTATATATAATTATATTATTATATAATCCTTGCAATTACTTATAATATTTTCTTATCTTCAAGATGCTAAAGGAATTGCCAGAGGAATTCCGGCGGCGTACACCAGAATAGAGGAATCTTTCTATGATTTATGTGAAAAGATGGATCAGCAGAAGAGAATAACGTTATGGGAGTTTATCAAACCGGGATGGACTTATCACGCCAAGGGTCTCTGGTACACTTTGCCTGATCAGCAAAAGCCCTCATTAACTCTCATAGGTTCGCCAAATTTTGGTAAGATAAATTCTAAATCTCAAATATCAATAAAGAATATTGCACCTTTTCTACTGTTACATATTCTTTCGCTAGTTTCCTTAATTTTAATAGATGCTCTAAAATAGAGTTGCAGTGTTTTTTTATATCATAAATGTTGCTTTTAAATACAAAATTTTATATAAGCGACATCTATTGGCGACATTTATAATATAAAAAAAAACACTGCAACTCTATTTCAGAGTATCTATTATTTATAACAAATAATGAGATGCAATTTAATTCGACTAAAAACTGGCTATTCATTTATTCAAAATAAGTACACACATATTGTCACTGGCGATCAACAATTATTTGTGAAGAATTATTAAAATTTATAATAATAAATGTCGTCAATATTAATAATGAGGGAAAAATCGCAATAAATGATAATAGCCTGTTTGATATTTCAATGTGTTTATAGAATCAGCTGTATATATTGAAAAATAAAGGATAATTTAGGTTACAGATCGGTCAACAGGGACCTTGAGACGCAGATAGCCGTGGTGACGAGGAATGAGAAGTTGCAGGACGCGTTGCACGAGGAACAGGCGCGATTGTTCTCATGTGCTAAGCCCGCTACTAGAAAGACCTTCTCGCAGCGAGACAGAGTACCGCCAGCCTGGGTGTGCGCAGTCGTACTTTTCTTTCGTTATTATTTTTAAAATGAAATTAATGTGCTTGCCTTTAGGGCTCCTGGATCGGTGAGAGATCAAGAGCCTTAGGAAGGCAAATTACGCAAATACTTATTTAATTCTAGCTGTAATATTGTTGCGCAACAAGTAAAAAAAGCCTGCATAGGCTTCTTATGAAGCTCCATTAATTCGTATATTATTTATACAAAATTGTCTACGCAGATTTTTATTCATTTTTATTTATTTGTATCGTCCTCTGGAATTATTGTTTCTATTTGGATTGATCAGAAAGTTTAGCAAAAAATTTAAATTTAAGCTATGAAAATAATTATCTAAGAAAGTGACAAGTATTCTTTTGATTAAAATTATAGCTTAATATTTTGTAGTTTAATTTGTACTTAATTTTGTAATTTAAATTTTTAAAAGAATCCAAACTTTCTGATCAATTAAATATAATTTTGGAAATTCTAAGAGATTATTTCATATAAAAGCTTCATTGTAAATTTTTCTATTAGAAAATGTAATAAAACTGTTATAGAATTTAAAGAGATCTTCAGTTTAAAGATGATCTCTGATAAATGTGATTTTAGAGATGGAATCTTAGAATTCTTTACTATTTAAACTTTCGTATGTATAAGATTCAAAAATTAATCGTCGTCTCGTAAAATGATAGAGTAGCATTTTATTTCGCAAGTTATCTGACAGTGAAATTGAGTGATATAATTATTTTCTCACGGGCTATTCTGTAAGGGATATGATAAAATTTAATATTATTACGATGTCGTCGCTTTTTGCGTAACATCGGATACGCAAAGGCGACTTTAATTCGGATACCATAGTAATAATAATAATAATAATAATAATATAAAGATGATCTGTTAAAACCATTCATGGTTCACAGATCAAGATAATTGCAACGAGATTCGATTGCAATTATCGATGATGACGACGACGATTAATATTGCGACACTTTGTAGATGGAAACCGAGCGCCGAGTACTTTTGTACTCAAAGATTTCCAAGAACGGCAACTGACAGCACGCGGCAATTAACAATTTTTCTGCGATATTTTATTTATCGTCAATTACAAATGTTTCTTCCTTGACGAAAAATTCCACGACCTCCTCTTCTACGTTCTTCGAATCTGAATCCAGCTCGTCGGTGTCGATATCTAAAAAAAAAAAAAAGCGTACATACACGATTAATCTCGAATATTAAGAAAATATTTTATGCATTTTTTGCATAATGCATTTTTATATCTTATATGCATTTCATTATTTTCAGTACAATAATTTTTTAAAAGGCAACATTTGATAGAATATTTTAAAAGGCGCTTAATAATTATTTATAATATTTATACTTACTGCAACGTAATTCAAGACGGCGTTTCTTCTGATTGTTCCATTCTTCGATTCGTTTCGTGCGATATTCTTCGAACGCCTTCATCAATAAACAGCGCTTCTCAATTAATTCCTACAAAATTAATCAGTTGTTAAAATATAATATATTAAAAATTAAAATATATATGTATTTTAACTTGTACAGGATGAAATTTTATATTAGAATTCTTAACTCTAGGACATGTTAACGAAGTATTGTACGAAGAGTATGACATTCTGTATATTTAAATATATAATACATATTATATATATTTATTATTTATATATATATGTATATTATATCTTTTTTTTTAATGTATCTATTATTTATATTTTTTATTTTTATTATTTATTATATGTATACTAATGTTATTTTGTATTATAAAATATGAAATATAAAATCATCTAAAAACGTGGTGAAACTTTCGAAGAAAAGTTTTTTCTACGCATTTGCAGAAATATTTACAATTATAAATATAAAAAGAAATTGTTTAAAGAACGAGAATAAAAAGGCGGGCGTTTTAAAGAATTACATTAAATGCAATTAATAATGATTATTATTAAATATACCTTTGAAGCGCGCGTTAACCGCATGCGATCTTTGCTCTCGAATTGCGCCGAATATTTTTTCAGATTCTTTTTGATCTCTTTGATCTGTTCTGCGGTGAGCAAAGTCGGTGGTCGCGGCCGCCAGAGCAATTGGTTGAACGCATTTAGGTTGACTCTCTTTAAAATGCGACCCTGGAACGTCCATATCCAGTAACCATTGTCAACGCTGGTCTTCCAATTGGACACTGCTGTGACGACATATCTGAAATTAATTACAATGAGAGAATTGATAAAGTCAATTTCTTAATATATAGAGTAGATGAATATTCAAATTAAAACGCTTAAATATATATAAAAAAATAAAATAAAAAGAAATTGTATTATAATTTAATAAATTTATATTATTTTATAATTTAATATAAAATGATATTAGCATATAATAATAAAAACAATAAAAAATATTATGAATAATAAATACATTAAAATAAAATAAAATAAGAAATTATATTTCCATTAAAGTTATTAGTTTTTTTTTATATACTGTGTAATTTTGATGCGTCTTTGAATTTACCTGCCAGTAGGATCCCACTCCACGTCCGATGTTTGATAATGATCAGTGGAATTCATGATGGTAAAATCATTGGTGTCGATGAATTCCAGAGCACCAGCCATTGTTGTCAGACCAGCAAGGACAATAAACTGACCCGATGGCGACCAAAATAGGTGATTGCAAGCTTTTTTCTCTAATCTCTCTGGAAGGAACATCAAAGGAGCGATTTATTATAAATAATAAACTTCAACTAATGATTTATTATAAATATTGAACTTATAAACTGATGATTTATTATAAATATTAAACTTAACCTGATGATTTATTATAAATATTGAACTTAAACTGATTAAACAAACACTTGGCAATTTGCAAGTTGTTAATTTAATATATAATAGAATCGAAAAGAATTGAAGGAAATATATAATGAAATTATTATACATTCTCACTTACTGAGAAGAGCGGGCTGGTGACCGTATCGAACTTCGTAAAAGCTGACATTCACACTGGGAATTTCTCCATGGATGATGGCAAACTTGCTGCCGACCGGTTCCCAGGCAAAAGCATGAATTGGCTCCTTTATTTCTACGCTGTCTACGGGAATCTGTTTCTCTCTCATGTGGAAAATCTCGAAGTTATACGACATACCCTGAAACGCGAAATAAATAGAATAAGTTTGGATAACATTAATTTATTATCACACGCAGAAGCTGTTTCTTAAAATATAAAATTATTCTTTATTTCTAATAATTATTTTACAAAATATAAATATCGAATTCGAAGTTCTTGCTAAAGTATGTATATTAAAATTAAAAACTATTCGAACCACTACAACTCAACTCACCGTGTACTTTTGCTCCGTCTTTTCCTTGCGCTTAGCAAAGCGATCTACTTTTACACACAAATAATCGCCAGATTTTTGCCAAAAGATCTTGCAGTCGGCCACGTTAAATAGGTTTTTATTTCGTATTTCATTGCGGCTGAAAATCGAAGTCATTTAATGAAAAATCACACTCTTGTTTTAATAGATAACTAATTCAAGACAAAACTTACTTGGGAATTTCTAATAGAGTCACCCTAGCCGGGACGTCCTTGTCCTCTGGAACCCAATAAGCGAGAACGTTGTCTGTTGGGGACCAACTGAAATCTCTAATCCCGGGTATTTTGATACTCTTTTTATCCAGGAGACCAAATGACTGAAAAAACATGACGATATCAGCAATAATTAATAAATTCAACACAACAAAAGCAAGAATCAGTGTTAAAAACAATGTAAACTCTATTCAAGAGATTGTATATAATATATAATATAAATATAAAATATATAATATATAATATAATAATATATAGTATATAATAATAATAAATATTATATAATATATATTATATAATATAGATTAGATTATATTCGTTTATTGTTTATCCCCCAAAGAGGGATTTACAAGGTGTTTTTATATATATCTATATTATATATATATATATATATATATATATATATATATATATATATAATATAGGTATGAGATATGTAATATATGAAATGTGTGTAATGTGAAAAAAAATACTCACTGGGGTCTCGTAAACGCTAAGGACATCTTCTCCCATGCGCGCTAAATATTTATCATCGTGCGACCAGCGGAAGATGGGCCAGACGGAGGATCCGTCAGGGAAGAAGGATCGTTTCTCTTGACCCGACAAAATATCCCAGATCACCAGCCGCTTCTGATCCTGGCCAAGATCGGTGCGCGGGGTGTAAGTGACCAGATAACGCTCACAGGGTGAAAAATCGATGCACTCGACGCCTCGCTGGCTAAATCTCGCCTGCTGAGTGAATTGTGGTCCGCCCCAAAGCGCAACTCCCAGCTTGTGGAACGTCGCTAGGTATGTGCCCAGTTGCGACCATTTTACATATGTCTCTGTCCAGCGCTGAAAAGAAAAAAATAAATTTAATCTTGATTTATGAATCCATTAAAGTCCATAATTTCATAGTTTGGTAGCTAAAAAGAATCGTGATATATTTTTAAAAATAACACACTAAAAGAAAAATACATATATATATATATCAGGACTTACTTATTATCTCTCTATATATATATATACATGTATATATATATATATATTTCATTTTATGAACAAGATCACTTACATTGCGTTCTTCAAGTAAAGTAGGCTCTGGTGCTGAGTTCTGCCAGATTTGCACCGACACACCCGCCCCGTTGCCACAGAGAACGCAAAACTGATCGTAAGCATCCGGTTCAAGCAGATGATAGTGCAAGTCGCTGGCAGATTTGAAGGGCTGAGCTTTCGGCGGCTCCCAGTTCTCGGGTATATCCTCAAATTTCTTGAAGTCCGTGAAAAGATTGACCTTGAACGTGTGTGATTTGTCGATCTTGTAATTGTTGGTGGATTTTACCGCTGTGAGAGCGTTCAGATGATTGTTGTATTCCAGAAAAATATACCTGTCAAGAGAGAAAAAACATAATGATAATATATTTTCGTACAATATTAAAAAAAGTAGCTTCTCCACAATTTGCTCAGTTTTAAACTCTCACCCTTTAGTCTTGCCATCACTCTCATTCATCGGATAGTACTGGTTGACAATTGTACCAAATTTTCCTAGCACCTTGTTGATGACGGACTGGAGCTTCTCCAATTTATCAGGTTCCACTCGAGGTACATTGTCCACAACAATCACGGATTCTACCCCATCTGTCTCCGAAGGCTTCTGCTTCAGGATATCACCAAGCAGTTCTACAAGTTTAAGATACATTAATATTGATACAATAATTCATCGCTATTTATTATCTATTCTGTAGCAAAGTCACCAAAATTATTTAGCTTAAAAATTCAGTGAAACATTTCAATATGTTAAATTCCCTGAATTTGAGAACTAAAGGAGGAAGTAAGATATATCTTATAAGCAAAATTTACTGCATTATTTTACATTTTTGCTAAGCTGTTCCTTTTTTCATAAAAAAAATTATATCTTCAATCTATATATCTTATCGATATCTGCTAAATAAATGATTCATAATTTTATGAAAGATTAATCACAATTTTTTTTTAGAAAGAGGGTGATTCTATCTTAAAAAATTTTCTATCGCACATGCTTTCTTTTTTTAAAAGAAGGGAAATTCTTGCATAGGTCCCCTGAACTCTCGGGAAAGGATCAAATCTAGGCTGTAATCATAAGTTCTTTTTTACAATACCTCTAATTCAAGAAAATCATTCACATTTGAAGATATATTTTTAATTTTATTTTCTATTTATTTCTAATTTTCTCAAAAATTCATGTTTTTTATCAATTTTTTATTAATAAAAAAATTACGATATCTCCAATCTGTACGATATCTGATAAATAAATTATTCACAAGATTTTTTTACAAATTCAAGAAAATTATTTGTATTCGGATCTACATAATTTTATATCTGTTTTCAAATTATTTCCAATTTTCCTCCAAATTTTTTCACGTTTATAGGTTAAGTTATATCGAGAAGCAGCTTGGGTGAAAATCGGCTATTATATCCTCGTCATGCGACATTCGGGACAATTTCAAAATTAATCGCGCCTCGAATCGGAACGAGCGCAGGGAACGCTTCTCTGGCGATCCGATCGCACGTGCTGCGTACGCGAGACTCGCCATGCGGCGACAAGTGCGGCTGACAAACGCGGACGTGTCACTGTCACGGAGCAATTTGACGCGCGGTGAGGCGAACTGGGACTCACCCTCGTCGGTGATATCGTCGACGAAGCCCTCGGGATCGCTAAAGTTCGGCTCCTCATCGTCGTTCATCAGATCGTCGTTGCCTTTGGCGGTTTCCTCGTTCTGTGCCGCTTTCTCCGCTTGAGTTTTCTTCGCCATCTTGGAAACCTCTGAACTCTCTGAGTCCGAGCGCACAATTGCACTCGTACTCGTCCGCGATACGACCGTAAAGGTTGTTTTACAACAGCGCGCTGTCAATTGACAGTTGACAGTTGGACCGACCAATCAGAGCGAGGCGACTTGTCAGCTGATTAGTCAATTGACAGGTGACAGTTGCGACTCGACCAATCGGCTGACAGATGTTTTGCTCTGATTGGTTGGTCCAACTGACAGCTGTCAATTGACAACGGGGCACTTCTAATCTGTTGTGAAATGACCTTTAAGGTTGCTTATGGATTTGTAGTCCTTGTATTGAGTAAGAAATATTATATTTAAACAGTTTTGTATATGTAAATGAAAAAAAGAGTAATTTTTATTACTTATAAGAAAATAATTAGAGATTTCCGTATAAATGGGCGATTCTCTGCGACGAGAGGTAAACGTGTGTGAAAGATGAAAAGGTTATATTACAGTTTTCTCAGAGTTTTTGTGCTATTTCTCTTGTATAATACTTATTATTCATAACTGAAAACGATGATATAATATATTTTATAATTTTTTATTAAAAATATGATTTAGTAAATTTTAATATTTTCCACTTTTTATCTTTCATAATTTATTTATTTTATTATAATATTGTTTTCAGGTTCTGCGAGTCTTTAAACAACTTCATAGAACAAGATTAAAAACATTTGCAAATGATGATCATGCATTGCAAAGTAAGTTGTACTTTGTTATTATATTACATAATAAATGCATTTTCAAAAAAAGTAATACTTTACTGTTTTTTAGTTGTAAGAGAACAGATAAACAATGAATACAGAAAATATAAAAATGTTACAAACCAAGCAACAATTAAAGAGGTACATATACATGTTTAATTTTATAAATAGGATATAATATATATTTTATTAGTATAAAATTTTATAGGAAGATTAAGCATATTATACAGATGCAGTCTTATATACATGATAAGTCTAAATAAATGCGTAACATTTTAAAGAATAATAATTCTTTACAAGATTCTTTAAAAGGGTCTTAAGAAATCTAAAAATATATATATATATATAAGTATAAAAGTTTTGAAGAAATGAGTTACGAATCAAACGCAGAAATTAGATGGCAACAAACTGTTTTAAAATCTTTTCTATCTGATTTAAACAGAAATTAATGTTTAAGTCTTTTTTAACTATCTTCAACAGATCAATTGATAAAAAATTTATGCATTTTGAGCCTCATCCTTGTTTTATGTATTCGTAAAGTCCTCAATGAAAAAATTTTATATTTTTATTGTTTTAGTTGAACAAGTTTGCACAGGAAGTTGAACATGAGGTGCGAACGACTGTTATTCAGGTAGTCGAAACGACACCTGGAAGAGTAGGTATGTCATAATTGATACATTATAAAAATAATAGAATATTGCATTATTTAATTAATAAGTGATATGCATTTCAGCCCTGCGACTCACCCCAGATGTTTTAGTAGACAATGTACCATATAAGGAGCAAAAAAATAACAGTTCAAAAAAAGAAAAAACTCAAAGTTGCGAAAAGTGTACGACATCCAAGAATACGAAACAATGATTTCTTAAGGCAATTGAAAATTAAAGTTTATTAAAAATAATTTACAATTATATGTATAGATTATATTATTATATTTATAGAATTGTAACATTTATTAATACTGTGTATTTTTATGTATATACTTCATGAATATAAGTGTACAGAAATGAAATATTATAAGTTTTCATTGGATTTAATTAAATGACGCATTTTTTTACCTCACATATATATCATTAAATAAGTATATCTTTATTTACAGCAATAATTAATTACAATAGATGCTCAGAGTATGTACATGATGTCTTTGCTGTTCAAATAATTTCTCTTTTGATGATTTAAACTATTTCTACAAGAGTCCAACTGAGTGTATTCTATATGAACTATGCACTTCTCTCTTCTAATCTCATTCTGAAACAAACGGAAATTGCTTATATATTTTTTTACAGTCGTAACAATGTGATTATGCGCATCTTATGTTTTATATATCTTATTATTATATATAATTATTTGTGTGTGCATGGAATAAGAATTGTGGAATAGAAATTGCAATTTCTACTTGAGTTTCACTTGAAAATATAATTTGAAGAGCGCAAGAGTTGGAAAAGGATTCAATACATGTAAAGGGTCTTCGGAGCAAACCTGAGGGGCGAAGCAGAAAAGGATAGTTATATATCATAGGATCAGTAAAATATGATAGTATATTTTTTTAGTTAATTGATTAAGATTATATATAATATGTAATTATTAATTGCTATTTTTAGGATTAAAATTATTTATTTTAATTTAATTAAAAATTAAAAACTAATAAGTGCAAGAAACGAGAATGAATTAAGTATGACGAATTAGTATGAAAATCTTACACGTGTTCGGGATGACTACGAATCTGATCAATGAGATCTGCTGGTCGCAACTGGTCAGTGCAGATACGATGCACTGCTGTGAACAGTGGAAATTTGTCCTCCAGACTACGCGACTTCAGCATATCGTGGATTTCATCTGCCGTTGCTGGTCCCTGCAGTTTCTGCCCGGACAATAGTTCGTCCTCCAATACTTTGATAGTCTGCCTCATCATAATACATAACACATTATATGATTATTTATTCAGCGCGCATTACCGCATCAATAATTAAAAATTCGCAAATTAAATTTAAAAAATTAGATTGACCTTTAAAATACCTCTCAAGCTGTTCAAGGGCAATTCTTGGTCACAATATTTTATTCTATTTGAAATTCTACAACTTTTGTCTAATAAATTTTTTTCTAAAACTCGTTATTTTCAGATATTTATAAAACTGTCAAAAATAAAAAATGTACACTAAAGCTGAATAAACGTGTATATTATCCTGTATTTGCCTGTTCTTAAATCTTCGAGAACCTATACTGGTTTAGACTTTACCTTGCCAGTCTTGACAAATTGCTCGCAGACTCTGCGATTCCTTCCTCCGTAACAGGTTGTAATCAGATCTGCCACACCGCAGCTTTCAAAGAACGTGGAAAGTTTAGAACCACTATAGAAGGTATCGATAAATTTAACCATTTCCATCAGTCCTAATCGGATCACCGCGGCTTTTGTGTTGTCCCCCAATCCGAGACCATCCACAAAACCAGCAGCGCATGCTACTACGTTCTGCGAATAAAGTATATATTCGATTTATAAAACAATAAATAAAATAATGAGGTAAACCCAAATAGCACCAAATCCAAAATTGGTGCATAAAGACATCATTAAGAAATCGTTTAAAGGCCGGTTGTTCCAACTTCTAAATTTTACCCGACAGCATATGTTTGTCTTTTTTAAAACTTATTTGAAAAAAAGACGAAGATATATGCTATTTGTCAGATTAAATTTACTAAGAGACTGGAACAACCGGCCCTAATATGACGATATCTTACACATATATCTTAAAAACATCTTAAAGATGCGTCGTCTTATGCACCAATTTTGGTGCTATCTAGGAAAAGAACTGAAAATTAATATATAAAATTAACATTCCGTTGAATAATTAAAAAGTACATCTTTGATCAAGAAGATGAAAAAAGGAATTTCTTCAAAAGTGATCTATGGTATACTTGTCTTCAGGACTCATATAGCTAATCAAGAAGGTAATATCAAGAAAAGTTTCTCCAAAAGTGATTTACTTGCCTTCAGGGCTCCACAAACTTCCACGGTTTCACAATCTTCCACAACAACCACTCGGAAATTTGAAGTTTGAATGAGGTCTCTTAGTATCGGTGCCAATCGTTTATCCTTACATCCTGCAATTTTTTACGATTCCTTATTATTAGATTATTTTCGTGATATTTGGATGGAATTGGGGAAGAGAAAAAAAATCTAAAAGATCTGTATTCCATATATTCAGATGTATTTATAATATTTATATATAATAATATATCTATACCAATTGTAGTTTCGCAAAAATTTTCCTCGGCGACCTCATTGGCGAGATTGGCGCCCATCAACACGTTACACTGTATTCTCAGATTTTTCTCGATGATCTTGGAGATCAACTCAATACTGTTTCCTTCGCCTCGTCCAAAACCCTTTTTTATATTCAAAAACCGATTAACTTTCCAAGTAGCAAACTGACGTCAAATGACATCATTTTGCCATTTATAATATATATATATAATGACATCATCCAACGTCAAAATGACACATGCTTATTACTTGGGTTACAATTTAATACATTACAATATAGAAAGGAGAAATTGTTTTATATATAAATATACCTTAATGAGAGAAAGACCGACCGCAGTTGGTTTTATGTTATCCAGCAAAGTCGAGCACAAAGTGCGAATAAACTGATGCGGTAAGACAAAAATGAGGATATCGGCATCCTTCGCGGCCTCAACAACATCGGGTACGGCAACCTGAAATATTCATGTAACTATAAATTTTTAATTAAAAAAAAATTAAAACATTTTTAGTTTTGTGTATTGAATTTGCCCAAGTAAAAAAGTCAAAAATTGGACTCCAAATTTGGACACCAAATTTGATCAATCTGACGTCAAATTGACATTATTTTAACTTTTCTGTTCAGCTTTGCAGAGAGAATCGAATATTAAATAATTCCCATTTGGTTCAATGTCAGATAATCCCTATCTGCAGTCATTTAAACGTTATATGATACCGACGAGGTACTATGGTATTATGATAAAATCAGATATGGATAAGATATCCCAAGTAGTACCATGTCTAAAATTGGTGCATAAGGCATCATTAAGAAATCATTAAGACACCTTTAAGAAATCTTGTTTATGATATGCCAAAGACATAAAAACATCTTAAAGATGTTTTATGCACCAATTTGGACATGGTGCTGTCTGGGTACCATATATAATATGTTCGGATATGTGTGTAAACCATCTTTCTTGAACTTCGCTTTCTGTTCAGATTTTTAAAACAGTGGATTAAATATTAAATTTAATTTAAATTAATCCTAATCCCTAATCTTGTTCAAGCCAAATAATCCCTATATATCATTATCAACAAAATATCAGATATGGAGATATCAATAAATATGTTCGAATTTGTGTGCGAACCTATATGCTTTCTGTTTAGATTTTTTAGACAGCGGATTGAATATTAAATAATTCTAATGCCTATATCTTGTTCAATGTGAAATAATCCCTATATCTGGTCGCGTTCAAACGTCAACAAGATATCAAATATGGAGATACCGATGTTTGACGTATGTAAACGTTTATCATATTAAAGAAGCGATCCAAGCGTCATGTATATATATAAAGCGTATAGACAAGCGTTACAAACCGACTTGGATCGGTTCTCGACTCATCAGTGTCATTCAAGCATCCCGTTGAGACACACGATTGTGCAATTTCTTCATTGAGTATCCAGTCAAGGGCAACGCAATATGAGGCTTAACAGTGTCATACCGAATTTTAAAGCCGAGACCACACAGGGTCCTATCGATTTTTACGAATGGCAAGGAAACTCGTAAGTAATTTTTATATTATAATTAAGTATATATCTCTTCTATGCAAATACATATAAAGTTAATATTTTAAAATAGTTTTTAAATTATATTATAATATTGTCGTGATTTATTATTGCATTGTATATTAAAACAATTATATTATTTATATATATATTCATTTTTCGATGATCTTGCACCTTAACACTTTTATGCAAAATAATGAGAGAAATTAATTATAAAGAAAACAGATAATTGTTTATGGTAATATATGTCATATTTTACAGTACAAAATATCTCATTTTGGTCATTCAACCTTTATAAATTTTTATGTAGAATATTGTGAGGAATCGATTTATGTAAAAAAATATGGTGGTTCTATTAAAAAAAAAATTAAATTAATCTTGAAATAACCCTTAAAAATCTCTAGCTCAAGGTTAAAGTTTACCATCAAGTGCACCACTTTGAATCCTTCTACTTTTGTATTTAATATTTTTTTCTATATCTCATTCCTTCCCGAAATATTTTATCGGTCCCATATTTTTTCCTCACTCTATATATTATGTATATATATTTATCCAACTATTTTTTTATTTTCAAATTTTGGAAGACGTACACTGAAATTATGCCAAAATATATACAAAATTATTTTGCAAAAAATTGCATCATAATTAATATTTGCACCAAATTCTCAAGGTAAAAGTCGACACTGCTATATATTTAATACGAGTGATTCGAGAAAACATAATATAAAAAAATATAATAAGATAAAAGATACATACTATCGGTTACAAAATTAACTGTTGCACAAGCGGGATGTTATCTTATTTATTTACTATTTTTGTAATAATTTTTTATCGGTAAAGACACGCCTAACGGTTGCAAAATTATATTAGCTTTATTGCGCATTATAACAGCTTAATTTGCATTTGCTTGCAAGTACGATTTGCTATAAAGTACTTACTATTTAAAAATAGATTCTCTTTAGCATAATTCATCATATCATTAATAAATTATAGCTAGATCATCATTAATAGTTTATAACTAGATAACAAAATTATTATGTTACAATCGAATTTTGAATAATATAATGATTATAATGCAAGCTTCCTTTATATGCAAGCTTCTTTATGCAAGCTTCCTTATATGCAAGTCTTCTTATAAGTTATTTATTCCGCCTTCCAAGACTATTATTTTCCTGTGTATTAACTGTACGTATAATAATTATTTTATTATATATATCCCAGATAGCCACAGTAATTATTATGACATCATTTTGATGTCATAATAATTACTGTGGCTATCTGGGTATAATAATTATATTTTAATAATATCCCAGACAGCACATAATATTTATGATAAAGATTCATAAATATTTATTTTTTCAAATATTATATAAATATTTTGAAAATGTTTCATAAAAGCCTTTGTTTAACAAATTATTAAAACATAGATTAACTACTTCATATACCTAATATTTATGGTATGTAAAGATAAATATTTATAGTAATTATTTTGTAAATATTTTTTAACTAAATTGTTAGTTCTTTCATTTATCACTATATGACGTATCTTTCTCGTATTTAATTTTTGTCGTGAAAATTATAATAAGGGCAAAAACGGAAATTAATAAAATAAAAGATATCATAAAATTATTTCTATTTTTGAGCTACATTCTGCAATAGATTCTTTTAACAAATAAATTTACGTATATATCAATGTGTACGTAAATTTATTTGTTAAACTACTCTATTGCCTAAGTATATTCTGTGTATATTATAATTTTATATTTTATTCTAAAATAAATGTCTAATAACCCAGAAAACATTTTACGCGCAAATACCTAGCCATTGCACATACAAAAGCGGTTCGTATTGCGCAAGCAAAACTACCTTATTCTAGTGCCTCGTCATAGTGATAGTAAATGCTAGCATACTTTGCGCGCGCGATCTCATCTCGTTATAAGCATGCAAGATATTCAACAAGCATATTGCACGCATTATCACATCACTGGCATATTTTTGGCAATTTGATATCCATTTGCACGTGATTTGCTGGTGTATCAAATAATATATAAGCTAATCATTTGTATGCAATATATGTATGACTAAACATATCCCACATGCAAAATTCAGGCAAATCTCGTACACAATTTATATGCATAAGATGTGCAAATTTTGCATGCACAAATTGTTATCTGGGAAGTTACTTATAAACATTTTTTACACATTTTTAACTTTTTATAAATGGCTAATAGAGTTTGAAAAACAAAAACATCTAATCGGCCAAATTTTAGATTAGACTATATTAACCGATCGTTTTGATTAAAAAATCGTTGATTATGTATTTTAAACTCATGATTTCTACTGTGTATTTATTAAAGAAAATATAAATTTAAAAAAATCTGTGTATCATAATGATTTAATAAATATATTTATATTTATTATAATATTTATCTGATATTTATAATAAATATTTTCTGATATTTATGATAAATATTTATAAAATATTAAAATAATTATTATAAATATTATAAATATTTTATAAATATTCTGTGCTGTCTGGGATATATACAATAGTATAATATATAGTTTTTATGTGTGTTTATAAGTAAAAATATATGTATATGTAATTATATTTTATGTATATAACATATATAAATTATAGGAATATTTATAGGATTATATATATATATATATATATAATAAAATTTTATTAATTATTATATATTTAATTAAATTATTCAGCCCTTATAAGGAAATTTATTACTTTATAATTATTTATTTATTGATAACAAGTATAATTATTAAATTCACATTTGTATATCAATACAATTATATTTTTATATCACTAGATTATTATTTTATGAGTTTGTTTTGTAATTTCACAGTAAGAAATGATTCGCAAGAATGTAATTATAATTAATTATAAGAGCGCGGTATATTCGAAATGTAAATGTGATTTAAAAATGAGTTGATCGTTCTATAATTTGCATCGAGAAGTTGAAGGGCGATTGTGAGCTAAAATAATTGGATATTGCAACAACGGAACATTTATCCTTGGCGCAAGGCCAAAGTAAAAATTCAACGTGAGAAATGTTTGAAAGTCGCACTCAAGTCGAGTAATCGGAACTGGTTATATAATAAACTGATAAAGTGTCACAAACAAGCGATTATACTTGTTAACTGAAATTCATATGTGATTTTTGATTGATTTAGATACTTATCTTCAATAGAGTTATATATTTTAGAATGTATATAAAAATATAGTTATGTAATATAATAAATATATAAATATATAATAAATATATAATATATAATAAATATATAAATATATATAATAAATATATAATGTCCCTATTATATGTGTACACTTATTATCAACAAAATATATTTTAACAAAAATTTCACAATTTATGGAGGGAAACATGATACCAGATTTATTAACATGCATTTTTATTTATTAATTTAAATATTTTTTCTATTTTTTTAAATGGAATTACACATATTTGTTCTAGATTTATACTTATAAAAATAGAATAAATTGATTCAATTCATTGTTTTCTGTGCAAAGAGTTTAGTAAATGTTTTATAATAGACTTTAAAAGAGATTTTATATATTTTGCATATAAGAAGAGATTTGATATATTTTGTGCATGTCAAAAAATAAATAATAAAATATATATATATCATAAATTATTACTTGAATACTTTTATGTAGAATTTGAAAGAGAAAAAAATCTGTTTAATAAATCATAAAAAGTAATATTTAAATAAATTTTGATTGTATTCTTCGTCTTTTTTTATTAAAAAAAATTTATTTTAAATTGAATATATTATTTACACAATTATATATTTTTTTAAACATTCTTAATTTATAAATATTATAAAATAATCTAAAAAAATAATGTATAATATTATATATATATATAATATTAAATTATGCTTTCATACACAATTCTTTATTTTATATTAATTGTAATTAACAGTATAATTATTATATAATTCTTTAATTTTTTTAAAAGCTTTTTCTCTCTCTTAGAATTTTAACTTTTTAATTTTTTAAATTTATTAAATTTATTCTTTGCAGATGGGTGGTTATATTTTCTCATCCTGCGGATTTTACTCCTGTGTGCACTACCGAATTAGGTCGCATTGCCGTGCATCAGCCATTCTTCGAGAAGCGCAATACCAAGCTGCTTGCTCATTCAGTTGACAAGCTCAGGGATCACGTGGATTGGGTCAATGTGAGTTTATTAAATGCTATATTAATTAAGAGTGTATACAATTACGGATAGTTTACATCATTATATACCACTTTATGTATGTACGTTATATTCATTCAAGTCAAAATATATTCTATTCAAATTTTCACAATTCCTTTTTTGTTTTTATTCTCAATTTTCAAATTTTTAAATTTATTATTATATAAAAATGTTTGTTGTTTTTGAATCGTTTTAACGATTATTTCTAATTGTTATAAAAATTTCTAATCAATTTCATCTTTGTAGGATATTAAGTCGTACTGCAGAGACATTCCCGGAGCTTTCCCGTATCCCATCATTGCCGATCATGATCGTAAACTTGCCGTGCAACTGGATATGATCGACGAGCAGAGCAAGGACGATCCAGAAACCGCTCAGACTGTTCGAGCTCTGTACATTATCAGTCCGGATCATCGTCTGCGACTCTCTATGCAATATCCAACTTCCACCGGACGCAACGTCGAGTAAGTTGATAAAATACTATGTAGGGGAAAGTATATGCTAAATCGTACCCCCTAGGTAAATATTAAAATCCGTTCCGAATAAAATCCGAATTAAAATATATTCCGATAAAATCAAAAGAAATGATTAAATTTTTTTATTCATTTGAAACTATGGTTTTTTGTCAACGATATACATTAAACATTAACACAAATTTATTATTGTTTCACGTCATAAATTAATAAGACTTCTGGTTCCTTGCCGACCATATTGGAATTGTGACGTCAGAGACGAGAAAACATTCTCTAAAAATTCTTAGATGCCATTTCGAAATAAAAAGATATTTCGGTGAAACAATAACACTTTAAATGGCTAAAATACCTCGAAAACTATATCTTTTTTTTATAATCAATCAACAGCTGTAAAATGACAGTAATATATATGAGGTCAAGTTACGTCTGGTCTTTGCACATGCGCATTTCGCAAGAATATGCAAAGTCTGATATCACGATCATTTTATGGTCGTTGATTGATTATATTATGAAAAAAATTCGAGGTATTTTAAAAGTGTGCTAAAATTATCTGAAACAGTGTTTCATCGAAATATCTTTTCCTTTTGTAAAAAAGACATGTAAAGTCGATTCTCGCATGTATTGTTGCCGCTTTTCCGCGTTGCTGATTGATTGTCTCGATTCGCATTGTGTGTTATATCAAACAGTTGTCATTGCGAAAGTTAATAGTTTGACAGTTGTTCAAAATAATATATATCAAATCAAAGCGCATAAAATCAATTATATGCGTGCTTGTCTTGTCTAGTCCCTTTCTAAAAAAGATATGTTATATTGATAGTTGAAAGTCTCGAAATAATTGTTGCCTCTTTTCCGCGATACCGATTGGTTCTGTCATTGCGTTTACTTCGTGAGTGGCTGTCATTGTGTATTTTGACAGTTGTAGTACATATGTGTCGAGGGGATAGTGTAGTGATAGTTATATGTATATTACATGATTCGGTGTATATACATATGATTGTTAAAATCTGATAAATAAATGTTTATTAATTTTGCGATTAAGTGGTTTTGACTATAGTTTCTCAATTAGAAAGGAAAATAGAAACTCGGCGTCTTAAAATTATATACATAATAGAAATTTGGAAATTAAAATTATGTACGTAACAGAAATTCAAAGAATTAATATTATGCATATAATAGAAATTTTGAATCCCGCTCTTGCATTTTTTAATTATTGTCAGTCATTAAAGCGATAATTATTTTTTTTTTAATTTAGGGATCCATTTTAAATATTTTTATTTAATGTTAGGTATTATATGCCCCCCCCCTGTTAGGTATATATTGACACGTATGCTTTTCGAAATTTTTATTATCAAATTGAGGATTATTTTATTGCCGGTTTCCTATATTTTAAAGCTCTTTTTTCACGTTTTAATTACTTTAAGTAATTTATAAAGTAATTAAAACAAATAATTATGATAATTAATTTTATCCACAAGTTTTTTGGATTAAATAATTGTCTAAAAAATTTCCTAAATATTTGCATGAACAGAACTCTTCGGATAATTAATGTACGTTTCCAGGGCTGTACGAGAATTATTTTACAATAAATAAAATGCTCGAAATACGGCCAGCATATAAGCCCTATGAACGAAAATACGAGTTTTTTGGGTTAAATATTTATTTAGTGGCAGCCTACGGTCAAAACTATGCTACAGAACTATAGAAATCGCCAAAAACTATAAAATTTTATTGTTTAAATTTAGAAAGATGTGCTAACTTGGCTGAAAGTTAGCATATCATTTTTCGAGTTATTTAATGAATTTTATAGTTTTCGACGAGTTCTATAGTTCTGCAACATTTTTTAATTAGTTTCAACCATAAAAGCTATAATTAATTTTTCCAAATTTTAGATCCCGATTTATGTATCATTATGTTAGGTATATTGACATCTATTTTCCGAAATTTTTTATATATTATCAAACTGAGGATCATTTCGTTGACGTTTTTTTATATTTTGAAGCCTGCTTAAACATATTAAACATATTAATTAATTATTAAAGCATTTTAATAATTATTTAATTTATTAATTATTTAATCATCTAATTTCAAAATTATTTATCAATATAGAGTCTTACTTTAGTTTTATTATTTAATTTATTTTAATAATATATTATTTACATTTGATTCATATTTTTTTAACAGCTATTAGCTGATTTTTGTCAAAAATTAATGGAGTTCAAATTTTATTAATTTTTTTAATATCAATCTTTTTAGCATAAAATTGAAGAATGGCGCGCGCTTGTGTTGTTCTATATAGTACATATAAAATTTATATATGATTATAAAAAACATATATATCTTCTTTCATTTCATATGAAATTATATATACATATATATTTCATGCGAATTTATATGTTAATTTATATGTGAATCTGTACATTATTTAAATTAATAATTTCTCATTTCAGCGAGATATTGCGTGTGATTGATTCGTTGCAGCTGGTCGATAGACGACCGGAAGTAGCAACTCCCGCCAATTGGGTGGTGAGCCTCTCACATTTTATCTCTTTCATCGCGTTTATTTATCTAGTGAAAATATTTTTTGCCGCAATAAATACAGTATCAATTTTATATTCCATTGTAATATGATTCTAATCTAGTCTTTTAATTACAGCCTGGTGAGAAAGTAATGATCCTGCCGACAGTGAAGGAAGAGGATCTTCCGAAGCTCTTTCCAGGAGGTGTCGATCGGGTGTCTATGCCGTCTGGAAAAGTCTACGTCCGCACTACTACTGATTATTAATCGCGAACGAATTTTTCTGTACATGCAAATATTTCTTTACATACTCTCTTCCGATCGGTTTTTACATCTAATAAAGAGTTATTGGTTCAACGTTTTAAAACAAATCTATAAATTTAAAGCAGATTGTACTTTTTCGTTGAAATTTCTCCAATAAAAATTACACTTTAACAACATTTTTAAATACTTTATACAACTCTTTAAATATCTCAAAATTCTTTCCCTCAATTATTCTTTGAATTTCTTAGATATCACATTTTAAACTTTGCAATGTATTAATAATATATTAATGATATTTTTATATTTTTTATTTGTCTATGTATGTGTGTAAAAGTATTTTTTGCTAAAATTATTTACTAATTCAGGGTGTCTACTCGAATCTTGTAAAAATATTTTCTAAAAATTTCCTGATTTTCCAAGTACTCTGATTTGAAATTTCAGGTAAAATTTTGTAGATGTAAGTTTTTTTTTTAAATCTTATTTATTGTATGCGCTTCCTACATGTTTTCCATTAATACAATTGTGAAAACAAATTCTATTCTCGATTTATCGTAAAATTAATTTGGACAATATAATAAAGTGTAATATATCACTATATCTAAACATTAAATATATATACAAAAATATAAAATAAAACATAATTTATTATAAATGTCTTGAAAAAGAACTATTTATTATTTAAATGTTATTAAAAATTTTTTTAAATTTACATATAATATAAAACCTTTAGATTTTTAAAAAGAGATTGTCAATATAAAATTATATGAGATTTTAATAAAAACTAAAATAATGCAAAAGAATAAAATGATCAAAGACACAGTTTTTAAACAAAATTCCGAGTCTTAAAATTCCATATATGAGAATTCCTGGATTTTTCACGACAAAAGGAAAAATTCCTGACAATCCCTAATTTTTCCAAAAAAATTCTTGTGTAATTGCCAGATCTTTCCTAACATTACTGATTTGGCAATTGATATCGAATATTATTTAAATTGCCAATATATAAAATAGGCTAATATACTCGGGGTACTTGCCACATTTTCCGGAAGTTTGTGCCCAGGCAAATATTTAACGTTCTCATGAAGAGTGTTGATTATGTCGGTCAATTTTTCGTTGTTAATGATCTCCTCGTACACATACATCGTCACTCGTGTCTCGAATATATTATTGAATTTCGTGACATTCGCCCCGACGATTTTCGCGATTGCTGAACCCCTGGAACGATTTATCGCATACGTAAAAATTCTTTACGTATTCTTTACGTATTTCTTTTGTATAAAATTTTGTGTAAAATTAATATATATGTTGTTATTGCACAATTTTTTGCAACAAATTGGCCAAAAAATTCTTTTTTTTTCACGGTAATATAAATAATATAAAATATAAGATAGATAAAATAATATAAATATATAAAAATAATAAAATAATAAAATATATAAAAATAAAAAACAATAAAATATATAAAATAAAAAAAAAATATAAAAATAATATAAAATATATAAAATAAAGCGCTATCCGAGTTAACTCGCGCTTGCGCAATCCTGCCAGTATATCACGTGTCCAAAGTTAATTCGCGCTTGTGCAATCCTGCCAAAACCGTGTGCTCGAGTTAACTCGCGCTTATGTGTATTAAGGGGTTAATACAATATAACTCTTGGTTAATAACACATTATTCATATATTAGTACAAAATTAGGTGTGAAAAGGATTAATAAAAGCTAGATGCAGATATTATGCGCAACAAAATTTTGTTTTTAAATTCCGCTTTATTTATTTTGAACATTTTGATTCATCCTTTAGACTTTAGATCATCAATTAATAAAAAAATCCATTTATATATTATAGTAAAAAAATAGTAGAAAATATAATAATTTTAAATATAATATTTTAATTTTATTAATTAAACAAAATTAATTATCAAAAAAAGTAAAATTTAAATTGTAATACTTTGATCTTAAATTTTATCTATTATATTTATGCGTGTTGCGCGTCCTCAAAATCGCAATGCAACGATGAGTTAATTTTGGAACAATAAACACAGATAGTGAAGCACAATTGCATCGGCATACTTGCATCGCGCAAATTAGATCAAATAAAACTGCAATCTGCCTTATTATTAACGTTCAAATAATATATTTCTGCTTTTATATACAAATAATATATATTAAGAAAATGTGATATATACATCTCTTTTTTCTACAATATATTTATCATAAATTTGATTTTTGTATTATTATATAATATATAAGTATATAGTGTGTATATAATATTTTGTAATATATTTGCATATAACTTTCAATATGTAAACTGTCAATTATTAATAACGCAAATTTGGATATTAAAGATTAATAAAAAAATAAAAAAAATAATTTTTAGATATTATTAATATAATAAAATCCCTTATTCTAATCGTGTGTTAGTTTTATTTATCGTTCACTGATGATTTAATATGGTTATGTAAATTTACCTGAAAAGAATCAGCTACACAGAGCTTTCATTCTTAGATGAAGTTTCATATTTCAATAAACACGTGCGTACACTCCAATAAAATTAAATACAAGACAGTGAAGAAGAGGAGAATAAAAAATGAGAGAAAGACATGGAAAATTAATTAATTATCTTTGACATAAAGAAAAAAAAATTACCAATTGCCACTGCCGACGATGCACACCCTTTTCTTCGCGTCCGGCATGTTTTTTACTCTCTTTTTTGGAACAGTCTCGCTATCCAAGTAATATTCACGATCGATGATCAACTACAAGGCCCAACTGTCTGTCTGACTGACTGACTGACCGACTGACTTAATTAGAAGCCCGCTGACCTTAGCAGCGATCGTGAATTATTTTCTAGCGTTTGCGCGCGCAGTTCTGGATTGAAGCCAGCCAACCGCGAACAGACGATGAAGAAGAAAGTGTCGCGAAACGAAATTAGCGAAATAGTCCACTGATGATTAATAGCGATAACGATGAGTTAGGTCATGAATTCGATCTTGACCTCATCGTACGTGTCCTTCATATAGTAATGTGGAGATAAATAAAGTCGCACATTCCTTGATTAGTATATAAATATAAATATTTCTAGAGATTTTTATAATTTTTATTTTGTGTTTTGGAGCCAGACTATTTAAAAGATTTGATCAATTTTATTTTTAATATTTAAAATTAAATAAAATATATTATTAGTATAAATATAATATATGTATATTAGATATATCTAAAGTTAAATATTTAAAATATACATTTCTCAAAATAATTAAGGGATCAAAAAATTGTTCAAAAATAAGCAAATTTTAAATAACTATGTATAACTGTGTTTCAAAAATTAATTTAACATATACAAATCGATTATTTTAAACATACGGATCACTATAAAGAAATTATCACAGCAAGTAATTTTGCCAAGTTTGAGGTACTAGGAGGCACAAAAATTTCTATTAATCTAATTTTGTTAGTCACTTTACATAACTTTTTCAAAATTGAAACAAAAAGATGAAAACTCGCAAATTTCTTCGTTATTTTTACTTATTTGCAAAAGTTCACGACTTAAAAAAGATTTAGTCTCTATATCATGCTAGAGCAAAGATTCAGCTTTAAGAATCCATTCTTAAAATTGCTGGTACGATGATTTTTAACAGAGTTATATATAAACGATCAAAGTAAAAATGACATTTTCTCTTTAATATGCGATAATTTGATAAGGAAAAATTGAAATTAAAATTTAAAAAAATAATTTTGCAGGGAAAATTTTAGGCTTTCACGTGAAAATGTCAAAAAATGTTTTTAAATCTTCTTGTGTATGCGACATATCACAAAGTGAGAAGAAAATTTTCTGATTCATCATGTTTGTCGTTTTCTCTATGTAAAAAATATCAGAATTGAAAAAAATGAAAAACTATGACCTTTTAAAAGTAGAGATTTCAAACCTTGAAATACTTTTTTAAAATTATCATTTTTCGAAACAAAGTTACAGCTATTTAAAATTTGTTTTTGAACTATTTTTTTGATTCATTAATTATTTTAAGAAGTGTATATTTAATATTCCAAATGATTTTATAAATATATATATTTATATTTATATAAATATATAAGTACGTTTGTTTTTTTATCATAAAACTTAAAGATCAAAGGATTTGAATGTTAGGAGATATACAGTTGTCATGGGGTTTCAAAGTATAAACTGTCCAAATGTTTACGAAAATTGCTTAATTTTTTTGTTAAAATAACTTTCAATTACATATATATCTAATAATGATTACAATTAAGATTTTCTATTACGTATTTTGCTTAAATAGAATAATTCATTCCTTATAAAAAAAAGAAAATTTCTTCCCTCCCAAAAAAATTATCTTCGTAAGATAAAACATTGAAAAATATTTTATCGTGCGCAAAAAAATAATTAATAATATGAAATATTATTTAATAATCTATAAACTATTATAGTTTACAGATCCAAAAGTCTATAAACCATCACAGTTTTGTATCAAACATCAAATTCAAGAGTGCATTGCTGAATCTCTCCGAATTAACTTCATTTCATTCAGTTTTATCTGCTCGAATACTTTTCCAAAAAATGCTTTTCAAGCTCAATAATTTATCTTTTATAAATAATAAAAATATAAAATATAAAAAAGATACATAATGAATTGCTATGAAATCTCAGGTAGCAAGCGTATGTCATTTTGACATCGCTGACGTCATTCTAACGTTTAATGACGTCAGTTTACTACTTGGGACATGTGATTACGCGCCAACTATATCAAATTGTGACAAAAATCAACTTATCTGTATGTTCTAACTTGTTGATTAATGCTTTACTGCCAGTTTTGTGATAACTGATAACCCAGAATGAATCGCTTAACTAGCATCACGCTCTCGAGTATGATGTTGATTTTCAATGATGCGACGAGCCCCTTTTCCTTGAAGGACGATGTTGGGAGGATCTTTTAAAGATGGCACTTGGGCTTGAGGATCGTTGAGGCGTCTTCGTCCCTAAATATGGAGCGAATGCAAATTAACCCCTTCAGGCCTACGATTTATTTATCGTCAGTCTGGATAAAATTGTATGTATATATTATTTGATTAGAAGAATCATCAGAATAAAAAGATACTGATGTCTTTAAAGACTTTGAGGAAACAAGGGACGAAAGAGAGCTAGACTTTTTATTTTTTTTTGTCAACAAATAATTAATTATATATTTTGCTTTTCCTCTCGGTTTACATAATAATTACGTATTGATTACGTAATCGACAACGTATATAACAATCAACGATCAAGGATCCGTAGATTTTTTTCAGTTTATCTATTTGAAAACGCTGAATAAATTTTTGTCTTGATAAAAAAAATATATATCTATATAATATTTATGGAAAGTGTAACAATTTAGCCATCACACCTTCAACACGATATACGAAATTTTATTAACTAAAATGTACGATCTTTTTAAACTTATTTTATAAAACCTTTGAATCTGCAAAAAATTAGTGTTGCATTATAAAAATAAAAATGTAAAAATTTAAGTAACATGCACTAGGATTTTTTAGAAATTAGATCTTCAAACTTGTGGAAAAGATTCATTAATTAAATAAGATTTAATATTCTTAATAAAATTCTGATTTTATATAATTTAAAAAAATCTCTTAAATGTGTAGAATTATCAAAATTGATACAGATTCGAAATCTTGAGTCATGATGACATTTACAATCAGAACCATTTCGATTGTACCAAAATCGATTTCACATAAAGTTTTTATTATTAATTATTTTAGATTACTGTTTCCTTATTAACACTAATTTCATCAACAAACGGATGAATTTTAATTTACTACTTTCCAAAATTGCAGATATGGATTTGAAATTCTAAACAGAGTTTGTTTGGAAAAGTTTCGATTGACAGGATTTTGAGCCTCTTAAAAGTTTAGATTATTCTCGACAAAAATTGTGAGGAACCTATAGCTTATCTGTGCGCGAACTAATTATATTTTGAAGTCTTACGTTAAAATCACGTAAACCTACATTTTAAATCTTAAAATAACAATTATTATAAAGCTTACATGTGTTCCGGATGGCTGCGTATGCAATCGACTAAATCCGTCGGTTTTAGCTCACCGATGCAAATACGATGAATTGCCGTGAACAACGGAAACCTGTCTTCCATGTTCTTCAATTTCAGCATGTAGTTGACCTCCTCGGCGGTGAACGGGCCTTGCAGCTTCTGCCCATTCAACATTTCTTTCTCCAATATTTCAATAGACTGCAACCGTATATAATTAATTATTACTTACTAATTTATAAGACTATAAAACACTTCTATATATGCTCATATATTATAATACTAAAGTGCTAATCTTTAAATGACTTTGAAAAATAACCTTAATTAAAATTCAACATGAGTAGGTCTCTACTAGATTAAGGTAGTTCTATCGTTTTTCACAATTCTTACAAATTTTTAGAAATTTTAATATGTTGTAGACGGAGTAATATCTATCGATTACGAAATTTTGAAGTCGATTCACCGTTTAGTTTAACAGTTATTTACAATTAAAAATAGCATTTTTTCTATACACCACGTGAAAGAATGGCATTTTCATCACATTTTAATATATAACAATAGAACGGATCTTACGATTTTAATAAAAACCAATGGGGTATACAATATAAGTGTGGGATTATTTAAAAAAAAAATAAATTTTTTCCACCGTTTAGTTTCAAAGATATTACTTTTTAAAGAAATAAATTTTTTTCCAAACGGAACATGGAGATAAATTGCGATGATATGTATTCATACATGAGCTGTTTCTATGTAAAGAGGTTCAGATTAGAGGCGAAACTTTTAGTTGATATTGTAGCGGTAGAACTATCTTAAGCGATTAAGAGATATTTTATTAACATTAAGAAACTCAAAATTAATTTAAGCAAAGCATGCTTGATCTGATATGTATATCCTGTGTATTGCTGACCTTGCCGGTCTTGACAAAAGCCTCTGAGACCTTCCTATTGCGTCCACCGTAGCATGTTGTAATTAAATCGGCGACTCCGCAACTTTCGAAAAAAGTCGCTAATTTGCCGCCTGGATAGAACACATCGACGAATTTGATGATTTCCATTAGGCCCAACCTGATCACCGCGGCCTTCGTATTGTCACCCAGACCGAGCCCATCGACAAAGCCAGCGCCACAAGCAACTATATTCTATAAGATATTAATATATGCTATACTGTATGTAGTATATAATGTACTGCATATAATGTACTATACTGTATACTATATACTGTATAAGCAATAGTATGTATTGTATAGTACTATATACTATGTACTATGTTGTATGTACTATATATATTATATACTATCTACTATGTATACTATGTACTAACTATAATTATGTACTATATAATATGTACTATATACTGTACTATATAATATGTACTATATACTGTACTATATACTTCATAATACATATAGTAGATAGTACATAGTATACGTAGTAGATAGTACATAGTACATAGTTATAGTACATAATATATCTAGTAGATAGTACATAATATATAGTATATATAGTACACAGTATATTGTACATATATAGTACATAGTAGATAGTATATAGTACATAATAGATAATATATAGTACATCGTGTATAGTACATAGTAGATAATATATAGTACATAGTAATTATATATAGTTCATAGTGCATAGTATACAGTAACATAGTATACAGTGTATAGTAGATATATTATATCGTGTGTACTATAATACAATATACTAATATAATTTGCTATACTATGTATAGCATATTATACAATATACTATACAATACTATACTAATATACTATACTAATCTACATAGTATACACTATGTAATATAATATGCAATTTACTATATTATATACATACTGTATACTATACATATATGTATGTATAAAAACTATATATACTATTACTATATTATATATTATATATACTATACATATATGTATGTATAAAAACTATATATACTATTACTATATTATATATTATATATACTATACATTATTATTATAGACTATACTATTACTATATATACTACATACTATACTATAGTGTATATACTAGATTACTATACAATATACAATATACTCTGCTAAGATAACTATAAAAGATAAAGAAAATCATTTAGATGAAATTATCTAAGTGAAAGTTAAGGTTTAAATTTTATTATGTGTAACTTGAAAGAATTATTTTGAAATAAAAACTAAGCCAATGAAATTGAAGATAATCAATTTTACCTTCAGTGCGCCGCAACACTCCACAGAATCTACGTCCTCGACGACAACTACCCTGAAGTACGATGTCTGAATTAAGTCGCGAAGTAACGGTGCCATCGTCTTGTCCTTGCATCCTGCAAATTTATACAATTGATTTTAGATTAGAAAGCTTATTATTGCTTGTTAAATCGATATAGTCATGGAAAACAAAAATTATTATGACTTCTAGAGTCTGCCGTGATTACATAATTTGCATTTTTTTAAATTCAATTTATGAAACTATAATTAATCTTTAAGTCGTTTCAATGTTATGAATGACTCAATAATCTCAATAATGCATGACATAAGAAACTTTCAACTTCCAACTTATTGACAACCATTTAAACTACTGCGATTGAATTGATATATCTTGAATAGTTATTATTTAGATTTAATTTTAATTTTTCCTTACCTATTGTGGTCTCGCAAAACATCTCGTCGGCCACCTCAGAAGCCAAATTGGCGCCCATCAGAACCGAGACTGGAATTTTCAGTTGTCTCGAAATTATGTGAGAAATAAGTTCAATGCCGCCACCCTCTTTTTTGTCAAAACCCTGCCAAAAAGTAAATATAATTAGATCAGTGAATAAATTATATACTGCTAAAATGTTTAAAAAAGAAAGAACACGATATTACTTATACACTTTACGTACAAATATGACAATTTGCAAAAATATAAAAAACGCATTGTAGGATATACGATTTAATTTAATATTTAGCAAATAATTCTAATTAAACTTTGAACCTTTTTTTAAACTGTAGAAAAAATACCAAAATATACCTTAATCAGCGATAAACCGACAGCGGTAGATTTGATTTTTCCTTGTAATGTACTGCATATCCTTCGAATGAACTGATGCGGAACCACAAATATAAGTATATCTGCGTCTTTCGCAGCCTCCGCCACATCGGGAACTGCAATCTGGAACAAATTAATCGTAATATTAAAATCTGCAAGCGTATAAAATAAATAAAATAAAAAATGTGTTTAAATTAATATTATAATTTATATTATGTGTATTAATTATTTATATAATTTATATATAGAATTTATATATATAAATATAGTATATCATATAGTATATAAAATATATATAACATATAGTATATTATATTATTAATATATTATATATTATAATATATAGTATATAGTATATAATACTATAATATAGTACTATATCAAATAAAAATTCTGTTAGAGTAAATTCTATTTGTAATTAACCAAAGAATGTAGTGTTGCTAATCTTTTTTTTTACTCTACAAGGCTTAATTTATAAAAATTTTTTCTTTTTTAATGGTTTAAATTTAATAATTTAACCAATTAATTTAATAATTTAATCAAAGAATGTAATGTTGCTAATCTTTTTTTTTTTGATTCTACAAGGCTTAATTTATAAAAAATTTTTCTTTTTTAATTGTTTAAATTTAATAATTATTAATATTTTAATATTTTCGCAAAAAAATCATCTCCAATCAATTAGAGAATTTATTATTATATAAAAGAACAGGATTAGGTGATTTTTTAAGATATATGTATTATGTTATAAATTATATATAAAAGAATTACATGCAATTAATGAACGAAATATTTTCGATATTATCGACTTGCTTCCGGCGCTTACAATGACAATAATTACATCGTCGCGAGTGTGGAAATTAACATGTGACCTTGAACACCGTTTTACAATTGAATCATTCGGAATGACTCGCAAAGAAATATAAGTATTGGAAAATAAAACAAGTAACGTAACCATTAGTTTTAATTTGCTTACATTTTATTTTTATTACATTTCTTGCTTAAAAAAACTCTAACTATAGTTGTATTAATTATATAAATTAATTTAAAAATAAAAACACATGTACGCAAAATATTTTAAAATTATCGACTGTTTTCATCACAAATTCTTTAGACGATTTAGAATATGTATGTTTGAAAATATTTATAATTTCTGAATAACAAACAATAAAAGATAAAGAATTTTTAAGAGAAAATAGATGATGAAATCATCTATTCTTCGAGTATTATCATACAAATCAATGTGGAATTTTAATCAGAAGCAATCTTAATTGTAGATTGTAATTATAACAATTAAAAATGTCATATTAATGTATTAAATTAAATTAAATTAATTATAGATTATATATAATAGATTAAAGAAATTAAATTAATTATAGATGTTAAAGATATATTGTATTTTTTCAAAAATAAAAATTTAACTAATTAGATAAAAAATTTTTAGTAAATTCATTGATTCGACTATTATTATTATTAGATTCGAAAAGTTCTTGAATATAAACTCAAGTGTTTTAAAAACCTTTGTTCTTAAAAGTTCATTCTCTATCATAAAAATATAAACGTCTAGAACTTTATACTCTGTATTCATATGAAAGACTTATCATAGATGTTATTTCTTCCTTATACAACATCTTTTTGAACTTTGCACTAATAAAATCTCATCAGAAGTGTTTCTCTCAGAAATCGAATAGAGAACGATGTGAAAGTGCATAATTAATAATAAACCGGTTTAATAAAGAAACATTTGTATTCGATTTTAATAAAATTATTAACTTTATCCGTTCGTTTATTTATTCTCTTATCACGTTATCACTTTCCTTTTATATCGCACTATCTGTTTCTTATCTATATATTTTGTCTTTTAAACGTATAAACATATTTTTCTTTGTAATATCATATTATATGATCGTGCTAATTATTTAATACAATTTTCTTTTACAATGTTTCATCCTTCCCAAGGAGAACAGAAATGTCAAAACGATGCCAAATTGATGTCAAAATATAGTCCAAATATATAGTCATTTTAGTTCGTCAAAATGACAGCAAATTGCATAAAATTTTGATGTTATCTTTATGTTCACAATAATAAAAAATTATTATTTTGTATTAAAAATAATTGAGATGCAAATTTAAGACGTAAGTCGCTTAAAATAATATTTTAATCAACAATTTAGTTTTTAATACAATAACTCAATTTTTCTGCTCAGTTTTTAACCTTTAATTATCTTCATAATAATAAGCATTGTATATATATATATATATATATATATATATATGGTCGAGAAACGTACATCACATTTTCTAAAAATTAAAAAGGTCAAAAAAGTCAATATAAAAATATAGTTATACATGAATATATAATTGATTACAATAAATTTTCAATCATTTTTTCTCGATAAATTCCAACAAAACAATAAAAAGCAATATATTACTGTAAGAATTTTATCGTATTCTAACGACTAAATTCGCGATTTTAACAGAAAATGAAAGAAAACGATAAGAAACGATAATATTTCTTTTGTAATATAAAAAGTGAAACAATAGGTTACAATAGGAAACGATAAATTTTTTTACAAATTCTATCGGTTCCTAATGTTTTCTATCGATTTTTTTATCAGGGACACCTTATATATTCTTCTAAAGAAATCAGGCAAGATAGAAACATATGTTCAGTCGCGTAACACATTCTTGTTTCAACAGTGATAAGTCTAAAATATTCCATTTTTAGAAGATAAATGTTTCATGAAGACATGTTATTCTTAGCCAAAGCGCGTACACGTGCAGCGGTTTTATGTGAAGAAATATCTCTTAAAAAGATGCATCAAGAACAGTAAATCATATTTTATTTAATTACATTATTAAAATTAATAACATTAAAAAAAATACAAATATAATACAATTTATGTATAATAATTGATACAAAATAATATATAATTTAAAATATAAGTAATTTTCGCGATCATAATTAATTTTGCAAAAATTAACAATTATTATATGATATTTTACGACCTACCCGGTAGTATCTTACAGATATTGAAGCATGTTTTCAGTCATATATCTTATCTATTTTTAGCACAGAAACGAACTATAATGACTTTGCGTGTAGGATGGTCTTTTATTGTCAGTGAACTAAATGTACTGTGTTTAATGACCTTGAATGACCTTGAATTAGGTTGTTGGATTTGTTACAAGAAAAGCTATAAGCGTAAAGATTAGAAAAACTATGATTTTATTTAAAAAAAAATAGTAATTTTTATAGGACCTTGAGTTTCACTTAGAGAACAATACTTTTTAATAAAAATTATTTTTAAGAAAAATATTGAAAGTATACAATGCAATAAAAACTGTATTTTCGTATATCTCAGTTTTGGAAAAATTCGAATTAAAAGGATTAAAATAGTACACTATATGTATAAATATGTCGCGAGTTTTTTTTATAAAATTTTATAAATTTAGTTATTTTATCAAAAATTTTTTATCAAGACTGTTTTTTTCTTAATCCCGATCTATATATAAAAATTCAATATTTTGAAAAAATTTTGGTAAGTTATTAAGATCATAATGGTATATTATTAAAGTCATAACTCTCTCTCTCTCTCTCTCTCTCTGAACAATCTTCAAGACATTTTAGCTTATCATTCATTGTTTATTCGAAACTTATCAACAAGGAATATAAATAAAAAGATGTGTTTTTTGCGAAACAAGGATTTCGACGATGTGTCGTTAAGTAATTGAAAATAAGAAATGAATATGTGTGAATGTGTAAAAAGTGTTTGCCTTTAAAATTATCAATATCATGATAACAATATTATTGAATAATAGTGGAAATAATCAGTGGGATATCAAGTTATATTATTCGGCCTTGTATGTGCAGAACTTTAATAAGTGATACTCCCTTTAAATCCCTGAAACTACGAATTTAATGTTTATTATTGATTTAATAGCATGGCTAGTTTGATCAATTTTTTAAAAGAAATTAAGAACTTTAAGAAAAAATTCAATTTATATTTATTCCTTCTTTTTTATTTAAAAGATCAGAAAATTAAAAACACGAGAGAAAATAATCATTTTTAGCAAGCTTGTATTTGTATAATAGAATTTAATAGATAAATAATAAAAACATTGAAAGATTGCAAAATCTAAAATTAAAAAAAATTCTAATTTAAAATTTTAAGAATCTAAGGATCGACAAATAATTTAAGGGAAAAATATAAAATAAATCTCTCTCTCTCTCTCTCTCTCTCTCTCTCTCTCTCAAAGTAATAATTAAAAAATAATAAAGATAAGTAAATATAATGAATATACATACACACACACACACACACACACACACACACACACACACACACATATATATATATATATAATGCAATAAAGGTAAACACATTTTAATGGATAAACGTGTTAGAATCAAATCTCACAAAATATGTAAATTAATATACATATAGTACATATACATACATACATATATATATATATATATATATATATATATATGTATATATATTGAAATATAAGCTTACCACATTCGTAGGAATCTTATGTCCCGGCAGATATTTGACGTTCTCATGTGTTTCGTTGATGATCTCTGTTAACTTCCTCCCATTGATAATTTCTTCGTAAACATACATGGTGACGCGATCGGCGAAGCTACTCTGATTCTTCGCATTCGCGCCGACTATTTTAGCTATAGCCGAGCCCCTTCGAATTCACAATTGCAATTAGTATTAATTATTCTATTATATATAATATATTATATATATAATAATTTTATTATTATAATATTTTTATATAATTTTTAATAATTTTATATATAATTTTATAGTAAGAAATACCTATAGTTTTATTTATAAAATGTATATTATACCATATAATATTTATAATATTTAGTATTATATATAATATACACTAATTTGGCAAGATAGCCAATTAAAAAATTATGTATATCAGCAAAAATAAATGGCCCAGATATGTCTCCCAACTATAAAAAATTTTAATGTTATTTATATTTACTTATAAAAAAATCTGCAATAAGTATTTACTATAATTATTGATGAAAATTAAATATCTAATTATTTCCATTATTAAATATCAAGATTCAATATTAAAAAAAATATTATTAAAAATGTTAAAATATTAATATAATAAAATGATTATTGTAAATGCAACAAAATTGAGAAAAAATTATTATTTTTAATTTAATTTCGACTTGAAAGTTTAAGTCTTTGTACTTTAAAGTCTCTCAAAATTCTTGCGGTCATCGCTGAATTAATTTTTATTTATTTTTCAAACTCTCATCATTAATGCGTATATGTAACCTTTTATAACTATATTATATTATATTATATTATATTCTACATCTATTTTATATATCTCACAATATACATCTATTTTTAATATATATCGTAGTAATTTATTTTTTTTTACTATTTGCATTAGTAAAAAAAGGATTTTTTTCAATTTTTAATTCAATTATCAAAATATTTATTTCTTCTTTATAAGATCGTTTTTAATAGCACTCATAATTAATAGTAATTTTTGAATATATATATATATATATATATATATATATATATATTATTCTATATATATACAGGGTAGTCAAAAAGTATCGGACCCCCCAATATTTTCGTTCCCTTGCATTTTACAAGAAAATGTTTCAGACAAAAGTTGTAGGGTTTAAAAAGATCTATTTACTGATCTTATCAGTTTGACCTTGGATGGCGTCGCCAAGGTCAGATCGAAATTACATTAACTTTTTAAATGAAACATCTAACTTTTTATTGCATATTCTTGTAGCTTATCTCGAGACCTTTCCAAAACACTAAAGAAAGTTTATTTTCGTTGAGTACTTTCCGAGTTGTGAGGCTTGAAAGCTACAGTGTACTGTAGTGTGGGTCCAGCCAGTTAAGGCAAGAGTGGCGTGTGTCCAGCCAGTTAAGGCAAGAGTGGCGTGTGGGTCCAGCTGGCCGGACCCACACGCCACTCTTGCCTTAACTGGCTGGACCCACACTACAGTACACTGTAGCTTTCAAGCCTCACAACTCGGAAAGTACTCAACGAAAATAAACTTTCTTTAGTGTTTTGGAAAGGTCTCGAGATAAGCTACAAGAATATGCAATAAAAAGTTAGATGTTTCATTTAAAAAAGTTAATGTAATTTCGATCTGACCTTGGCGACGCCATCCAAGGTCAAACTGATAAGATCAGTAAATAGATCTTTTTAAACCCTACAACTTTTGTCTGAAACATTTTCTTGTAAAATGCAAGGGAACGGAAATATTGGGGGGTCCGATACTTTTTGACTACCCTGTATATATATATATATATATATTATCATAAATTCTCTTCAATAATTTCATAAAAATATTTTTAGTATCACACAAAAATATAAAGAAATATTATCTCAACATACTTATAAATTTTGATATTTTTTTCAGTTGTCCATCTAAATATAATAAAGAAAAAAAACTAATGTCATATTTGTGAATAAAAAAAATAATTTTAAAACATTTTATCGATTTTTCAACATTTCCATATACAGACAATTAAATAAGTAAAAAATGCTTTAATATATAATAAATTTAATCGCTTACTTTCCTAATGTGATAGCTTTAGGCACTGGGTGTCGAATATTACATGAAAATAACACAAAATACATTTCTCTTAAACGTGACTCGCTTAAAAGGAAAACAAACATTACGACATTCGAGTGAAGCCAGCTGCGACACGACAGCTTAAAATATTTTTACCTCCGCGTTTAAGAAATACTTATTAACGAACGGTACGATTTAGCGTATCTATACTTTCTCAAATATCATGAATTATTTATCGCCCAACATAGATGTTTTTATTCCATATTTCGGTCGTACAAAATACACTCTGTGAACTCGGAGCACGCGCACATGCAAACAAATGTGCGCCCGCATGTGCGCGAGGGCACGTGTGCGAATCGATTATTGCCAACCGCGTCGACATAGACTCTCTCGTTCGAGATATATTTTTTCTCGCCGTTTTAAAAAAAACTCGCTCTCTTATTCCCCACACTCACCAGTTCCCAGAACCGATAATGCATACAGATGCCATGGCGCGCTCAAGGACACGATACGACGCAGACGAGAGAAGGAGAAGACCGACCGGAGCGGAGATGACGCGAGAACCACCTCGTCTGGGCGCCGACGAGTGACTACTGCCGATGACGAACCTACAGACGGCGAGGGATAAGCCGACGAACGACGCGCACGCCAGTCGAGGATAACCGGGCTGATAAGAATTGCGTCGGGCTTGATCGTGAGGAGTGTCCAAGCTGGAAAGAATGGCTATATAATTATAGCGAGAATTGTCAATGTACATCGCGTTTTAAATGACTTTAAAAATTTTATTATTATCATCATCGTCATTGTCATCATCATCGCCATTGTCATCATCATCATCATCATCATCATCATCATCATCATCATCATCATCATCATCATCATCATCATCATCATCATCATCATCATCATCATCATCATCATCATCATCATCATCATCATCATCATCATCATCATCATCATCATCATCATCATCATCATCATCATCATCATCATCATCATCATCATCATCATCATCATCATCATCATCATCATCATCATCATCATCATCATCATCATCATCATCATCATCATCATCATCATCATCATCATCATCATCATCATCATCATCATCATCATCATCATCATGCTACTATATACCACCATCATCATTAGATTATTATTATTATTATCATTTTATAATCATGAATTGATATTATTATTATTATTATTGAGATTATTATTATTATTATTATTATTATCCATACAGCACAACAAGACTGCAGCAGTATTGTGGCAACATTTCATTGCAACATTACAACATTGCATAAACATTGTGAAATCTTGCAGCAACGGTATAAAATGTCCGCTTTCAGCAATAATATAATATTGCAGCAATAATGCAATAAAATATATGTATATCGTAATATTACTATATTGGATTATTGGAAATGTGCCAAATACATGATCGGACTGAATGTTCTGTACCTAATATTTTTTACGTGAATTTAATTTTTATAATATTTCTGAAATGTTGCTGCATAACGTTATTTAAACTATATTGCAAATTCATGTCTATATAATATTTCTGCAATATTTCTATGCAATGTACAATATTGGAATGTTGTTGCAATATTCCTGCAAACTTGTGTGCTGTATGGGTATCATGAGATCATGATTATATTATTATTATTATTATTATTGAAACTATTATAATATTATTATTTGAGAATATTATCATTATTGAGATTATTATACTTATTATTATAATTATTATTAAGATCAGAATTATTATTTAATAATATTGAAAGAGTCGTGAAATAAATAAAATATACTTATTAAAAAAGGTTTTCATTTTTCAAATAGTTCTATTAAATTTTGTATTATATCATTTCTCGAGACAATGGAATTCCAGCCTTGTTTTAATACATCTATTCCTGGAGGACCCGAGGATTATCAGACATTTCTTTTATCTTGAAAAATCCAGGAATTCTTGTAAAATTTGGAATTTATTTTTTTAAATTGTGTCTGATAATTTTACTTATATTAAAAGCGGTCAATAAAATCCGCCAATTGATCAAGTTAGCTATTTTATTTATACATCGTATATTAAGTGTTCTTTGAAATATTTGATTTTATAAATTTTATTTTTTATTATTTTGCTTTTTATAATAGAAGAAGATGCATTTATATTATTAAATTAAGCAATTTGTATTTGGTTTTTAAAGGACTTAAGAAAGCATTTTAAAAATATTTATAAATATCTTTAATATTATTTAAGTAACATGTCTCATCAAACATATCTTTGCACTATTAAGTTTTTATTAAAATTTTATTTTTATTGACGATCTTTTTTAACATCTTGTGTTTTATAGAAAATTATTTACTTTTTAAATAATATTTAAATATAAATTACCTAGTACTCTTTTTTAGACTTTATAAATTTTTTGTTTTATACTTTTGCATATAGCTTCAGTGTTTAAATATACTGATGCATTACATTTTGTTATATTGTCCAAATTAATTTTAATATTAATAAATCAATATTAAATATTCTTGATAACTTTCCATTGTATGAAAACATTAGAAAGTGCATCCAATAAATTATTTCAAAATTATTTAAAAAATTTAAAATTATACAAATTTTCCTATTTTACCTGAAATGTTAAACGAAAAATATCTGGAAGATCAAAGAATTCTCAGGAAATATTTTTACAAGATTTGAGTAGACACCCTGTAATAATATATTAAATATTAATGATAAATTTGAATTAATTAATCGAAAATAATGTTTGTTACGAATTTGATTTTCGCAAAGAGAGATAAGATATAGATTTTGAAAAATAAAGTTTCTTACAGACAAAAAATTTGATAGTTGAAATTTATTCCTTAACTAGTCATAAATCTTAGTTTATTACTAGTCTAATTTGAATTGACATTTATTATTGTTATTTGATGCTGAAAGGAACATGAAGGTAAAGGTTGGAAAAGATTTTTAAAAACGAAATTCTCAAGAAAAATCGTACAAGTCGCCTTGTTGAATACGCTAAGTCGTAGTAGCATGACACAATCACCAAATTTTCATCAAACACCGGTATACCACATTTTTTATTACATATATAGATGTCTACGGAACAACATCGATCAATCGCCGATACATTTGACATACATTTGTTTTTCAGATCTACAAATTCTACAATGTGTAAGAATTCCTCGTACGTAGAGAATTCATGAAAACTGTAAGATTTTATATACATATATTATTGTATATATATTAGATGTGATGACGAAGAAACACATTTTTTTCGCTCTCAAATTTCAATTGTATATACATGTAATAATAATTTATCATATAAGGAAGAAACTTATAATATCACGCGAATATTCTCTTGTCATGATTTTATATGTGTTACTTATAAATTTTGTAATTTTTATCATATGTTTGTATTCATTTACATTTTAAACAAACTACATGAAAAGAAAATAATTCCGATCGATTAGAACTTAATCGACTCTATGTATATATTTTTATTCGTAAGAGGCTCATTAATTATTCATAACTGACTTGTTCGAAGAAGCAGCTACTAAATTCGTGACGTTCTACGCTCACACTAACAACAATAATCAACGGCGATTGTTAATTAACGATATATTATTTAATTATTTCAATCCTCAGTAGTGGCCTGCGCGGCGTCGAGGATGATTTCGAAGGAGAACGGCTGGAAGCTGTAGCCCAAACCAGAGTAGAACTTGCTCTGGAATTCCACCCTGAAAGAGAAAAAGTAGTTGAAAGAGTTGAAAATAAATAAGTACCCAGATAGCAAGCATACATCATTTTGACGTCTACTGACATCATTTAGACGTTTAAGGACGTCATTAGACACTATTTTGATGTTTAAGAGCGTCATTAGACATCACTTTGACGTTTAAGGACGTCATTAGACGTCATTTTGACGTTTAAGGGCGTCACTAGACGTCATTTTGACATTTAAGGACGTCATTTTAACATTTAATGACGTCAGTTTGCTACTTGAATAGGAAAATAATTAATACATCATTTTGAGGTCTACTGACGTCATTTAGATGTTTAAGGGCGTCATTAGACATTATTTTGATGTTTAAGGGCGTCATTAGACATCACTTTGACGGTTAAGGACGTCATTAGACGTCATTTTGACGTTTAAGGGCGTCACTAGACGTTATTTTGACATTTAAGGACGTCATTAGACGTCATTTTGACATTTAATGACGTCAGTTTGCTACTTGGATAGGAAAATAATTAATAAGTTCATCAGTATTAATTAATTCATCATTATTAATTAATTAAAGTAAAAATAGCATACATTTATTAAGAAGAGAGATGTTTCCTTTATTAGAAGAGCTATTAGAAATCTTACCAATGCAAACGAAGTGTATGCAGAAACGCTGAAAGACCTTCCATGAGCACGAGAATGCCCACAGTGAGCACCGCCCAGAAGGCGAAGACGGCATAGAGGACGATGCCGCCGTCCCAGCCTTCTCTTGCGAGGCCGTTTCTCATCACCATGTTCCACAGCACCTCGGACAACTGGGCGTGGGCCAGAGACAGGGCCCAGAGACGGAGGTACGACGCGGTGTGCGACACGCTGCCGAGAACGTACTCGATGGTGTGAATGCCTTGGTGGATGAACACCTCCATCATGTTCTCTTCCTCCTCCTTGTGGGCCCCGGTGTTCTGGGGAGCGCCTCCACTCTGCTGCAGAGTTCCCATGCTGGCCTCCACGTCGCCGTTCTCGGCGCCGTGATTGTTCAGCTGATAATGCTGCTTCCTCTGGTTGCGCATCATCAGGATCGGCTTCGCCAGCAGCATCCACGGGACGCAGAGCAGAGCCACGACCACCAAGAACTTTTGCAGACCGCCCTGACCCCCGTACATGTACGGCTCGCACAGGCCGACCTTGGCGGCCGGTTTGAATAGAACCATGTTGATGAAGGTGATGAGGACGGAGGGCGCGCAACCGGGACCCTCGATTAGTTCGTTCTTCGGCCCGTACTTGATCCATTTGATGAACATGAGCAGCACCATGTAGAAGAACAGAGCCATGAGAAAGATCACCTGCGGCACGAATTCGCAAGTGATATTGAGCCGCTTTTTGAAGTACATGTGGTTCCACAGTCCCACCATCACGCCGAACAGCATGTGTATCACGCCGAAGATGATGGAGATCTTCATCTTGTACGAATTTTGGAAGATGATCTTGTTCTCCGCTAGCTGCCACACCGGATCCATCCCGAATGGATACGGATAGTCGACGTAATCCGTGGAACTGGGATTCAGCTGCAGATCCTTATTGTGCTGAACGGTGGTGCGATTGTAATTGATCACCCAGTTCGAGCCGAAGATGTTGAGCGATTTGGAGAACACGTCGTTGTAGATAAGACCGGTGTACATGGAAAACAGGCCCATCAGAAAGATGATGTAACGACCGCCGAAGAAGATGTTCCAGATCTCGTTGTCGCTCTTCTTAGCCGCTAAAGGTTTCTCCTTCAGCACCATCCAGCCGCCGAACAGGAACATGATGAGGCCGTGGCCGGTGTCGCCGAACATTATCGCGAACAGAAACGGGAATGTGATGATGGTGTAGGGCGTAGGGTTCATCTCGCGATAAGACGCGACCCCGTAAGCGTCGATCAACGCCTGGAAGCCCTTCGTGAACTTATTGGTCCGATTATAAGTCGGCGGGTCTTCGAAGGTCTCCATGCGATTTAAAATAGGAGGCACGGAACTTCCGCTACGTTCCTGAAATATCAGTTGACCTTTAGTTTCGCGATAAGGAATTGAAGAAGTAAGGAAAATCGCAATTCATTAATTACCGTTCCGCGTCTTAACGCCAGTTGGATGGTCTCAATGTCCAGAACGGGAACCCAGCATTCAGCGATCAGGCATTTTTGGGTGACGTCAAGATTGAAAAGATTTAGAGTATGATAGATCGCTTTGATCTTGCGGACCTTGACGAACCAGTTCTTGATATTCTTCGCGGCAGCTACGAGGACGCGATGACGGTGATCCTGCGTTTGTCCTAGGACCTAAATTAAGTTAAATGATTAATTATGTGTGTGTGACTTAGATTTGAAAAATAATTTATTTTAAAAATATACTAATATATATATATAATATAAGTATGCTGTCTTCTAAGCTGGGCAATAAACATATATATATATGTATAGTCTATTTTTTTATATACATAGTATATTGGTTTCTTGTTATTTTGTTTTATTTATAATATATACTTAATATTAATCATAAAAGTCTAACCATAATGATCTAAAAAAATATGACAAATATGATATACTTACAGTGTTTAAATCTTCGATGCGAGTCATAACGCCCATAGCCATCTCTCTACGATCAGCCGGTGCTTCCGGACAGGGATAGAGAGTCGCTCTGAAGCCTTCGCAGATCTTTTTTACACGAGTTTTCAGTTGATCTCCTTGGAAGAAGATGATGAAGACCGACTTGTATACCTGGTCCCCCTGAATAATCATTATTACCGAGTTATTGCTGAGATCTCTCTTCAATCAAGTCTAAGAGTCGTGATGATAATGATTGGCTCCTGGATTCTCGTCGTGGCTATGTTAGAATGTGACGTCAAAAAAACGCGCTGAAAATTCTTAGATCCATTTTTAAATAAAGTCATTTTATAGTTGTTGATTAATTATAAAGGAAAAATGATAATTTTCAAGGTATTTTAAGAGTGTACTAAAGACATTTATTGTTTCAACCGAAATCTTTTTATTTCGAAATGACATCTAAGAATTTTTAGTATTGTGTTTTCTCGCCTCTGACGTCACAATTCCAACATGACTCACGAGGAGTTAGGAACCTTAAAGTTTTTCTCGATTTGAATACGCGCATTGGTCAGTGGTTGCTGTTATTTTAATAAAATTATATAGATGATCATCTAAATACAATTTTGGCGTCATCTTATCTTTATATAAAATATATTTTTTGGTAATTACAAATTGATGACAAATAAACATAATAAAAATTAATAATATTTTAATTTAAAAATAATACGTTTAGAACTTAAAAAAATAACTAGCTAAAGTTATAATAAAAATTAATATATTTTAAATTAATTAAGCTAATAAGTTAAAAATTATTAACTTCTTAATAACCTTTTTTAACTTAAATTTTAACTAATTATTACCCAACCCTGATTTTCATGTCATCTTTATCTGGCTAATTTAAGCGCAACACTGTGCACTGTTCACTCACCGTTGACGGATCCTCTAGAGGCGTTTCGATTTCCGCCTGACGTAAGAAGACATTTCCGCGGCAGGCGCGCCACAACATACGCTCGAATGCGGGGATGCGTTCTCTCAGGATGACTCCCGCGACGAAGCTGCTCGCGTGACGACACAGACATCGTATTAATAAATAATAATAACAGATTTAATTAAAGATCAGATACTTAAAAGGTGTCTAATGTGCAAACTACTGCATATGGAAACTACGCCATGGTTTCTTCAAGTGATAAAATTCGAATATATATATATGTATAAAGCATCATGATGACCATTTTTTGTATAGCGTTATAAAACGAAAATCTTCAATCTGTATCGGTCAACGACTCGTGCGGAATTTCTGCGCGGGAAAGTCGCATAGCCAAATAGAAGAAAAAAAAATGATGATTTCTGTAGCCATGGTCCTTCTCCCTTTATTTCTGGGTTTTTTGTTTACATACCTTATGAGCACTTCTGTCAATGAGATCCTCCTTGAAACACAATCTTTGAACGAGAAACTCCAACAAATAGCATACGTGTGTCACAGGAACAAATCGGGGTATGCTCATACATCGGATCATAATTATGCAAAGTATGCATAGAATTTGCGTGTCAATATATTTTTATTAGATTGGTGTATGTATATTTTTTATACGCATTTTAAATTTAAAATATATAGTAGAAAGATTAAAATAAATAATGAAATAAATTGATTTTTTTGATTATTTTTAAAAATTTTATTAAAATAAAATTAAAATTAATAAATGTAATTTAACAATGTGTGTGTAATTTAATTTTAAAAATCGCCTCTCTCTGCTAACGAGGAAATAAAAATATTTGATACAACAATCTGATAAAAATATCTTTCTATATTTATGAATAAAATTTGCAGCAAGCTTTTATATATTTTTTTAACATTATTCGGTGCATTTTCTAAGTCTTGAGATCTTTAAATCCTGAAAGATTTTGCTATGATTTTCACGCGAAAAAATAAAACTCAGAATAAATAAAAACGACAATATTTAGCGTTAAATGTGAAAAATTGCGTGCAAATTTTCAAATTTAATATAGTGTATCAAAATTCCAAATGTTTATAACATTCTCGAACCTTTAAGGATTCAAAAATTTCAAAGCTCTAGAATTCTAAGAAATTAAAATATCAGAATATAAGTAAGACTTTAAGAGTATAATCAAAGAATCGAAAACTCCAAGAATTCAAATCTTCGAGGATCTGACGTTATGAATATTGAAATTCATAAAGATATATTCCCTATTATAAAGTAATATTTATATACAATTTCAAAAATCCAATTTTTAAATTTTTTTAAAAATAAGACAAAAAATTTTCTAAGAAAAAATTCAATATAAAATTCTGAAAATTTTTAAATTTCCTAAACGCAAGATTAGTTTTCAACTCTCCATTAGATAAATGATTTTTGCATTTCTTGACATCATATTTATAATTAGATTTACAAATAGATTTTTTATTATCAGTTGCATAGATAATATTGAATATAAAGAATATTGAAATAATATAGATAAAGACTAAAGATAAAGATAACATTTTATCTTATTATTAGGTAAAAATAATTTAAGTTTATCGAGATAACAGATAAAATGATAAAACATTTTATCTAGATAATATTAAGAGAGCATTCAAAAAAATTTTTTAAAAATAAAAATTTTATAATTGCATTTATAAATCTTTATTTTTCAAAAACAGAAGCTTTTAAACTTTTGTTATCTAAGATAAAGATGTAATAAAGATGTGGATAATACAATTGCTTCATCTAAATATCTTAAATTTCTTAATCTAAATATCTAAATATCTTTAAATCTTATCTAGAGTAATTTATCTAATTATCTAGATTAATTTATCTAATTATCTGGATTAATTTATCTATATATCTAGATTAATTTATCTACAAATTTTATAGATTAATTTATCTACAAATTTTATAGATTAATTTATCTAATTATCTAGATTAATTTATCTAATTATATAGATAATTTCATCTAGATTATCTATATAATTATATTTAGATAATACTGATTATAAAAAAAATATTCCGTCAATTTCCTAGTGAATTCTGGATTTCGACTCTTCGGATTCCTAGCGCAACAGGACGATGGGAGTAATTAGTTGTAATGGGAGTAACATACGTACCCCAACTGGACAGGGCCGAGGGCGGACTGGCGGGCGATATTATCATCGCTAATCAACGCGCGTGTCATGGACTCGGTGGAATTCAAGCCCGCGTGCTCTTGCTGACGATACAACAGACAAGACACAACCACATTAGCCACACCAGAAACGACCACAATGCTCCAACTCGCCACTCTGTTTTTCTCGTTTTTTTTTTTTTTTAATTTATTTTGCACGGATTTTCTTCCTCGTCTCTCCCGCCTATCTTAATTGTGACTTGAACGAACTTGAAATATTCCTCGTTTTAACGCAAATATCAATTACGAGGAATAATTAATTGTAAGTAATCTCAAGATTTTTCACGATAAAAATATGATGATGGAATTAATCATCTTTGTACTTTGTAATTTAACCCTCCTCCCTCTAAGATTTTTTAATTTGGAAATAATTTTAAAGTTAAATTTAGAGTTAAATTTGTAAATAAATTTTGAGTTTAATTATTATATTTTATTGTATTCGCAAATTCTATTAAAAATTCTGAGAGTAAATAGAAATTTGAAGACGAAAAATAATTTTTAAACTTATTTGACTAGCTATATTGACTTCATATTTGTTTTTGAAAAGTTAATTTTTCAATAGTTCAACAATTTATTATTTTTTAAATTTCTATTTGTTGCATATATTTGGCGCTTTTATCTCTATAAACATGTTTTTAAGAAATTTTTAATGTTTTAATTTTTTTGAATATATTTTCTTTATCCTTCATTAAATTTTTGTTCATTTCAAATTTTAATTTTAAATATATCTCAAGTTCGTCATATTGAGATAAACATGAATTTTTAAAAAGTACTAACAATAACGATTGATAATATTTAATAAAAAATAAATAGTTGCTGAGAACGATAATTAATGACAAATCAGAGGCACGACCATGCGATAGAATATAGATGCTTATATAATTTACATTAGTAAGATAAATACATATATGTAAAAAGAAATATCATTCTTTATACATTTCTAAATATTTTAACAATTTATTCGATAATAATTGCATCATCTTTCGTATGCAAATAGAACAAAAATTGAAGTGATTATTACCGGACACCTTCTATATATAAAACGTATATATATATATATATAATTATTAAGATTAAAAAATAAATGTATAATTATATGACATATAAACAAATGTCTCCACAAAATACATTTTAAGTTTAAGTGTAAAAATTTGCGTGCATGTATTAAAAAGAAATAAAATAGTTAAGAATAGATAAAAAATAAATTGCATATGTTTAAATATATGTATATATTTATAGAAAAATGGTTATTAAAATTTTTAATTTATTGATTTTAATTAATTAGTCGTGCCTACTGGATATTTTAAACAATGGCAAAAAAATTTATCATTAAATCTCAGCTCAGATAAATATTAAAAAACGTATGCATGATAATATTCTTATTTATTGAATCTGAAAAAAATTTAAACCATTATTATTTTGTCTCACGATAAGAACTTCCTCAAAAAAAAAGAACAATCGATCAGACAATTATAAAATCAACTATGCTATTAAATTTATTTAATTTTTATAATTTTATTCAATTAATTTAAAATTGATGAAGTTAAAATCATCATTGGCAGATGATGCGAAATAAGAAATAGAAACAATTTATTTAAATCAAGCATATCACAAGCCAAGCCGTTAAATCGTTAAAAAATTTTTGCTGGTTTCTTGTGCGTTAAAACAAAATGTCGACATTTAAAAAATCTTTGAAGTTTCTAATTTTAGAATTTAGAAAATCTCAAGAATCTCATGTTATATAAAATTTAAATCAAGCCAAGAAATATAAATCTGAGAAGATACTGATGTTAAAACGTCAAATAAAACATTATTTTATGACTATATCTCTCAAAATTTGTATTTAAAAATTTTAGAATTTTAAAACCTTGATAGAAAATCAAGGTTTTAAATATAAATATTTTATTTCTTTAAACTTAAGAAATTCCAAAGCAGAATCCAACACAAGGCGTCTTTAACGATTTAATAGTAAACCACACTAATCTTGATTACGTAACAACAAAGAATAATAAGAACAAGTGCAAAAGCATGCAAGTAAGCTATATATATATATATATATATATATATATATATATATATATATATAAATGCTTATAAGAAACACATACAAACAAACAGACAATCCTTTGTTAAGGAGAACATTGTTATACATACCCATGGCCACACCATCATCATTATTGTTATTTACAACGTTGCGTCACTACGAAAAATTATTTTACAACAATTTTTACTCGCACGAATATTTCAATTCAAATTCATTTTTACGTCGTAGATCGATGATACTCGATACAGTTTGAATTTTTCTGCTTTAGCATAAAAAAAAAAAAAAAAAAAAAAAAAGGGTGACAAACCGTATCAAACTGTATCAACTGTTATTGGTCGGCGTGATTTCTCGCCGATTTTTCCCTCATTTTTTTTTGCAATCGATCAGTAAACAATGGATGGTTATTCATAAAAGCGAACAGTCGCATCTGTTTTTTTAAGTGTTTTCAGTTGCAGAGGCATCCCCGAAGACAAAGAATGTAAAAAAATCTTACTCGAATATTGTTAGAAATTTGATGAATCTGAAAAATGCATAAAATAACTACTGAGCATGTTTGGAAATGATATCTGGGCATTTAGGAATCTAGATTTCCAACAAGTTAAAAATTTAATTGAAATTACATTGAAATCTGTGGCTCTAAATATTTGGAATTCAATAAATTAAGAATTAGCGATAGAGTAGGGATATTTAGAAGACATAAAAAATTCTAGAAGTCTACAGTTTTAATGTAATGGACGATTTAGATTAAAAATTGGAATAGAAAAAAGACAAAATTGTAAGAGAATGTAAAAGTTTCTTAGAGTTAAGAGTAAAAGAGACATTCAAAGAGTAAAAGATTTTTTCATTCTAAAGAAAAAAAGTTTGAAAAAAATAGTCTTCATAAAGGATGCTCCAGCAACGCATAGGATGCGGTTCCGCATAAAGGGCTTAGATAAATAACATATTAGGCAACAACAATCGAGGCAAAAAACAATTTTTGCAAACAGATTTCGCAAAATAACCGTTGATAACAGCTTGCCTGAGCGGGTTCCTATAATGCGCTCCTACGGTGTCTGCCGCAGTATACAGATGCTGTAAACCATCACAGAATACACTGAGAATGCTTCTATAGTAGACCTAACCTTCGATATATACCGACTATATATGTACAATCGAAATCCTGTATTCTAAATTTTTCTCCACTATTAACTCTGTTCCTTTCAACTGCACTAGTTCAAAGTTTAGGTCTGTCCTTTTTAGCTACATTGGCTGCACTAGTTCAGAGTTTATCTATTTTACTCCATATGGAATATGGAAAGAGCTAAACTCTGAATTAATGCAGCCAGTTCAGCTGAAAAGAACAAACCCTTTATCCTTTTACTCCACATTGGAAGGAAACAGATAAACTCTGAACTAGCGCAGCTAATTCAGTTGAAAAGAACCTACTGGGTTTGTTCTTTTTAGCTGAACTGGCTGCACTAGTTCAGAGTTTATCTCTTTTTTCCAATATGGAGTAAAAAATATGAACTCTGAACTAGTGCAACCAGTCCAGCTGAAAAGAACAAACTTTTTATCTTTTTTACTCCACATTAGAAGGAAAGAGATAAACTCTGAAGTAGTGTAGCTAGTTCAGCTGAAAAGAATCTATTTTCTTTCAACCTAATCTAAATATTTTTCCTTTCGCTTACCTAACTTAAACGTTATCATCTTTCATTGCAATCAATCTTTGGAGCGGAGCACAAACTTTCGCATAACACACAAGGAAATCAATCAATTAGATTCTTTTATTTCTATTCTTAGGGTAAAAAGGGAAAACTCTGGTTGATTCTCTTATGCGTCATGTGAAAAGGTATTACATTCCTAACAGCATCAATAAGATGGATCGCACAATTTAAAAATACAAGCAATAGGAACAAGGAATAGAAGATGTTCATTAATAGACTTAGGATAATTAAGCTATTCCCTGCTTCTGTTAGTGGATTTCTTCTATTCTCTGTTCTTATTGTCTGCATTTTTGTATTATGCAATAGGTTTAAGACTTTTATATTATTAATAATGTTAAATATGTATTGTTAATTTTTTAATCTCCGTATTCATAACTAATCTGCACAATAATGTGCTATATTAAAACATAAAAAAAATATCTGAAACCTCATTTATCGATATTTTTATTTAGAAATGAGAGAACTATGACGTGTTAAAAATAAAAACAATTAGTAAATATTTAACTTTTAACATACAATATTATTTGAATAAAAGTCACGAAATTTTTAAAATAGAGAAAATGTTCGATTTCGATGATTTTAGAATAAAGAAATTCAATTATATAACGTGTATAAAGAGAAAAAGGAAAAATATTCAAAAATGTATTCTTCCTAAGATTTAAAAGGACGTATTTCTCGATCAAGCTTTTTATATCTCATTTTCATTGTGAACACTTTATATAAAAAAGCTCCATGCTAGGCACAATTCTAATCTTTGTACCATAAAATTTAAACCAAGTTTCTAACATAATATCATAATATGATATAAATCAGAGTAAAACTTATAAATTTTTTTTATAATAGATATAAATAGTAATGTTAGATTTAATATATATATATATATATATATATAGATATATATATATTTATATAGTTATATAGTTTTATACACAAAAAACTTGTTGCGTAGTTAGTGTATAATTGATAATTCAAAGTTCTAAAGAGAGAAGATTAAAATTTGTTGAAAATTTCAAGTATCTGAGTTTAAAAAAAACTCAAAATCTTGAAGATTAAAAAATTCCAAAATCCGATTTTTCAATAATTCAAAATTTTAGAATTTTAATAATGTTATATGTATAAACATTAAAACAGCGTGTTGCATGTGTATGTGTGTACGTTACAAGCTCGATTTGTTTTCGCGATTCTACGATGACGTATACTATACTACAAAATTGCATTCGAGAATATACATATAAAAATATTCACCGAGTTTGGTTTATTTGATTATACATTTTCCAAGTCATTTTTAATCCCTGGATTACCGATCAATAAAATAAATAGAGTCCATTTAAATATCGACAAATTTTTCTATTTTCAGTAAATATACTAAGTAAATTATAAAAAAATATAAAATACATATAAAAATAATATTAAGATATAAAATATTTCAATAATAAATAAAACATATATAAAATATGTAAAAAGAAAAATAAAGATATTTGTTAACAAAATTTATTTTAAAAAATTTATCATATATTTTCGTTAATTCACGTTAATTTACATATATTTTCTTAATTAATCCGATCTCTGCTTCCTAAACATATTTTCGTATTCATGTTGGCAATCCAAAGATTGACATTAGTGACGGATGCGCCGCTGCAGCAAGTGCAGCAGTATTGTTTACTTTACAACACAAACTGTGGGCATGCAATGACGTACTAAAGATGATTCTCGGTCACGTGGAGATTAAAAAAATGCAGAGCATGAAGATTAGGAATGGACTTGGATTAGAGAGTAGAAGGAGAATTTAGATCTAAAATTTAGATATAAAAATATCTATAAAATAAAATTAAATAAATTCAATATAAAAATATATATTACTTATTTTTAGAAATGCTCCACTAGTTATTAACTCGGGTAAACTTTTAAGAGATCCAATTAATTTTTTTTAGAACTAAGCGATTAAAAATAAAAAAATTTATGGGGATCTTAAAGCCGTCTTAATTTACCAACAAAATGATCATTTTTGTCTACGCTTTTCTTTTTATTGGTTGAATAAAATAAAAAATGCTTTTCTATAATTGAAGTACATATAGAAATAAAGCGGGAACCTACCGATTTCATGTTAAAAAGAAAAACAATTTTAAATAATAGGACAATTTCAGGACACTCAGGTAATTTTGGCGTATGTTACTATTATAAAATACGTTATTTCAGTATACTTGAAAAGGACCAAAATTATGGTCAAAATGTTGTGAGATTTATTAAATAAAAATTGCCAGTATTGGTCTAGAAATATTTTTTCCTTTAATTTTTTTGACTGGCGATAATAAAGAATCAGTAATAAGGGAATTTTAAATTTCAGAAATTTTGATCAAAATGTGGTCTGTCAAAAGTATCTGTCTTTGCTCGGCAATCGCCATGCTCTGCATCAAATGGATGTACGTCACACATTAATTACCCGAGTTTGAGAGCCTGGCCGCCGGCGCGGAGGCCCTCTTCACCCAACAAAGTGACTTGCTCTTCCTCACGGCTGGGGTCTGCCATCTGCGACACGACACCTCCATGCTCAGCCTGGCAACAGACACAGGTCACCCCTCTTTCGCCCTATCTCCCGCTCCACTTGCCATAGCAGTCTCTTTTTTGTCATTTTAAAATTTCCTTCAGCTTATCGATGTTAAAAAAGTCAATCTTCTTTTAATTTTCGCGTAATTATGTTCACTGTTTGGTCCGTGTCTAACAATACCATAAGTCTAAATATTCATGATGCTTAATAATATAAGACTAAAGAAGTAAAATGTTCTAAAAAGGATTTAAATTTTTAACATTTAAATATGCAAAAATTCATGAAACAAATTTTAAATATATTCAAAATACTATACATATATACTATACTATATATTCCAAAATGCACTATACAATATATTAGAAAATACTACATGTTTAAAATTTTATATAAATTTAATTTCCACATATTCAAATTCTTTAAAATCTAAAAGTTTGAATTAAAAAAATCGAATACTAAGCACTTAAAAATTGAAGCACAATGCTAAAACACGTCACAAATTCCAGGCATTTACTTTAAGAAATAAGCATCATGAATTCTATAATATTCATGCACTTTTAATTTCTTTGATTCTATAATTAATAATTGGAATACTAATAACAATTTTAATAACTGTAATAAATTACTTGAAATTGAGGTAACATATATCACATATACAAAATTATAGTCTTGCTACATGCTATACACACATGCTCTGCACATGCAAAGAGTTCCATTCAACAATCCAATAAAGATCACGATTATATAATATTGTTTCTCAATACATCCTAAATAATATTTCTAATAAATCATATCAAAAATTCAAACTCTATAATTATCTGTAATTTATCTGCAAAAAATCAATAATATAAAAATAGTAATAATTTGATATAATTGCACGGATCTTTTAATCATTTCTTTTTAGAAAAAAATAAATTACAGAGTTTTGTTCAAAATATTAATATTCTAAAACCTAAGGTTGCATAAGGCATAAGATTTTCGAACAAATATATTTCATGCAAAGTACAAATTAAAAAGAGCAGCCTTCAAGAATTAATGTAATATTTAACCTTTTTAAATACATTTAACAAACTTGCATAATGCTACAAATGTTAGTGCAATGTTCATGCAAGTTATTATTAATTTATTATTATTTATTACAAAGATATCATGCTGCGTCCACAAGTAATTAATTTGTAGGATTTTCTCCTGGTTTTAATCATCTCTGATGATCTTTTACATTAATTTCAATGATATTAATTTACAGTATTAATAATAATAATAATATTTATTACGTTCATTACTTATTATTATTATTAATTTTTCTAGTACTATTATTTTAATTAATATTAAAAATATAATTATTTTCTATTTAGAAAAGTGACTTAAAATGTTTAAACAGTTATTACTAACAATAAAAAAATTATCGCTAAATCATTTTAATATTAAATTACTGAATATTATATATATGCAATATTTCATATAATTAAATTTAAATACAATACATGCAACTCTGTTTGTTCTTTGACATGCATGTTAAATTACGATAAATTCTTATTTATGCAAAAAAGGGAAAAAAAAATGATTAATAATGGAGTAAAATGGAGGGGTAAAATAGAAAAATGAAAATGTCACTAGAAAATAAAGAAAAAATAAATATTTACCATGGAAAAAATTGTAAGTAGATATTAAACTATATTAAACACTGACTATATATTAATGACTATATTGAAAACGTATTAAATATTAAGTTTAAAATAATTTTAAATTGTAAAATATTATTAATGTTAAACATCTACAATTAAAAGTATATAAAGGCTGCCTTTTTAAGAAATACATTTACAAACAAATTCATATAACAAGTTCTCAGTTCATGTGCAGAAGTGTTGAAACATTATCTATATAAGAAAACTACGACAATGCAAACGTTGTAAACTTTTCTCTAAAAAAATTCTTTTATACTATATGTAATTAGAAATAGATTAATATTGTACAATATCTAAGTATCTGAAATTGATTAAATATAAATTGAGAACAATGAATTTATACAAAATTATGACCGGACTGGACAACTCTCAAGGAACATAAAGGGAGATAGAGCGGAGTGAATGACTTGTGTCCTTTGCAGTGATGGCTTTTGGTTAGTTGGCAACACTAACACATTAAATAATCCTAAAATCACTCAACAATATATGATTAGTAACATACAATAAGGACATTCTGATGTCTGACAGCTCATAAAAGTAGAGCCCCACTGTGCCTCTCGTAAAGTCCTATCTGATCCTCATTTTTTCTCCAAGTAACTCTGTTTGCAATCGCTTAAAGTTGCACAAGCGCAAAAAAACAGGCTTTTGTATAAGTCTAATTCGCATATTCTTTAGCTTTTCATGCACCAGAGAAAATTTGGCCCAGCTGAGATAGACTGACTCATTGCTTCTTTAGCAAAGTTAAATGCTTCGATCAATAATTTTGCTCTTCAACAAAACATTGCAAAGTTGCAGTCACTTCAACAAGATTTACTCGCGTGTGTTCTTCAATCTTTTTCTTTAGAAAAATACAACAAATTCTTTAATAATATGTATCCTTTAATAAATAACATTAATAATCCTAAAATCAATTTTTTAAATATATATTATTTTTTAATTAACATACATATATTATTATATACTAAAAGACTTGACTTTGTATTAAACAAGCTTTGAAAGAAATCTTATTAAAGTGATGAATGTTTCAAATTTTTTCTCTCTAATCTCTCTCTGAAGCATATATTACAATTTCTAATTTATTGAAAAACAATTTAATTCTCGCAGAGTTCATACATGAATTTACAAAAATGTAAGCCAAATAAATAAATATAAGGCTGTGAATTGCGACATTATTTTTCACAATACAATATCTTATTTTTCTGTGCAAAAATTTAATTGTAGCAAATAAAAGAGTTCCTTGCTCAGAGTAAATAAAAGTTTTGAAAGCCAAACTAAATGATTGCGCTTTATAAAATATAAAGTATTCGATTCATTCGAGATAAGTGACAGCACCATTGCTGATATATTTACAGTCCGTTGCAAAAATTTTCCCCTGAAGTTTACATTCAAATTGTACAGAACAATCAATAGAACAATTTTACCAATAGAACAAGGTTAAGAACAAAACACCCCTTTTTACAATTTCATTCAAATCATTCTTCATTACACGTTTTTTGGGGAGGATAAAATAATTTTCCAAATTCCTGGACATTTCATAAATCCACTTTTTGGTAAAGTAGATTCATCTCTGATTTATATGCCCAGATTATTAGATTAAAGAAATAAGGAAATTCCAATTTAACGACTTACCTCGTCGAAAAAGACCTGGGTCTTTCGTAGGATATGTTTGAGCTCAGTTAGTTCCAAAAAGTTGCGTTTAAGTGCTTCAGCATTCTGATTCACTTCTCGTAACTCGTTCTCCAGCTTCTCGAAAGTGGCTTCCAGATCAATCATCTCTCTAGGCTGCGGCGCCTCTGGATTCTCACCAGTGTCCAGCATCGGAATGCCATCCTTTTTGATTTCCTTCTCCAGGTAACGCAGCTTCCGTTCCATCTCATCGCAACGACGTACCTCATTGACAAACTTCCGTTGGAAGGCGTTGACATCAGGATTCAACTAAAATGAGACAAGTACATTAATGTTATGCGATGACAAGGCCATCAAGGCCTTGAAATACAGAAACTTAAAATGACTGGTGGATGACTAATTTATAATTGATTTATATAAACATTATTTTTAAAAAATTGAACAATTTCTTTCTCTTTTTTAATATTTTAAAAATACTTAATTAATTATGTTAAAAGTTTTTCAGCTTAAAATGTGTGTCAAATAGCTATTGGTTATTTTAACTTTTACTTAATATTTTCTTTATATTATAAATCAATCATAATTACTAAGTTAATCTCTTAATTGTTCAACTGATTTTAATTTAATATAGCTTTCTCTATTTAGTCACTGCAATATTTTTTGTTTTAATTTTAAATGTAATATTCATACACTTAATGCTCCTTGTATTGAAAAAGATTGAGTACAGACGAAACGTATACCTTCAATTTACGATCAATTTTCGAAAAAAATTTCAATAGAATTTCCGAATTTTCAAGGTAAAGAAAAAAAATTTCCGACTTTTCCGGATCTTCTAGCAGACGTTCTATATTAAGAAACGAGACGGGATTTAATGACAAATATACTTACATCGCGAAACTGCACCAGCCCGAGCTCGCCGAGTTCGGAGACGCAGGCGTAAGCAGCTTCGCTTTGGAGGAACAGTTGACACAGGGTCATCTCCTCGCTGCGGAAGAGCGAGCCCATCTTCAATGTTGGAATTAATCTGCCGAGGAGAGACAATTCTGTTGTTACTCCAAAAGTTGCGGATTCCGCCGAGACTCTCCCTTCGTTCGATGTTCCTTTTCTTGGAACTGCGAGCGTGGCAGACTGCGAATAATAATCGATATCCACGCAGTCACGAGGTACAAGGCTGCGGATCATGTGGTGACGCGCGCGCGCACGCGCGTTGAGTCACCTCAAGGTTGCTACGAGTCTGTTACGTATTTTTTGGGCGAGTGTTTGCTCGAAAGTTTGCAGTTCGCGCTCGCAAGTACAGTGCTGTACATACGTTTACACGTAAAAAAAAAAAAAATCTTTTTATTTTTTACGTAAAAAATGTAAATTTTTATGTAAAGAATGTAAACATGTAAAATATGTAGAAAAAGTTAGTGAAGTCAAGTTAGATTAGGTTATACTCTTGTGCAATTTCAGTATCCACGTGACAGTTCACACGGAAAATTTATTATTTTGATGAAAGTTAAAGATGACTGGTAGAAATAACTGACATTTACACATAACAAACTAGACTTTACTCTTATTAAAATGAATAATAAAATATGTTATGCGCAGTATCATGTATGTTTGTATGAAAATTTTAGCCAATATATACCTATCACTTTTAAAATAAAGTAATATACATATAGTTTGCCCAGTTTATAAAATTTGGTTAGTAATTTAGGCTATTTTTTTACATTGTTTACATTCTATGTTTTTATGTAAAAATTAAATAAATCAAAAAATTAATTTATTACACGTAAAAATTTTTTTAGGTTGATATTTATTGTATCTAATTAAATATTATTAAGCCACAATTTTTTTCTATTTATATCTTTTGGTAATCTGATAACGAGAAATATTTATATATATAATTTTAATCTAATTTTCTTTATGCTTTACTGTTTCAAATTGATAATAATTAAGAAATGTTGATGGTATGATATCAACAACACAGTACTCTTTCATGTTAAACCCTGTTACAATTGCGTAAACGTAGATGTCAGTAGTTGTACCACAGATTAATATGGTTGTACCATGGATGTAGGAATAACTGGATAGAGCGTAAGGTACCTTTATGGACGAGGAGGGTGAAGCCAGAGACGTGAGAGGAAAATTGCCAACCTAGATGGCGGCAATATATATACAGGGTGTCCCATAATTCGCGAACCACCGCGAATGGGCAGATAGAGCGTGTTAAACTGAATAGAAAAATCCTGTATCATTTTGCGATATTCGCAATAATTATTGAGTTATTTATTAAAATATCTAAACGAATAAGCAGGTAGAAAGCATTATATTTGATCGAGAGGCGGCGTCATGCAGCGAGCGGCGACCAATGTAGTGGCGCCGAAAAGTAAGATGATACTTTTGATACTAAGCGGTACATGCACACCGAGTCCGGCTTACCGCTTTCTACCCGCTCATTCGTTTAGATATTTTAGTTAATAACTCAATAATTATTGCGAATATTGCAAAATGATACAGGACTTTTCTATTCAGTTTAACACGCTCTATCTGCCCATTCGCGGTGGTTCGCGAATTATGACATCCTGTATATATATATATATATATATATTATATATATATATATATATTATATATACATATATATGTATGTATATGTATATGTATTATATTGTATATACTGATATAATTATTCTAATAGTTTAAAAAATTGTCGCATTCTTTTAATAAAATGATTTATTATAAAATTACTGCTTAGTAAAAAATAAAATTTATTTTAGATAGAACAATTTGTAAGCCATAGATACGGATTTATATTTTCTATAAATGAATACAAAAATGTTATGAACAAGTTAAAGGCACGTTCTGAAAAACTGTTCAGTCAGATAAAATTTTATGAAGATATATATATATATATATCGTTAAAAATTTAACTTTAATAAATACACCAACAATATTTCAAATAACGAACTGTTTATACATACCTATATACAATAATATTATGTGTACTGTTTATATGCATAACTATCTATTAAATATTAAATATTAATACACAGATGTTTGGTAAATAATACATATTATAATATTAATCTATACAAGATATAAACTTTATAAAGTATAATTAATACTTTATTAATTATTAATATTTAAAAATTACATTTAATGTAATAATAAATATTAATATTAATATTATTGTAATATTAGTATTAATATTAGTATTACTACTTTTATTAATTTTGACGATCATTATTATTTTAATGTTAACACATTTATAATGTTATATATATTAATTATTTTAATTCTATTGTAAAATAACATATAATAACGAGATTTAATGTAATAATAATTGTAATCCTAAATTTTTATTTACGTATGTTTATTTTGTATTTTCTCAAAATTCTTTTATATCGTTTTAAATATATGTATAATACATTTGAATAATGTCACACACATTTTTTTTATATCCATATACATTTTTTATCTCAATTTTTCTGTATTTCAAAATACTGTTTCTTTTTTAACTATTTTTCTTCTCGTGCTATATGTTTTCTTCACTTTTTTCTTTCATATTACATTTCTTTTTTGTATTACAATTTTTTAATAATCAAATAAAATAAAATCAAAATGTGTAAATAAATAAAATATATTTTCTTTTATATTTATTAAGGAGGAAGGTAAAATTTAGGAAGTTAAAAAATAAAATTCAAATCTGTGAACATATTCTTCCATTATAATTGAGTATTTAATATACGTATTTTTAATAAGATAATTTTAGAAACAAGGAAGAAGTCAAGATAATATGAAATTAGAGAAACCATATTGTGAGTCACCAATTTAGTTTCAAACACACATTGAATTTGAAAATTTAAATTTTTTAGGGCATTAAGAACTAGATGATACTGTGTAAGTTTAAAAACAATATTATTTTTTAAAGAAATAAAATGATTAGGTAAAGTGCACAAATTTTAACAATTTCTAAAAATTTATCAAAAGACACGGGTATATGTATACATAGATATGTCCCCTACTTAACGTGCCACCCGTTAATGGGAGAGTCCTGAAATCATTTCGAGATGAAAATCTTAATACTAAAATGTCGAGGCTGCAATAGTTTTCAAATGAGAAGGATTTATAACTGACTAATCCCATACAGCACCGATAGATTGCAAAAACATTACAACAATCTTTCACCGCAATATTGCAATATTGCAAATTCACTGCAAAATGTTGTTACATCATTGCTGCATTGAATTGCAGCAATGTTAAAATGTCCGCTTTTTGAAAGATTGCAACAAAATATTACAACAATATTGCAATATGTTATGAGTTTGCAATAATGCATTGTTATTGCAACCATAAACTAATGTTGCATATACAGGTATATAAATGTAAATAAATCATTAATGAAAATACGTTGTAGTTAATTTATATATATTACAATATATAAATTATAGAATTTGGATTACATGCAATATTTCCGAAATATTAATGTCATGTTGCTACAAGTGTGCTGGAATTTTGTGCACTTATATCTCTGCAATGTCTTTATAATGTTGCATTGCAACTTGCAACATTGCAACGTTGCTGCAATATAATTGCAATAATCTGTGCTGTATGGGATCAAACCGTCCGAAATTCGCGCGCTCAGGCATGGCACGGCACATTGCACAGTAGCACTGACCAGGTACTGCTTTGTTTTCAAGCCCTCAATTATATTTTCTAACTTGATATAATTCTGCATACGTCGTAATTGCTGCTTATTTTTATTGTATTTATGCGTGAACTATTAATTAATTATGATAATTATATAATAATAGTAGAATAAAAGATGTAAGTATATTGACTTTCAAACGTTATATGTTTAAATAGATGTGTTTTTAATTTTTATTTTTACTGAGAGGAAAATAAAGAAAAAGTTAAATTGTGTTTTTCGTATAAAAAAGCTCGAACAATTAAAAAAATTTTTTTTTATATAAAGGCAACATTAATTTTTATTTACTTTGTTGAATTTTTTATTATGGATTTTATATATTACCAGAACATGCAGTATATTTTTAATTCCACTTACATTAAAATAAAAATGCAGTAAGAAAATAGAAGAAATGTGATATAATGTACCTATTCAGCATTATCCAATAATTTGCGACAAGAAAAGATAGATGATTCTATATAAAAATCAGACACGAATAAATGATACATCTCTGTTTGCATATAACATACAACTTCCTGATTAAATTTATTCAAAATTTATTTATATGTAATAGATATGAAGTCTTTTACGAAAACTCTTTAATTATGTATTGATTTTTATCAATCTAGTAACGATCAAACGAGACGATTGTTACTAGATATATAATATAATCATGGAAAGCTGTTTACATGAGATTTAAGTATTTCATATGTTTTAATCCCGCAAACGTCGTCAGTTCTCGATTGTCCTTTGAAGAAGTAACATCACAAGTAAGCGATACGCTTTCGACTAAGGTGATCCGGCTCGTGTGATTCTGCAAATAAATAAATCAATGTAAGTCAAATACAAGAATTCAGATATTTTTGTTAAATTTAATCATATAAAATAAGTAAAGATTTCATCGCTATCTCAGATTTCTCAATTTCTAAAAGATATTATATTTAATGTTAAAGAAAACGTTTAAATATGTGTCTTTTTATGTTTTTCAATTATTATCTTAATTTTTTGCATAATGTAGATAATGTAAAAATATTTAGATTGTAAATTATCATTGCATCTTTAATTTTTTATTATATTATTACATGATAAATTAAAAATTAAAGACTTGCTTGATACATTTTTTTGTGAATTGATATCTAGAATCACTATTTTCTAATTCGTTAAATTAGATATGTAATGAAGCATATACATTCTAGAAACAGATAGATCAAAGTAAATCCAATCAGAAAACGATAAGATTTATCTTTTAAATATAATCATATAAAAATAAATGAAAAACTCGCTATATTAGAGTCTCAATATGTAAATAATATTTTATTCAATGTTTTTCTTCTTTCGATTATTATCGTCTTTTTTCGTATATTGCATATAACATTTAGATGTAAATTGTAACATCTTTTAATTCTTTAAAATATTAATATAAAAAAGAAACAACAATTAAAGACAGATTAAACATTGTCTGGATATATTCTTTCTCGAAAAGATATCTAGAAGCAATATTTTCTCACATGTTAAAGTAAATATGTAAAAATTAAAAAATATAAACGCAATAAGCTTACTTTCTTAGAAAAATATTTATAAAATGATAAGTGAAAATAAAATATTTGCATCACGTTTTGATTTGCTGATGAAACATACATCAACAAAATTTGAAATAATTTTAATATCATGTTATTATCCGTTTCTTTAGAGTGTAAGTACATGACTTACAAATGACATATAAATTTGTTGATAATAATATATCAGTAATAAGCATGATAAATTCCAATGAACGAAGTACAGTTATTAAAAGAAACTGTTTTATACATATTTTATTTATAATATTTTAATACTTCAAAATATAATATTTATGAAAGCTTTATGATGTATCGCAAGTGAACTTATTTTATAAATCGTTCCAAAGTTGTGATCAATCGTTTAGGAAGAGATTAGATACCCAAAAACAAGAAAAAAGATGATATGTATGTTATAATTATGTTAATTATGTTACGAAACTAATAAAAGTCATCTCTCCTTTCAATATTGAAAACAATTAGTATGTAAAGCAACTAAATATTTTAATATTATAAAAATGGAGTTGTATATCAAAATTAACAAATTTCCGGATCCACATACCCCTTTTTTCTTGTTTTTGTATTCCATTTATTAGTTACATTTATCAGCTATTTCTATTTATCATAGTTTTAACGTAAAGGTTTAGGTTTTCAATATTATTCTTGTGTTTTTAAATTGAATATATGTAATATAATTGATTGTTGTTCTAAAATACAGACTAAATTAATCAAGTATTCTATAAAATTAGAATAAAAGGAACTTTATCGAAAACAGTTATGCACTTATATCAAATTTTAATAATTTAGTTTTATAAAAATACAGATGTTGTAATCATCACCTAATCAATCATATAATATTTAGCAAAATGGAATATATGTATTTGCCTCTTTCTTTTATATATTTATTATTAATACATATAATATAATCTGTTTGTATGTCTATTAAAAACATTTTTTATAAGATTATTATAGGAAGTTGAAAAAAGTTAGTATCAATAAGTTTACAATTATATTATGAGTTAAAATTGTGAATTGAATAATAATTAATCGAGTGTATTGAGTTACATAATTTACCTTTTTTAAGTTATTAAAAAGTAGAAAAGTTGATACTATTGTGTAAATATTGAGAATACTTCTTTTCTCGAAACTAAACGATTACAGGCATACAATTTACACTTTATGTTTATTTTAAACATATATTGCATGTAATAAAAAAATATAAAATATAATTTATGTAAAAATATGTTTCTTTTTTTACTAAAATCAGCAGTTTTGCATTTATTTTACATTATATTTTTACATATTATATTTTTACCTCATATTATAAACTGTTCTCTGCTTCTGCTTTCTGTATCACTTACTCTTATCAAGGAAATGTTTTTGCAGATATCTGAAACGAGATTTCGCATGATGTTCCTAAAATTGTCATTGAATACTTTATTATATATTCTTGTAATGACAATGGCTTCTTCTATCGAAAATGCGGGAAATTTGTGGCATAGTGTGGATTACCATAGGTTGAGCGGTCTGACATCGCTTCATTATAGCTTGAAGCTATCATTGATTCCGAGTTATATATCCCATGGAGAATCCAATATTACTATTCATATTCATGGTCCAACACGAGACATAACTTTACTTACGTCAGCATATATAAATGTAACATCAGTAAATTTAATATCGCTCGACAATGAAAAAATCTATGTACCAAGATGTTTATATAGCAGCAATGATAAGGATAACATTGTCCTTAATTTTACCGAACAATTGTTGCCTGAAAATAGCTTTGAACTCGGATTTTATATTCTATATGTTAATTTTACAAACTTTAACCCAAAAGAATTTCCGCAAACTTGGTACACAGATGAGAAAGAAGATAACATGTAAGTATCTAATAAAGTAAATTAAAAAACTAATTATTATATACAGTATACATACAATACCCTGTAAAAAATGTTATATATAACAATATAAAATTATATACATAATCACAAAATTATATATGAAATGTCCATATATAATTAGATAAAAATGTTTTTTATATATAATTATATCAATTTATAAAAAGACCAAAAAACGAGCAATTAGAACAATCATAAGTACACGTATACATTAAACATATATATATATATATATATTTATTTATTTATCAATAATTGTTAAAAATTTGTCATTACAATGTATTAGGTTCGTCGCAACATTTTTCCAGCCCACACAAAACCGACCATTATTTCCATATTTGAACATTTCGGAATCGGCCACTACCTTTAAGATCTTAGTAGAACATGGTAAACGATACAAAGTTTTATCGAATATGCCGATAAAAAATCAATCTATGTCTAATGACAAGATGCTTACGTATTTCCACACGTATCCACTGACGTCTATATACGAAGTAGCATTAATTCTGATGTCGTCTGATATGACACCTTCAGATCCCATCAGATATGATCCTTATCTCTCTCCTTTTTCGAAAATAATTATCAATACGTGGAGCAGATCGCGTTTGGTACCTTATATGAAATTTACGCGACATATTCTCAAAAATGTAACCAGACATTTAGAAGACACTTGGAAAATCTTGAAGAGAGGTCCTAAGATAGATTATGTCTTTATTCCGAATTTCGAGGGCAATATCAGGCAGACTTGGGGATTTCTACTTTACAAGTAATATATATACATTTAACATTTAATTATAATTATAACTTATTAAAATATATTTTATTTTAAATTTTAAAACTAAAAAAAATTTTAAACATGCATTTTATACGATTATTATTAGAAATTAAAGAGAATTTAAATGAAATAGAGATTTATAACATAATTTCTCTGTTATTTTAATATTTAGAAAGAATTAAATAATCGAAATATATGTACATTTGTGCCTAAAATAATTTCCATAAGTTATTTACATGACAGTATATAATACATGTAAAATGACTATAGTAAAATTATGGAATAACTACATTTATTTATTCAGAAATTCAAAAATTAATTTATAATTAATTGAATTATTATATACAACTTTAAATTTTAATGTTGAGGACATATGATTTTATGTTTATTTAAGCTTATTATTATTTAATAGTATAATATGTCTATATTATTGTATTATTCATGGAATTGTTAGAAGATTTATTTTATCACATTGATGAAAAAATATGGCAAAATAAGATTATCTGCTCATTATATTTTTGAGAAGGAGAGATAAAGAGAAATGTACATAATCTAAATGAAATAATTAGATATAATTAACATAATACATTGTTACAAGAAGTAAAATTTTTCTGGTTAATAAGAGTGTAATTAATTTATTCGAAATATATATTATATGTATTATGAAATGAATTCATTATTAAAATATTATTTTTTGCTTGAGAGGATAAATAATCTTAAATCGTAAATACATTTGAAATTATATATCTTACACTATTATGTACACTTATATATATGTAACATACTTAGATTTAACCAGCGATGTGTATCTATTAATGGATATCTAATAAACCTATTTAAAATAGGAAATGCAAAATGTAGAAAACTTTACATTTAGAAATGCAAAATGCAAAATTCTGTGCAGACCCCCACATAAAATAGAAAATGCCTTTTTTTAATGAATCTGTAAAGTAAAAACGTTTTTCAAAAATAATGACATATATATAAATTTGATTTTTTATTATTTACATCTTACAATTATTATTTATATTTATATTCTTACTTTTTATTAAATTTTTATGAATTTTACAAACTTTTTGTTTGAGCTTTTTTTATAAATTTTTTTCTATAAACGCTTTAAACTTTTATAAATTTTATATATAAATAATACATATTTTTTTAAACAAATAAAAATAATTGTATGAGATTACATGAAATTGTAAAAAATGTTTATTGATTACATTTGCTTAATGACTTCTGTAATAGCATATTGATTGTTTTACATACACATTATTATATATCTCCCTTATTTTTTAGTTTTTTGAGAAAAATTTGAAACAAAAATAAGCAATATAATGTTTATTTAAATGTAATTGCAAAATAATTTATGAGAATCTGTATTTTTGTATTATAAATTCAAAATATATGCATTTTACATTTTATAATCTATTTTAAATACATCTATTTCCAAAATTTAAATGTATATATCCCTTGTTTTAGCACAAATTTAAAATGTTTATATACATATAACAAAAAGTATCGACATAATCCTGTTATATACAATTTTCAGTGAAACGTATATTACCTACAATGAAGAAAAACATTCAGTACAGCATAAAAGTGCAGCAATACACTCAATAGCTCATAATATAATATCACAATGGTTCGGTGGTCTCTTCTATTCTTATAAACACTGGTGGTTAAATGAGGGCTTCATTAAGTTCGTCGAAGCATATGTCATTGATAAGGTTTTTTTTTGATTATATTATTATTCTGTTATAATTGTGATATCATAAAAATATTTGAAATTGTCTCGCCTCTATTCATTAAAAAAATATAAGAAATACTAAAAAATATTAAATATTAAATATTTTATTTTGTAATTTCTTGCAATATTTTAATAATTTAAGAAGAGACATTATGTAGAGCAGATAACAAGTATATTTAAATTATGTATTATAATTTGCAAATACTTTCCAATTATTAACCAAATTTTTTGAATAATGTGAATAACATATTTATATTTCAAATAATTACACATTACATGTAAATTCACAACTACTATAAAATTACATAATAATATATTATATAAAAATATAAAAACTTGGTTTAAAAATAACGAAAATAATTGAATATATCTGTGTGTATTGTAATACAAGTATTATTAATGCGAGCTTCTTTTTCTGTTTGTAGGTCTTTCCAAACTGTGGAATGATGAACTTGTCCATAATTCAAGATATGCATGAATATCGTTATATGGATATACATTTTCCTTCTGATATTTATGGAAACATTACAAATAATACATTTAAAATTAATTCACTTTCTATTCGTCAACGTATTAAAGGTACGTAATTATACAATTTGGTTTTTTAAAAAATTATAACTATTTATATAAATATTTGTAAATAATATAATTAAACATGAGTGAAATTGCTAATTATAAATATATAAGAAAAGATTTATTAATTATAATTGTACGTTTATTTATTCATATTGTAATTAAGTGTTAGAAGGAAAAATTTGGTAAATAATAAAATGAGTAAAAGCATTTTCCATGATCTTGACTTTGATGTATATATCCTGAATATTGAAGAGAATCTAGCCGCCAGTCATTATTCATTGAAAATTATTGACAAATTAAATTGAGAATATAAATATGCGTTTAACTCTATACTTTGAACTGTCGTAAATACAATATTATTTGCATATTTACGTTTATAGATATTTTAAATGTTGTTGAGAGTCATCACTTCTTAACAACATATGTCAAGGTCAAGGAATTGCCACTGCTCATCTTTATTTTTATGTTAAAATTTAAAGTTATATAATTTTTTAAAGTATACATATAATTTTTAATTACTATGTGCATACCCTTTAATATATTTATATAATTATATAATTAATATTACTATAATAGGACCTATTGTATGGCGCATGTTAAAAGAAGTAATACCCAATAATGTGTTTTGGAAGAGTATCTACTTATATTTAATCAGGGGGTAAGTGACAAACACATTGTAATATATGTATAATACTTTATCATATTGAAGATGTTGGACAATGTTGCGATTCGTCGATTAATTAATCCATATTTTTAACCAAACTATTTAAGAAATTTATTCAGAATATAAATCTTGTTTGTGCGTTTCGCTTATTTTTAAAATATTATTCTGCTTTGAATAATTTGTGAATATAAATTTTTCGTCAAACATTTTATTGATTGACTATATTTAGGGTAACTTGTTTCAAATTAGACTGAAATTAATATATAATTTAGAATTTATGATTTAAAATTTTTATTTAGTTTTAATAGAATGCTGATGTCTGTTTTATTGATAAAACGCGAAGTTGAATTCGGCCAAATAAATCTTTTTATTTGCTATACTTACAGATTGAAAAAATTTTTCCACAATTAACGAATTAAATATTAAGCAAGAGCACTATAATTTTAGTAAAAAAAAAACAAAAAAGTAAAATATTACATTTCTCTATCAGCCCTTTTTTAACTTTTTTTTACATAAAATTATAACATTCACAGTTAGTTACTATTAGTACTTTAATTGTGGAAAAGAAAATTTTTAAAAAATCTGTATAACCCATATTTTTGAATATATTATAACTACACGTTTTATCAATAAAACAGACAAAGTCAGCATTCCCCCCCATAAGATTATGAAGTTTGATAAAAATAGAAAAGAGATCTTAATCGTTAATTAAAGCTTGATTTATTTGAAAAGTAATTCCTATTAGGTAAACGATTTCCTTTTTCGGGCATCTATTGGAAGATTAAAATTTGAAATTCGATTATTTGTGTGCAATTAATTGTCACTTTACTATTGTCAACAGCAAATAATGTATTATATTATACTTTTTGACAGCGACAATAACTCAAAGTTTAAATAAACTTTTTTATTTATATTAACCTAAAAAGAATTATTTTTGAAAGTTGTTATTAAATTAATACAAAAAATATCATTAAACTGTATCTGTAATTAAAACGATAATTATAATTTTACATTATTAGAATATAAATCAACTATATTGTATGTGGTATTTCATTCTACAACATTAAGTTTTACAGGGCGACGTGCGTTAATTCGAGAATTCCTGATAATCTATGGGATATTATGCAGACTACCATAGATAAATCAGAAATTAAGAATTACGAACTAAACGTAAAACGAATGATGAATGTTTGGGCTGAACAGAAGTATTGTCCTGTGGTAAATGCGACACGAGATTATAACAGTGAAGGAGATTATATCACTATATCGATAGACAAAAAACAACTTTTCAATCAAACAACTTTTTTTATACCCATCAGCTATACTACGGAAAAGAACAACGATTTCAACACATCGTCAGCTATTGATTATTATTTAACGGAATCGAATCCCGAGTTGAAAATACCTATTAGATTTCAAAATTTATGGGTAATTGTCAATAAACAAAAAACTGGTAAATATTATAAGTATTCTAATTTTATTATACATATTTTTTTAAATTATTGTTAAATGCTTATATATATATTTCCTTTCACTATATATAAAAAAACATTTGCCGATAAAACAGAGTCAACATCTCTTTAAAGTGCCTAATTTTTTAAATATATAAAAAATACATTTTTATTAAATATTTGAATCCCAAGATTTTTTTTGTAAGGATTGAAATTATATTTTGTATATTACATATAATATACTTTTAAATTATTCTTCAAATATTACCATTAAAATTTTCATTTATCATTACAATTTCAAACACTAGGTACGTTGCTTAATTTCTTGGAGCTTAATTTTTTATTTAAATTAATGACCTACAATAATTTTGTAATTAATAATATTAATAAGAGATTTGCATTTTTTACTATAATATACATTTGTATGCATATTATTTTTAATACATCTTTACGTGTTTAAAATAAAGAAAATAAAATATATATTTTTAAATATATTTTATTATATTTATTCAAAGAAATAATCGATAAAATTTATTTGTTGAATAATAGGATATTATCGCATCAACTATGATACGAATAATTGGCGAAGAGTTGGAACTTATTTAAATCTCAACTATACTAATATACCTGTTCTCATACGAGCACAAATTGTCGATGACGCGTTTTACTTTGCGTTAGAGAAAAGACTACATTTCGATAGATTCATTAATCTTGGGTATTATTTAGTGGATCATGAGCAAGATTATACACCATGGTATTCTTTGTTCAAAGCTTTTGAATGCTTGTCGAACTATTTTGCAATTTTCAATATACCTGATATGCATCTTCTTCCAGGACTCAAGGTATTTTACAAATTGTAGCGCTAATATCGTATTAAATATTAGAAATCAATATATAAACCATTATATAACATAAATCTAATTTTTAAAAATTAAGGAATAGTAGGTAGTTAAAGAAAATTTTATTATATGCTAATATATGAAAATAATATAATGAATATAAAGATTATAATGAATATAATGAATATAAAGTTTTAATAATGTGCTAATCATTCGGTATCAATGACGTCTCGAATAAAATCAGTAATTTTTATATTTTTTTACATCGCTACAAACAAATTTAGTATTTATTTTTACTGTTCCTTTATGAATCTACGTAATAAATTTTTTTATGCTAACAAACGCAAAGATCATTTAATTTTCTTGCCAGCTTTTAATTGCAATGAAATCTTACAAATTTTACTTTGAATGAAATCATGTATTGTAAACTTTCTCTTCACTTATCTCTCTCTTGTTTGTCTTATAAACTTTTGCTTAATACCTACTTGTAAGGTCGAAAAAAACGTATTTTTAGGAATTTTTTTTTAAACTGAAAGATTTTTTAAAATAAATGATTAATTATTCGAATGTATACATTTTGAAGATTTTATAGTATTTTTTTATTACAAAATATTAAAAAATACAAAAAAGATCAGCAAAAGTATTTTTTGTAAACTTTTTGCGGCGATCACTGTAGCTTTGAGTTCATATCTGAAATGAATAATTCGAACGAATTTAGTTAGTATATTAGTTTATCTAGTGCCCGATCGTTGCTTTTTATTTTTCGTTGCATAGTTTTTTACAGATAAAAATAAACGATTTTTTTGGTCAAAATCGATACTTTAACTTTAAACAGCCGCCATTTTGTCTCAAATTAATTTTTCGAGATAATGAACGATCGGACACTAGATAAACTAATATACTAACTAAATTCGCTCGAATTATTCATTTCAGATGAACGAGCTCAAAGCTACAGTGATCACCGCAAAAAACTTACAAAAAAATGCTCTTGCTAATATCTTTTTTGTTTTTTAATATTTTGTAATAAAAAATACTATAAAATCTTCAAAATGTATACATTCGAATAATTAATCATTAAAAAAAAAAATCTTTTAGTTAAAAAAAAATCTTAAAAATACATGTTTTTTTCGACTTCACAAGTAAGTATAACCCCTTAAAACATTAGTTTTACGTAATTTAAATTGTAATTTAGTATATCATATCAAAATTTTGAAATTGTGTATGGTTAAAAGTGTAAAAATGAAAAATGTTATATTTTCTAAAAAAAGAATTAAAGGAATTAGTTGAAACATAATTTATTCGTTATAAACATAAGTAAATTTATCATTTCGGAGCTTATTTTAATCACTTATTTAACGATTCAATGTAGAATAATTGTGATAAATAAAAATATGTATTTTCTTGTATATTATATTTGTCTTTGTAAAAAATCTAATAATCAAATAAAATATACTTTTTTCAATTATAGAGAATATCAGTGCTAATAAAAGGTATGTTCGACAATAAATTAAGGCACATATATCCATATCTTTTTAGATGGCAATTTGTAACTCATCATCCAATGAAACCCGTCGACGACGATTTTACTACATATTTAAAGATGGACATCAGAAAATGGGGATGTCTTATCAATGATACTCGGTGCATTTGGGTGGCCGAAATGAAATTGGTATATTATCTACAAAATCAAAAATTCTTTAAGTAAGTACATTTTAATCTTAATTATTTCTACATAAATATTTTTTATATTCTTATAAAAATATAGTTTATAGTTATAAAAAATAAAATCAAATTTAAATATATGCATATTATTATTCTCCATAACATGTATCACACACGTATGTTTCTTGTTAACTAAATTTAATAATTTCTCTGTATGTACATACAGGAAAAGGAATAAAAGAAAAAAAATGAAAAGTAATTACAAAAATCTTTACATAGATTTTTGTAAATAAAATAAATATTGAAGAACTAAGAGAAATTATTTCTATATTTTACATATATACATATTATACATATGTATATATAAATATACAGGGTGTCCGGTAACTAACGGACCAACGATTACAAATGGATTCTTGCGTCAATTTGGAAACGATCTTTCCTCAGCGAAAATGTCGAAAAAGGTCATCATTTTTACAACTTTCCAATATTTGTCATTATGTATCTTTATAACTAAGCCTCAAATTAAAATTTTATTATAGTAAACTCTACCTATAATTAACTGAAGAATGTAATTATGTTAGACTTTTAACTCCAAAACGTTTAGTTTTCAAAAAACCAATTTTTTTCAATCGCTTATAACTCGAAAATTATTGACTTCTCAACATTTTTGCTAAGAAAAAATCGTCTCCAAATTGGCCAGAAAATCCGCCCATAATCATTGGTCCGTTAGTTACCGGGCACCCTGTATACATAATATTTTTTGATATCTAAATATATTTGATTACAAAAATTGGCACAACAAATAAAATAGAACTATGTAAAAAGAATAAAAGTAAACAATTTAAATATAAAATTTAAAATTATAGAATAGAATATAAATATAAATAAAAAATTTTCTTAAAAAAATAAAAATACAAAAGATAATTTTTATAATTATTTATCTATTATTCTTCTTATTGTTCTTTTCATATGTACAAACAGAGATTATACAAAAGAGAGAAAAAGTTTGTGGACACATTTTATATAACTTTATATATTTATATTTGCTTTTATATATAAATATTTGTCTAAATATTTATTAATATAAAAATGATGTATGTTAAATATCGATACATCATAAAAAACTAAAAATTAATTTTTTTTTGTTATAGCATTTCGACTGGGTGGGAGGAATGGACATATTGTAATGGTTTAAAGAGAGTGAACGCTAGTATTTGGAATAGTACATATTTGTTGGCATCTCGTATGTACAAAGAAAAATCCGATTATAAAATGTTAAATTACCTTGGTTGTTCTGAAAATTCTAGCATTATCGTTAAATATTTGTGGTCTGTAATACCGGAATTTAAAAAGGATATGTTGAGAGAGAATGATTATAAGATGCTTACACAGAAAGATAAGGATAAAATTGATACTTTAATAAATACTAATATGTTTCTTTCTACTCTTGCAAGACATGCTAAGAACACTTTAGTACTTAAAGAAATACTGAAGAATTATGAAAGATATTACAAAGACAGGTAACACCTTCCAGTCAATAAATATATGTATATAGCATATAATCAGGAAAGTTTATTATGTATACGTACGTTTTTACTATATCTATATATAGTATATATATATATATATATATATATTTTTATAGTCCAGTCAGTATGACATCGGCGTTAATTGTGCTTATTAATAATGCGTATACTCATAAACAATTATTTAGAGAGGTAAATTTTATACTTTTTTAATACTTTTTTTTACGAAATTTCTGTTTAATATAAAAAACCAAAATTAAAATATTGATTTTAGATAGGTGAATTTGCGAGAAAAGTTATGCCTCCTTCAAATTATGAATTTCATATTAAGAACAAGTTAACAACCCGTTATGATCAAGTGAGCGTCCAGATGCAGTTTTTTAACAATTTGTTCGAAAATAAGAGTGATAACGAGATGGCCAATGAAAAAGTCCAATGAAGTCTAATCTACTTGAATTGATACATATACAATAATAAAACATAATATATATCAACAAATGCAAAAATAAAGCACACATTTTTATTAAACACATTAATAAAAGAATAAATATTAAATATTTAAAATAATATTTTATATATTTATAGTGCATTATATATTTGTTATTTATTTTTATAATTTTATATATATGATCATGTCGAATCTCATAAAAATTCTATCATTTCCTAAATATACGTATGTATACACACACACACACACGCACGCACACACACACAAACACGCACACACACACACACACACACACACACACACACACACACACATATATACATATATATATATATGTATATATGTATATATATAATATTATGCAAAAATATTAACTTCTCTTTTACATTATAATTTTTAATAATTGGATGAGATAAATAAAACAATTAAAACAATCAAAATATGTAAATAAATAAAATACCTGTATATAAATTATGGTTTATGATTTTCTTTTATTTCCATGAAAGAAGAAAAAAATATGAGAAGATAAAGAAAAATAAAATTCACACTTTGAAAATATTCTTAAATTATAAATAAGTATTTTCTATGCGCATTTAATAAGATAATTATAGAAAGTAGTAAAATGTCAAGAAAATATAATCAGATAGAGAATAAACCGCCATAATGTAAGTTACTAATTTAACTATAAAAGACAGAATTAAAAAATGTGTTTTATATTAAAGATTAAAAAAACTATAAAAAATATTGTTTCAAAACATAATACGATGTTTAAATACATGTGTCCTTAATTTTCACAAAATTTTTGTACTGAGAAGAAAATAAAAAAAATTAAATTGTTTATCATATAAAAAGCTGGAAGGATTTAAATTAATATGCTTTTTTATGTAAAAGCCATGTAAATTTTTCTTTACTTTGTTGAAACTTGAATTTTTCATTATGGATCTGGTATATATGAACAGAACAGAATTTTAAATTCCACTTACATTACATTTAAATAAAAATTTAATAAAAAAAATAGAGAAAATGTGAAATAATGTAACTATTTTATACATTATCCAATAGATTGCGACAAAGAAAGAAATAATTCTATATAAAAATCAGGCAAAAATAAAAGATATTTTCTTATTCATTCTTTTTGCATATAATGTAATTTCCTGATTAAATTTCTTCAAAATTATTTTATATGTAATAGGTATAAAGACTTTTACAAAAACTCTTCAATTATGTATTGGCTTTTATTAATCTAGTAACAATCGAATTAGACGAATTGTTATGTATAACCTTGGAAAGCTATTTATATGAGATTTATGTATTTCATATGTTATAATTCCGCAAACGTCATCAGTTCTCGATTGTCTTTTGAAGAGGTAACATCACAAGCGATACCATTTTGGCTCAAGTGATTTGGCTCGTGATACTACAAACAGATAAGATCAATATATAAGTCAAATAGAAAAATTCAGATATTTCTATTAAATATAATCATGTAAAAATAAGATTTAATTAAAATTTTGCTATCTCGAATTTCTTAATTTCTAAAAGATATTTTATATATTGTTAAAATAAACATTTAAATGAGTTTTTTTATGTTTTTCAATTAACTTTATTTGTATTTTGCACATTACAGATAATATAAAGATATTTAGATGTTAAATTATCATAGTATTTTTAATTTCTTATTATATTATTACATTATAAATTAAAAATTAAAGACAGATTAAGTCTTGTTTAATACATTTTTTCGCGAATTGATATCTATAATAAACATTTTTGAATTTGTTGAATCAAATATTTAATAAAACATATTCTAGAAACAGGTAGATCAAAGTCAAGAAAATTCAAATATAAAACATTTATAGATTTATTTTTTAAATATAATCATATAAAAATAAATGAAAAACTTTATGAGAGGTCTCTATATTATTTTGATCGTTATTTTTTGTTTTATATTGCATATAATATGATAATGTATACAAATTGTAACATATTTCTATATTTAAAATTTTAATACGTAATAAAAGAAACAAAAATTAAAAACAAATAAAGCCATGTTTGATACATTTTTCCCAAATAAAAGCAATATTTTCTAAAATGTTAAATATGTAATAAAAATAAAAAAATATAAACTCAATAAACATCAATTTACTTTCTTGGAAAAATGTTCTACAATGATAAGCGAAAATGTAAAACTTGCATTAAGTTTTGGTTTCCTGATAAAACATACATCAAAAACAAGAAAAAAGATATGTTATAATTATGTTAATTATGTTACAAAACTAGCGATCTCTTCTAATAATATTGAAAAAAATTAGAATGTAAAGCAATTGAATATTTTAATTTTAATTTTATAAAAAATTTCCGAATGTGTATAAATTGTTTGGTTTTACTCATCACTGGCGACTTTATTAAATATATATTTTAGTTGATTATTAATGATCTATAGCTCTATCTTGCCATGGCACCGCTCCCACACCATTGAAATAGTCACACCACCTTTCTCGTAAAGCTAAAGTATTATTAGAATGTCGATAGCTTCTTGAATTTTGAAATCTTACTAATTCACGAATTTGTTCATTTCTCCAGTTACCAAGAAAAAGTGTCCTGTTAATTCAACCTCTACGTCTATATATGATGATAGTGTATACATGGCACAACCAACGGTATTAGTACGAAAGACAACATATAGCAAAAATATTACGATATTACGAGCATTATCCGGATCATATCTCACTTGAAACCGACTAGCCATAACGCCAAATACATTTTCAGAGAATCTTCTGGCACGAGACAATCTGTAATTATATTAAAAAAGTGCAAATAAATTTTTACGCTAATTTTAATATACAAATTTTTATATCACCCTTTGTTTAGAGATACTTACCTGTAGTTAAAAATTCTCCTATTTCTTTTTCCGGAACACTGCTATTTGGGAAAAGGAATGAGTACCTTTTTAGATAATGTAAAAATTTCATCTCCTACAATAACAAACGGAAAATCGTTGTTCGTGCTTAGTAAAGGATTAGGTTGCGGAATTTTTAGTGCGTTTCTTTCCAGAAGATCTTTTAATGTACATTTATTCGACACCCCTTTATCAGATATTCGACCGTTAGTATCGACATCAATATAAATAAATCTAAGTTGAGCATCAACGAGAGCAAGTAAAACAATATTGAACGTTTCTTTATAATTATAATATAAAGATCCCGAATTTAAGGGTGGATCAATGCAGCAATGTTTGCCATCCATGGCTTCAAGGCAATTTGAAAAATTCCATTTATCAGCGAAATCGTGAGCCACTACTTCATCTTCCTTACATCTTCAGAATTAGGAATGTTTAAATATAATTTTTAAAGAACCACTCTCAGAGCATAGCATGTATCCTTTATTATACCTGAAATGGTATACTCTGTCCAAGTCTAAAATTCATAGAGAGAGACTCTTGACTTTCACCTATAAAATAAGTAAAAAATTTTTTTTAATATTCAAACTTATATATAAGTAAAAAATACGAGAAATCCAAGAAAAGTTTTACTAGTTGCTAAGTGACGTAGTGTTACTGATAGCCTTTCAGCAGGTGAAATACTTTGTCTGAGGTGCGTACCATGTCTCTGAATTAAAAGTGTTACTTTTATAACAAAATCTTCAAATATGTTAATATTCATTCAAAGACATCTGCACAAAAAAATTAAAGTTAAAATAGAAGTTTAGAAAGAAAAAATTGCCTTTTTGGCTATTATATCTGAATATGATTGGTATTTTAATTCCTTTACGTGATAATTCCAATGGATTTTTTGGTAAAAAAGGATTCGATGAGAATCCACGGTCGGCGTAAATGCAAGCAAAATATCTAAGGTATTCTGTAAGAACATAATATTATCAATACAAAAAAAATAATTTATTGTAATTTATCGAATATATTATTATTGCAATAATCGTAACAGAGCTTCAAAAAGATCTCCGCTTCTGTTCTTATCAATTTTTTCCGTCTATGTCTTTCAGAAAGTTCAAAGCGGCTTCCGGATCTGAAGTCGTATTACCAAGTCTCTGAGCTAACTTCAAACCGTTATTGATAGCATCGTCTTGTTCAGTGAAAGCCCAAGGAACAGTCGCGACGCCACTTTGACATATTGCTTTATGAAATAAATCTGTTAAGTACACATTCGCACATAATATAATTGGCACTTGAAAAATTTTATATGATTTTATCATGAGATCTTTGCTTTTTTCCTCTTTGACTTAATGTAACACATAAAATTAATCAGCGTGTTTTTAATTGTCAATTATCAATTTAGAATTAATTTTTCTTTACTGAAGGATGTTATCATTTATTTTCTAAGTAACTTTCTACGACATTTTAAAATGTCCATATTATATAGTTTGCAATCGAGATTTAAGTTAAAATGAGAAAAAAATTTTTAATTTAAAATTTTTTTGCTATAGCAAAGCTATAAAAAATTTTAATTTTTTTATATAAAATGTGTTCTTAAATATATTCTTAATATACATATGTATATCAGTATTATAATATGTATATTATATGTATATTATATAATATGTACTATATATCAATATTATATCCTTTTGATTCGTACCTTTAGCTAAAGGTGAAATAGTTAGATATATATATAGTGAACCATCCCGCATTTTGACCAAAAATTGTGACGTTATCGGGATTTCCACCAAATTGCAATATATTTTTTTCAACCCATTTTAACGCCATACTACATTCTTTAAGCCCTGATTTCCCGTTGCCATTTCCTTATAAAAATTAAGAAAACCTAAAGAGAGAATGAAAGAAACATGTCGTTAATACGTTTAGTAAAGTTTATTTATATAATCAAGTCTTCAATATTCGCATTCGCTAGTCAGTAAGATAAGGAATATTAAATAATCGACCAATTATAAACTAGCACAAATTAAAATTTATTAAATTTCACGACGTTTCGACCATATGGTTGAATGATTTTTAACGTTTTTCAATTAATAAGAATCATAACTACACCGTCGAAACGTCGTGAAACTTAATAAGTTTTAATTTGTGCTAGTTTGGTCGACTATTTAA